TAACTGTTTCGATGTTTTAAAAGAGATTTTTTTTTTTTTTTTTTTATACACCTAATATATTCATCTCAAGGTTAATATAATATTATTGACTACCTTTATGTAATAATATTTTGATTAGTTTAAACTAAATCCTGCGCTATTCCCGACAAATTGCTTTTAATTAGTTTTAGATTCTGAATGAAGCGAAGAATATTATGGCTTTACAATGATGATAATTTTTTTTTTTTTACCTGTGAACAACTTTGCTACCAGCAATTTTGCTCCGATTTACAATGATAGCACTTTTCTGAAAGGAAATTTGACTGGAGAGGTACTTTAGCAAAGTAATTTTTTTATTTTCCCTGAAGTTATCTCGATTAATGGGAAAAACCCAAGAAAACAAATTCCGAAAAAAATGAATACTTTCCGAAATAATGTGTGTACCCACTTAAATTAATCACGTGGTATATAGGTATATTGGTTTTATTGTTATTGATTTTTAAGTTGTCTCGATTACGTATTTGATAAAGTACAAATCCGCAACTTTTAACGTACCTATTGCGTGAAAAAATTTGACCGTCTTTACTAATTCAAAAAAACACATTTTAGAATCTGAGATTCAGAATGAGAAGACCCAATATCTAAAATTATTTTACACGTATGCCGCGACCGTTCCGCTTTTTTTCCCCCTTTTGTTTCAATAAAATAATAATTATTATTATTATTTACGTTTAATTGATGGTTAAATACCTAATACCGACAAAGTTTTATCCGTTTTGTAAACCAGATAATACTAGCTGACATTCGCATTCGTATCAGTCATTTTTGTTTTTTAATGTTTACTGATACAAGAAACGACCGATAGATTCCGCACATACTATTACGTCAGTATTTTCTTTACATATCATTATTTATTGTGTCATTCTTATATTTTCTCTTCGTGATTTTCTTCTTTTTTCAAATATCCACTCGTTAGAGAGTTTACGGTTTATATAACACACTACACTACACGCCATTCATTAGAATAATATTATAATACGAGTCAGCGAAGATTTTATACAAATAATGTTATATTGTAATAATATCGTGTCAATATTGCTGTGTGCCTGTGTCCATAAAATTTCGAACAGACGGAGTGTCCACGACAATAAGAATTTTCGATTTTCTCATTTATTTTCAGTGCATCCACACAATTGGTAAAAGCAATATTCCGATAATATATACATTAAAATTATCATGTTTCGATGTATTTTTGAATAATTGATTTGTAAGTAATATATATTTCAAAAAAAATTTAAACGACATTATTTATTATAATTATACTTTCTAAGATTAAACGTGTCCGGTTTTATTTTCAACAGAATAACTCGTTTATCGCGTCGAAATTCGTTTATCAACACAATATATTCCGTACGGATACATGTATAATAATATACAATATGTACTAGAGGTACATACAAATTTCAATTTATGTAGGTACTTGCCAAGAAATAATAATGAATTTCTAATAAAACCACAATAATAATATAATGGATAAAAATACGAAATTTTCGACATTTAAAAAAAATTTTTTTGTAGAAATCGGTAATATATATATTTTAACGTTTAGTTAATGACGGTTTAAATGTACAAAAATCTTTCCAAATCTTTTGTAAAATTAAAAAAATGATGTTCTATCTTTTAATTGCAAGACTTTTTGGCCAATAGGTATAGGTTTAAAGGTAAGGAATACGGCTATTTTTACGGACGTATGTGACTTCATATAACTCTTCAAAGTATATTATAATATTATAATTCAATTAAGTATATTTAAACCACCCCCTTCCATTTAAAAATGTCTATTTTTTTTTATGCCAATACATTGCATATAACTAGCAAGAATTTGCATGCCTATCACCGCAATTTGAATTTTTATAATATAGTTTAAACCATGGGGACGCTGCGCAGGAGAACCGTTTCTCCATGACATAGAAAACGATACGGTCGATTTTTAGAGAGAAAAGAAACTCGGTTCAGTCGCTATTAAATTTATTTAACGGTTTCTAAAGTTAGTGAGAAAATAAACATTATTGTTGAATTGTATTGAATATTATTTGTTTTCCGTTTGTCATCAACAGGAAATTGTCCGTTCGGATTAATTTTTTTTTTTATCAAAGAACGACGATAAACAGGAAAAAAAAAATCATATTCGCGCAAACTTAAGGCCATTCTTACAATGTAAAATAATTTAATCGGAAACACGTTATTATTTATAAAATTATAAAAACGAAAAATAGTTTTTAAAACGTATTCCTAATATTACCTATAACGGCGCACTTGAGTAGGTTGAAAACCAATAAAAAAAAAAAATAAATAAAAATAGATCTAATCATAATAGATATAAATAAGTACAAAAAACTATTATATTTTTAAAAATTTAAATATATTTTATGTTATGTGAATTAACTTGACCTATCGCGTCAACAAAAGGTCATAATACTAACGCCAAACTAATGGCATGGGTTATATCGAATATTATTATCGAACATTTTGACAGTAATAATTACATGTGTTTAACGGACGAACGGCACACGCCAAGCACACAATTGTACAATTATTTTTACTTAAAATTAAAGAAAATAAATAAAACTAAAAAAAGAACATTACAAAATACTCTCCCCTGCATTAGATGAAAATTCTACAAGAAAGTTCCTATAAAGTTTTTGATAGAATCAGATTTTAATTTACCCACGGCACATTACATAAATGTACCTGGCATATAAGTTGCCTATATCTAACTCCTTATAAAATGACTAATAAAAACCTTTAGTAAAAGTAAAATTACCTACTACAAATTCAACCAATTGTAATTTAACCAACTCAAATGCGCTCTCAAACTACTTTATTTTATTTGACTACTAAAAAACAACTTATAATAAATCTCCTGTTAAATTATCAAGTATTTCTGTTCGGTCAGACAATTATAACCACAGTACCTATCAAATAAAAACTACATAAAAATCTCACAAACATAAAATGTCTATAAAAAGCTAAAAAATCGCCTAAATTTTTTTTTTTTGAAAATAACACTATGTTTTTTATAAAGCAAATATAGTTTTTATATCAAAATTTAAACTTTCTATGAATATTTTCAACTGAATCACAAAAAAAAAAAAAATGAAATAATTTGAAATCGTATAAAATACTTATAATATCAATATGTACCAAAATAATGTGTACGATAATATAAATAACGAAATTATAAACTTTTAATTATTCCTGTAAATAATTATTTTAAATAATTTATATTCTCAAAATAATAAAATATACCAATTTTAGTTTAAAAACAATATTGTTTTTTATAATGTAGTTAACCTAAATATTTGGATCTAGTATTAACTATGTTCAAAGTACATTGGCCATGGGGCTAATGAAGAGATGACATTGTTATAAATTATCTGTGATAGCATCATCTTTTTTTTCCTGAATGTTATAGAGCCCGGGGGTAGTTAAAAACCTAAGCCATTTAATTAATATAATTTTTATGAAAATTCGAAATATACATACACGTAACGTTGTTTTTTCAAAAATGTGAATACTTACTATAGAACCACAAATAATGTAAAATCATTCAATGGATCATCATCACAAGTTTAAAGTAATTAAACAACATTAAATGATTTGACAAGTGTCAAATAATAAAATGAATTAGCGGAAAAAGACATTGTTCAAACATTTAAATTGTATCTACATCTGTGATAAATTGTGTTATCAAAATTATGATGTGATAAGATAAAAATGGACCTACTAGACGTAATAGCAGATACGTGGCTTGAAACGTGTTTATGGCTACTATAGGGAACTCGTAGACAAGATTACCACAGAATAAAATTTAGTTTCTCATCTACGTCTGTGGTATCACGGGTACGCCGCATCTGCACTACATAGTTACGAGTACTCAATGATCTGCACACGCATTCTCGGAGACGATTCCAGTTCTATGGTATGCAGAATTCTAGAAGAACCCATTACTGTCATTTATCACTAATGTTTGGTTTTACAAGGTGGATTTAGGTTATGCGAGTTACTTTAGTTATTATTTATTATTTATTACAAATGAATACATGGTAAAATGTAATTATGGTCAGTTAAATGGGCTATTATTGTGGTTGTGTAAATTTGTAAAAGATTTAGAAAACAAATTAAACGAGCTCAACTAAAATATCATTACAAATATCATTAAATTTGTAATATTCAAGATGGATTTATCTACCTTGGTAATATTATGACTATTCCACATTATTCGATAATATTATATTTAAAAACAATAATAATTAGTTATAAAAACTGGTCACCACAAACCCTTTGCTCCTAGCACCCATCCGGGTAGGCAATAGTTTGTACATAGTATTGGAAATCGGGAATTAATTACATTAAATACTAAATTTCTTAATATTAATTTTCGACAAATTTACGGTTGGTATTATAGGAATGTTGAATTACCGCCTATAACATTCTTATCATTTTGTAGAAGATCTGGACTTCGACCCATTCTCGCCATAGAGTCTCTATGATTCTCGCATTGTATACTCTATAGTTAAGAAAAATACCACTAAAGTCGTTACGATTTTTGTATGACACCCACTTGGGTATTCTCCGTCAAAAACCCCCCCCGCCCGCCTGCCATATTACACTTACCAGTCCATATCATCTTAGTTCATGATAGCAGTTGTAGCAACCCATGGTTATGGTTACGGCTTTGATTTTATATAAACCATAGCCATGAGTGTAATGAACACGAATTAAATGGCGGATTGAAACTTCACTTCTTATCACCAATTAACAGTGTAGTTGATATCAGCTGTGGGGGGAGCGTTGGTAATGGTTATTTACCGTAAAAACTGGACGTGAATACAATTTGTTCGAAAATGGAAGAGGTAAAGTCCAATTAAGCGGGATTTTTTTTGTGCAAAGAATTTAATCTGTGCGTTTATGTTAGTCACACTGATCCGTCCGCCGGTAATCATTATTCTTCCTTATCGTTATCATTTCCGACGCCTGACGCGCGGCATCACGTGAGACATGAATACGTGATTGTGATTTTACAACCTTTATTTACATTTCTATGCTAACTTTTAAAAGTTGATTTATTATAGATTTTTCTGTGAACGTATTATAACCCTTCCGCCATGGTAAGTGATCTAATTTCAATTTATGTTAAACACGATGGTTACGGAAACACCGTTTTCTGTACCTACTGATTTTTTTTTTTTCCAGAAACCTTTAATGTTACAAGGGCACGAACGTGCCATTACTCAAATTAAATACAACCGAGAGGGTGATTTATTGTTTTCATCAGCTAAGGATGTTACTCCAAATGTTTGGTATTCATTGAACGGTGAGCGTCTGGGCACATATAACGGCCATACTGGAGCTGTTTGGTGTATTGATGTCGATTGGAAAACCACCAAGTTCTTGTCCGGAGCCGCTGACAACTCTTTAAGACTCTGGGATGTGTCTACTGGTAACCACATTCACATCCAACTGATGAAATCGTCTATAAACAAATAATTTACAATTTATAGGTGTGGAGATTGGTAATATAAGTAGTAATTCGGCTGTGCGTACATGTTCGTTCAGCTACTCGGCTGATCTTGCTAGCTACTCAACTGATCAGGCCATGAAACAAGATTGTGAAATTTTTATTGTTGACGCTCGTGATAATGAATCATTTAGTAAGTAGTTTTTCATTAATTATTTCTTCCTACTCAAGAAAATTAATACTTCATAAACTGTAATAATTAACATTTGCATTTAATTTATAGTTTGATAGAAATTAAATTTTTATTCAGGGTTTTGAAGAAACCAGTTCAAGTGAACTTGTTCAAAGTTCAAAATATATGAACGAATCACTAATCAAGTTCATATTTTCAACGAATTTGAACTTTACGTGGGTCATTTGTTTAATTCAAATTTTAAATTATAATGAAATAATGTATTTTTACCATATTGCACTTTAGAAATGGAATGTTAGCAAATTCTACTGTAATGACCTCTTGAAATTATTTACATATTATATACTTCATAACTAATTTGATATATTTTAATAAAATCAGTGAGACTTCATGAAACTAGTAAAACTCAATAGTAACTTATAATTAGTACAAGGATTTTTATTCACTAAAGAGTATCAAAATATTCCTTATAATATGCAGTGAAAATTGTAAAACATACAATAAAATTTCAATTATTTTCATCACAAATTTTCATATTTAAATATTATAAATAAAGGTGTGGTAAATTAACACATTTTTAAATTTTATTTATTATTAAAATATAAAAAATCCACAAGGGTTGCAAAATATTATTTTTCCATCAGTAGTAAAAACCTCAAGTGTCTTTGTTTGTTGAGGAAATTCACTCTCATTTTTTATTGCAAATCGAACTACTTATTTCATTTTCAAATTTGCATTTTTACTATTTACAGACTAAACTAAACTCACTAAACCGTATTTTGATCGGAGTGTTATGTCGATAACTGACTGATGTAGCAAGAGCGATTAAGATTATAGATATAAAAGTTTAGGCCGTAATCAATTAATTATCTTTATTTCAATTATTATTTAGTGCCTACAAAATTTATTTTATTCCTTTTTTTTTTTTTTAATTTTTCTTCAATACATTGCAATACATTTTAAATTTCGAAAAAATATATTTTTCCCTGTACCTTTCATATGAAATTTTCAATATCTGTTTTTGATAATACAGGAACATAAAATTACTAAAACTATAATTTCTTCTATGATTAAATTTACTTAAAAATGAATAATGTAATAAATAGAAAAAATATTATTTTGCTACAAATCAAATAAAACGGTTAATTAATACCGAAATTATACTTATTTATTGAGGGTGTAGTATTATTATTTATTATATTGCTTACTGAAATTAATAAAAAAAACAATATTATGTGTTGCTAAGTATTTCTTATTCTATAATTAATTGAAGGGTTAATTATTTATTTTTTTAAATTTAAGTTCTTTGTATAGATTGTATATGTTTTTATTATGGATAGAAAATTTATCAATTTGAAAAAAAAACAATAAGCCAACATTTAAAATCAAAAAATTTATATTAGTTATTAAATACTTAAATAAAAAAATTCTATATCTTTCAATAGAACTTTCATTATAATTAACATTTGGAGGTCATTTTTTTTTTTTAAGTTATATTAAAAAAAACCTATTATACTTAACTCTGTCAGTATTCCACTTGTGTCTTTCTTTAGTAAGTTGTTAAAATTTTTTTTATATAGAAAACAGCGAGCCTATATTGAGAATGACTGTACCAGAATCAAAAGTAACTTCTTTGATTTGGGGTACACTGGACCATACTATTATTACAGGACACGAAGACGGTGCTATTACTCAATGGGATTTGAGAGTATGTACAAGTGTATCAATTCATGTATATTTTATTTACGTTGCAAATTTTGTATAGACTGGAAAAAGTATAGAAACTGTTAAGGATCATCAAGGGTCAATTAATGACATGCAAAAGAACCGACAGGGTACCATGTTTGTAACGGCATCAAAAGATAAAACAGCCAAGTTATTTGATGTTGATGATTTGTCAGTGCACAAAGTTTATGTGACCGAACGACCAGTCAACAGTGCTTCACTATCGCCTATATTTGATCATGTAAGTAGCTTTCATTAATATTAATACTAATAAATTGTGCAACATATAATTGAGAAATACTGGGTTTTGTGTCAAGGTGGTATTGGGTGGTGGTCAAGAAGCTATGGACGTAACGACGACAGCAGCTCAAGCGGGAAAATTTGATGCCAGATTTTTCCACGTCATATTTGAAGAAGAATTTGCCCGAGTAAAAGGTCATTTCGGTCCAATTAATTCTTTAGCGTTCCACCCAGATGGTGAGAGTTTCAGTACAGGCGGAGAGGACGGTTTTATTAGAGTACAGTCATTTGATCCGACTTACAAAGAATTCAGATTTGATTATTGATTATCCTATTGTTAAAGTGTCAATAATTAAAACCCCAAAAAAAATCTAATTTTTTACAATAAAAATGATAACATTAATCTATTGTCAATTTGTGTCATTAATTTATTTAATAAATCATGTCAGATACAAAATATGCCATTGATAAAAATAATTTGAAATAATATAATTTTTTAATACTTTCAAACCTACACTTGTTACGAGTTCAATTGCATCATCCTTTGAACAGACGCTCAATGGTATTTACACTGCATTTGGAAAAATTCGCAAACATTAATGTGTAGCTTATTTGTTGTTATAGGTATTTTTTAATTACTTATTTAGATGTAAAATAATCCAGCAATAAGCATTTAAAAGCTTCAAATGTGGTTGTAAACTATTGTGGAGTAAATTACCGAAACATGCCCAAGTGTGTAACATTGAAAACTGTTCCTGTCCGGAAAGTTAAGCAAAACTTGATTCAAACTAAAGTTGAAAAAAAAGTAATTTAAACAAAATATTGTACTTCAATGCAACTTTCTGTAGTTCTATATTTTTATCAATCCCAACATTCAGGCATTTTATTTTAAATAGTAAACTATGTAATTTTTGTACATTACATATTGTAATAAAATTATTTTATACAAATTAGACTTTTTCTTTACATAATTGAACACAATATATTATGGTAGTGTTATTGTTTCTTATAAGAATTTTTATTCACCATCATAAAATAATACACATTTTGTTAAATTAACCCTAGAGAAGATTCTTTATGGTCTAAAAGACCGGGCTTTAAGAACTTTTTTCATTGTTTCAAAAATACAAAATATTAATCTAACACATCCTAGATGCCATTTTATTAGGTGATAAACTAATATTAGATATAACTCCCACTTTATATGATCTGATATCTGTACTATAGAACAGTTCAAAGTCCATTGTCTAATAAAATACGGTCTAAATGACCGTGTGCTTGCTATACTGTAGTCTGTGATATTTATAAACAATTTAATTTTATGAAAACTCATTTATGGTTAACTTTTTTAAACTGTGTTCTCTTATAATTTTTAGCCGATAAATATTTATCAATCATTATTTTATTTTCAATGTGACTGGCGAAATTGTTGTTAGTTGACACATGGTTTGCCATATTGTGTGTAACTATAATACACTTTCTATATTATAAATAAATTTGACAATTTTTATTTGTTTAAAAGCAATAAAATAATGATTATTTCAATTTATTGAGATTTAATTGAAATATTTCAATACACTGTCAAAAATAACGTGTGTGTGAATTTTCGTGAATATTTTTAATGTGTGTAATCTAGGGTTAAGTAAAGAAAATGTGTAATTGGTATGTAATTTAATTATAAAAAGTAGGCAGCGTTGTTTGAGTATAACAAAATTATTAATGATTTCTTGTAATTGTTTTTATATTACTTAAATAATTGTATTGTTAGCCTACCCTGAATATTCACCTTTTGTACATGCCTCAAATGACTCAAACTAGGCTGTTTTACATTCTCTATAGACATTGATTAATAATAAAGATACAAAATAAATTTGATTTATTTAGTTTTAATAAAATTCGTTCACAGAGAACGATGGAGAGGTATGTGCCAGGCAGCACTGACCCTTAATGGGTCTTAAGCTGAGGAGGAAGAAGAAGAAGAGTCAATAAAATACAAATGTTTTTATTTTATTATTGATTATAATTTTCATATTTTCAACATCAACTAATAAACCTAGTATTTGTTACTAAATTATATTAAAGTTTTTAGAAAAGTAGACCTTAAGAATTTATCAGTTCAATGTAAATAAAAGTAATCGAATGTAATTGAGATAAAACTTGCAAAAAGAAACATTGGTTGTAAATAACTAAATACAAAATTATAATAATTCTCAAAAATACATAACTTATTAACACACAATTCTCAATGCAGCTGTAGGTTATATATTGTTAATTCAAATTAGCTGAATGACATATTTGAATTCCTTTGATAATATGACAATTTTTCTAATTTTAAGACTGGTTCATGATGTATGGAGTTGAATTTGGTTTATATTTTATTATTGTGTGCATTTTTTTTTGATAGTTAATAAAATCTTGGTTAATTTTGTACCAAACAATCACCATTTCTGAAAATGTTTTGTAATTACTCACTACTTAGTAATCAAATATGCAATATTATTAAAAATAACATAGTTATGCTTCTTTTTAATAAACGTACACAAATCATTTTATTTACACATAATTATTATTTGTTATTGGAATAATAAATAAATAATTGAAGGTTAATAAAATATATTATACCTACTCGGTTGTTTAACACAATAAAAATGGACTGACCGGTGAAACAAGTAAAAATGCTCAATGATTATCTTTTTAGATTCCGTGTCAATTTTAAACTAAAAACTTACAAAAGAAGAAAAAATTTAAAATACTTAAATATCTATTCTGTTATGTAGATACCAATTAAACTGAAAAAAAACAACTGAATTTTTTTAAATTAAAATAATAACTATAGACTATAGTATCATTATCATTATTTAAAATCATTATGAATCTTACGTGTGTTCGACAGCTGATTGATTATTGTCCAATTCTTTTAATGAAGAAAATAACAATTAATAAAATATCCAATTGGACATTTCAGTTTTAAATGTCAAAAGTATTGATTTTGTAATATAATAAAATCAATAGTCGTCATTGAAATAAGTAACCCCCAGCCATTTTGTTCCCACTTAACTATAGTTTTTGCAAATAATGTTTTTTTTTTTCAAAAGGTGTAACAACTCTGATGACTTATATAATTTAGTATTTTGCCATTCAGGAATAAATTACTATCATTTATCTATATTTAATTGTAATTGCTTAAACCTGTCCTATAAAACCATTTCTAGATAGACTTTAGTAAAACTTAAAAAATGACCAGATCTGCAATTAAATGGCTGAAAGACTTGGATTTTTGTTGTAGCATTCTACCATGATTATTAATAAATAATGTATGTTAACGTTAAATTTTATTCTATAATTTTGTTTTACGCCCTACTCAATTTATTGTTAAAATGTGTATTGTATTAATGTTAATTGTAATTTACCGTGTAAAACCAAGTTTTGTTCTTTTCAATATGATTAATTTTTTTTTTATTGAAACAAAATGTTGATGTTATAATAATATTTACTTATTGATGATTCGTTCAGAGATTAATAAGATTCTATCATATTTTGGAAGTTTTTTCAATTGTTTTCAGTGATACTACTAAATAATGTCTACTGGTTTACCAATATATTTGTATTTATTAAATGGCCACCTTGGATTTGGCGAATATGAATTTTTATTTTTGAATAAAAAATATATTTAAAATAGAGGAACCGTGTGGCATAGTGATTCAGTTATATTTGTACTGCGAGAATAAAAAACTTGAACAGAACTAGAGCCGTTTCGCTTGTTAAATATCTCCGTATTAAAAAGGTTGTACATGGAATGAACAAAATTGTGAAAATCAGCGATACGTGTCGCACGAGTCAACGGATGAGTTACATTTAAATTGGTGACCATTACCACGGAACAATTTCCATGAAGAGAGATCACCAATGACAATAAATGAAACGTGACACGACTGGTGGCTACGATAGCGATGTATTGTTATATTTCATGAGTTGGGAGAAAATTCTCTGTTTTAAAAGACCTGGTGAGAATTTCCTGCCCAACTCGCGGCGTGGTAGATCATAGTGTTTATCGGCCCGATCGGAATCAGGCCATTGTCAAAAATTAGAGTTCTAGACTCCTTTGCATGCTCCCCTCCACGGAAATCTTTAGTAAAAGGCGAAAGATTTTTTCGTATTGAAGGGGAACCGGAGTGATTGCAACGTTGTTTTCGGATGACTATATACACATCACGGCCGTGTCGGCCTTACCAGAGGGTTTCAAAACCGTGCTGAAATACTGCACTCCTGGTCGACCGATTACTTAGTTATAAGTACTGAGAAGTCGGTTAACTTTCACCGACCATTTATTCGTATTCGGATCACGAATTGTCCGGTTTTTAGATCGTGAAATTGTTCGGACCGATCGTCGCGGCGTCCGTCTCAAACGGAAAACACCCGTCGCGCTATCTGTTGGCGGCACGAACCAAATTGTAGACGGTCAGTTGGCGTGTTTTTCGAACGTGTAGACGGGGTTAAAATACGAAATATCGTATCAATAACGAAACACGGCGACGGAGCTCCATCTGTCGGACGCGGAAACCGTAAATCGAACTATCGCAGAGTTTCCTATCGACGGGTTTCCAAAAGTAGTAAAATAACGATATTACCGAATTACTTTGGATAAATATTTCGCTATGAAGCAGAATTGTTTTCAAATTTGTTAAAACGTACCCAATTCGCACTTTTTAAACATCATTGTTCTGTGTATAGTCCGTGTATCGTGAATAGATCTTGCAAGTAGTATAGTTCGCGTATATTATAATTTGTATACGAATTTTCAGACAGACAATATCGACGTAAAATTATGACAACGTTTCCAACTACGAAAACCGTATCGTTTATTTTTATTCGAAAAAAATCCACAACGCTATTAACACGGTAGATCTACCGTGATTATTCTATACCTACGTGCGCACCAGTAGAGGGCGTACGAACACACGCACAGAGAAAACAAATAGCATAGGTACACCGCAAAACGGAAAACAATAATAATTATTAATGGTTTTCACCGGGTATCTTTTTTTTACTCGATCGAGTATAAAATACAATCGTGCTGCACGATTGTGTATTTACTATTTTTCACGATAACGGGGTTTTTCCCCTTGTTTTATACCTAGTTACTTTTACAATATTATACGTAAATTATAAGTTTACATTATTGTGAAATACGACTACGAATACCCATTGAGTGCTGTTTATTAGGTTAGGAGGTACTTATATACGTATATATTTTTATTTTTTTTTTACAGAAATTTTTAATTTTATTGCGTTTTGTGACTCCCCGGAAATTATTTGTACTTCGACTTTATTTGCAAATCGTGAAAAATGCCAAGTTTATTAATTGGAAAACGGTCAAAACACGGGTTCCAGAAATTGATCGCAGTTGATGCACACCGCATTACCTGCTGCGGCGTTGTGGACGGCGATTTTTATCGTTTGGGGTGCCAACCAAAGCGGGAACGGTTTTTTGCCGTCGGCGTTTCACTAGAAATCGGGGGCGGCTCCGGAGACTTGAGACTGGAAGGGGGGAGGGGGCGAGGCTCGAGCCATATTTTTCAGAAAACTGTACCAAAAACGTATTTTATAAGTTTGTTTTTCTCTTGTACAGTCGTCGCCGACAAAAACACGCGGTCGCCGGTCGGGTAAGGTGATAAACGGTCGAATTGAAAATGACCGCGGATAAAAACGATTCCCGGTAGAAACGTTTGTGCGCCGCAATTGCCCCGGCAAAACAAATGAAACGATACGCGAATTACGCGCGCGCAGTGCGTACGTTTGCATAGTATTGTGCTCGATCTTCGTCCGGCGGCATTAAATATTTAATATACGGACGGTACACAAACCGTCCGTCGATCAACAATGGGAATTTCCCGAAGTTCGGTTGATAGTGTTGCTTTGTCAACAATACATAGGCGTGTCATATTACGGTAAAATAGTTACACATATTCGTTGTATTTTCTCTTCGATAATATCTGTCGAATATTGTGCCTACCCATCTTCCCGGTTTTTCACGTTTGTTGGAAAACCGATTTAGCCGAAGTGCCGCCCCGGTGAGATTTCGTTTTGGAAAAAATGCCGTCATTGTTGATCGGAGCGAAATTGCTGGCAGAAAGGCCGTTCGCAGATGAAAACAATAATAATAAACACCATTGTGAAACCGATACGTTAGCCGCTTCACCCGGAATCTAAAAAAAACGGGAAGTTCCGGATTTTTATGGACACCGGTTGACGTTCGATTCGTTTTACACGCCCGGGGCGAACCCACGAAAACTATCCAGTAATATCAGCGCGTGCATGTGCATAAGGGTCTACTAGGGACGCCACTGCCGGACTCCTCTTTGTAATGGGAATATTCTGCGCCGTTCTGGCACCGAGAATCCCGATATTTCGAACTCGACTTTCTCCTCGAGCAGCACCATCAAGGACCACCGCAGGTCGACATGACGGTCGGTCGTGAAGTTGGCAGGCGGTTAGTAACCGACGCACCTGACGATTCGTCCGTCGTCACTCGCCCGCGCGGCTAGCAGTCGAGCACAGCACGTAGTTAATAGCGCAAAGCGAGCGACCTCACGTGCGTCCGCGCCACGCTATTAATTCGCTATTTCTACACACAGATAGTGGCCCGATCGAAATCAGGCCTTATTGAAAAATTAGGGTTCTAGACTCCTTTGCATGCTCCCCTCCACGGAAATCTTTAGTAAAAGGCGAAAGATTTTTGCGTATGAAGGGGAACCGGAGATGCCGTAGAGAAGTTTTTCGGGTAGTTATATACGCTGTGCGGCAGTGTCGACTTGATGAGACGTTTCAATACCATGTCTGATACACCTTATTGCAAACCGAACCTAAACCGCTGTACCCCGACGCGGCGTGCTTTGACGTTTCGCGAACAAAACACCGCGTTATCCGACCGCGGACCGTCGTCTTTTGGCGGTGTGAAATCGTACGAACCGAATGCCGGGACAGTTTCCGCAAACGGAGAGAGACGACAGCGCCATCCACTGGACGCGAATGGGAACGGGACGCCGTGTTCCGCCTGGCCGTTACGACTAAATTGCAGACCGATTGTACCTCGGTTAACGTAATAAAGCATTGGCAAATGTATTTGTATACCAGGATCGGGCAGTCAGTGTTAAACGCTTACACACGTTGTTTCCACCACGTTTGATACAATTGTACCCGTATTGTATTACGCGGTCTATACGATGTCCGTAGAATACCTATAGCCAGTGTCTTATACAGCAATACCCTACTGTATAGTTAGGTAACCCGCCTAACCATTGATGCGATAAATGCCACGGTACGTAACGGTAAAATTGTGACGCGTGTGGTTTGCGAATTTCGTCGATTTTGTCGATTTCGCCCCGGGGATCGGGTATCGAATACAAATATTGATATCAGTGGGATATCAAAACAAACCAGTGCCCATATCAGTAAGTATCGGGATCATTATATAAACCCATATTTCATAGTGTCAAATAATACTGTACGGGATTTTATGAAAATTGTAAAACAACTGGAGCAGGCCGCACACGTGCGAATCAATCGAAAATTAAAATTATTAACGCAGAACCGTGCAAGGTTAGAACTTTACTGAGGTACCGGGCGCCGATGTGGCGATATGAGAATGCATTGTCGTGCACGGTACACAGTGGTGTCGAACGAAAAAAAAATAGACATCATTGTCATATTGAGTATTAGTGTATTTTCGCGATTTCACAATATTTACATGTATAGAGTCTGTGCCTAAACAGCGAATAATATTAATTCATTTTTCTTGTTTTCTCAGTAGACGGGCACTTAATCACACCGATTGGGAAATCCGTTGTATTGCGAATTGTCGTTTGTGGACCGTGGTCGGTGGTATTTTTAGAAAATCGAAACGAGTATTTTGACAGTAAATGATTCGATAACCGGTACTTTGCTATCGATATGAGTTTTAGTATCGAAACGACGATATCGATACAAAAAGTATTTGTATCGAAAGAAAATTGTCGATACGTTACTGATATCGGTAGTATCGCAACGTCCCCACAATACTACCTACCTAACCTATTATTATAACATGAAAATTTATTTTTCTCTCTTTTTTTTTTTTTTTGGCCATGTTATCTGAAATTTCTTTTGGTCTTTGAAGTCATTGTAATATTCCGGTCGGTAAGTAGGTAATTCGTGATGACTTAGAAGTAGATAGGTACCTAGTTACTAATCCAATTCTTCATTTCTGTTTGATAAATAGCCCATAAAACAAATCTATTTGAAAATACTACTGAATCAATAATATTTCATAGGAATAGATAATGTTTGATCGTCATTAGAAATTATACATTTGAGTTTTTATTTCCGATTTTGTAGTTCAGATTGCTATATATAAATACGAGGGAGATAGAAAGTAACTAGAAATTATGCAAATTATTTTATTTGGTCAATTTGTATCAAACAACAAACGCTGAAAACCCGATATACAGTATTACTTGTTTAGAATTAAAATTCCTACATAAATAATTTAAAAATAGTTAATTTATCATAATTGTTTGAAAATATTTTGGTGAGAGAAAACTTTTTTATATTTTAAATAAGTACAAAACATTGGTTCAATGAAAGATATACCTAGGTACATTATATACGAATATACAATTATAGAAATTCTACAATAATTTTCAAGTATTAGTTGATGATAAATCGTTAGATCTGTTTGTTATTCACTTTCCATTGTATGTTTATTTCTGTGCACAATATTATACTAACTCTATTAACATACAAAATCATAAACATATTGAATGCCTAGTATTACAAAAAGTTTTAAAAATAAATTCTTCAAAATATAATATACATTTGTAAATTTTCTATTGTAATAAGTGAAAGAGATGGTTTTAACTCGACTGTGTCTACAATACTTTTTAGTAGATTATATTATTATGGTTCCTTTGGCTGCGAAATAATATATTTCAATACAAATTTTTCATTTTAATATTTTATCGCTGTCCTAATTGATATAGGTACCTAAGTAACTAATTGTTTCAAATAAAATTAATTATTTTTATAGATGACATTTTTACCTATGGCTAAATAGTTTAAAATACTTATATTAGAAATAAATGAAGTATTTAATAAATACTTAACATTAAAATACATTAGATAAATAATTTAACTATATATTAATGTAAAATTTAAAAAATTATAGTTTTCTCTTTGAAAATTGTGAAGGTAAATTTTCATTATTAGATTCTGAGCAGAGTGAGAAATGTATTGGTTTTACAATGAAGTTTATTTTTTTTCTGAGAACAACTTGTCTACCAGCAATTTTGCCCCAATTTTCAATTATAGCATTTTTTCTTAAAAGAAATCTCACTGGGGTGACAATTAAGGAAGATCATTTTTTGATTTTCCCAATAAATGGGAAAAAAGAGAAAATTTACAAAATATACGTTTTAAATTTTTATTTTGTTTTGATTCAGTTAAAAATGTTTGTAGTGACTTGAAGTTTGTACAGAAAACTTATATTTGCCTTTTCTAAACGTTGTAAAATGTTCAAAACATTGAAGCAATCCTAGAACTATTTCTAGGTCTCATTTTATAACTGAAACTTTTTTAATGGATAAATTGTTAATTTGAATTTATCTCAATTTAATCAAATAACAGTTGAAAACTATAGGTATTTAAATAAATTTTTTTAGAATGTAACAAAACTAAGAATACAATTACAATTATAAATAAAAATCTTTATTAACATGTTTCCCACGTTAACAAAACCGTTTCATACGAAAAATGTTTTCTCAGGTTGTGGCTGTAATTTAAAAAGCGAATTCTTACATAAATTATGTGTTCTACCACAGTTTTTATCATAATAATATAAAATACAACTAAGGTTACAGCCATTTTTGAGCAGTTATGGGTTAGAAGACATTAATTATATAAAAACAATTAGGTACTGCACGCACATAAACCAAACAATTTGTAAAATGTTATTTTCATGTATTATTATTATTATTTTACAATTTTGATTTTTAAAGACATGAATAGCATGAATATTATTAGATTAGGGCTGCTAGTTTTCAAGAATTATGATTATAATTTTGAAATATTTCAGTATTATGTTCTTGACAAGTGGTTCTCAGTTTAACATTTTTTTTTCAAAATAAAACTAATTTTTTAGAGTTCTTTTATTTTCATTATTTCTTCACTAAATCTTCAGTACCCGCATACTTCTTCAATATTGGATGAGTTGATTATATCTTGATCTTAAAATAAATAAATCAATAATTAATAATGTAATTAAATACAACATTTACCTATTTAGTATATTCACTTGAGTATAGTAAATTTCATTATTTTTTTCAGTTTTCCTCAACAATTCACTCAATTTTACATTTTTAACTGGATAATTGGTTCAACATCTACTGTGTTCGTTATTATAATTTATAATTAAAAAAATAATATTACAATCTTTTAATTTAATTTAGATGTACCTACTGAACAATTTATTTTATATTTTAAATCCATAGGGGGACATATAATACTATAGGTTTAGCAAACCTAGGGCCTCAGGCTGTTAATTTTACTTGAAATTTGTATTTTTCTTTTTTCAAGAAAGATTCAAAAGAATGGAAATCAAATTTTAAGATTAGAATAATGTTTTTGTGAATAAAATATCTTAACAAAACTATGTTAGGATCATTTAAACAATATTGACTATTGACATGGAACAGCTAAAATGTACTAGGTGTATCGAATTTTTTAGTTATGAAACAAATTTAATACTACATTTGATTACATGTGGATCTAAGCATCAGAAAAAGGTTATCTGTGTAAAATGTTCTGATTTGTGTTGTAGAAAGTTATTTACAAACAAAAACTATTGAAACTACCTATAGACAAATCATTACGTGTAATTACAAAAATTACAAAAAACATTTTTATCTTTAAGTAAGTATTACTGAATTTTAATTCTTGAAATAATTCATTTTTCAATTTTATTTATTTTTCAACTAATAGATTTCAAATAATGGAATACAATTATAATGAAGAGGTAAAATTTGCTGTACAATAGTTACATAATGTACATGTTTTCTCTGTCCGACTTCTGAGACGAACATAAACCATTGGGAATAACACACACTTAAATACTACTTGAAAAGCCAGGAAACTTTTTTCAAGTCTGTTGGAGTTGCAGGAACAGCCTTAAGAGTTCCATCAATTCCAACCGTTGTAACTGTGGACAACTTTCTTGGAATATTTAAATTGCGTCCAGGTTTGCAAAAATGACTCCTTTACTTGTTTCATTGATAATTAGTTCTTGTTGGAAAAATGTGGATGATGGTGTTTGAAGTGTGTAAATGTAGGCAGTATTCTCTGGTTGGGTCAATGCTTCAGTGAGCTCATGGATGTTTCAGTATGTGTCTGCCATCTGGATTACATGACCTACATATCCTCTTACATTTTCTCTGGGCTTGCAAATATGTGTAGTTGTTAGCAATAATAATACTAATTGAAGTGGTGAATGGATAAATGTGTTAGGTACCTGTCTAAATCAAAAAAATTACAATTATAAATATAATAGCTAAATAAAAATTCCTAATATGCATTATGCATATTAAATCACAATTTAAAGTTTATATGTATACAATTTAAAAAGTTCTAAGCCTGTTTCATTTATTTTCAATTATTCTGTTTTTTATTTGATGTGACATTAGTTAACATCTCTATACACTAGGTGATGTAATAAGAAAAATTTACCATTACATATAAAAAGAAAAATTTACTATACAATGAGTATAAAATTCTATGTTTGGAAGTATTATTTTTTAATAATGAACACTTTCATAGTTAGAAACTAATTTAATTTATAACAGAAAGCATATATTTTTGGTATAATAAGATAACAAATATACCAAATAAACATAATTTCTATTATAAAATTAGAGGAAACAGTACCTATTGATATTAAGTAACTTTAAGAAGGCTAAACAATTTTATCATACTTAAACATATAAATTTTTCAAGTTACCAAACTGCGAGTACAAATATATAAGCTAAAAATTTTTTAAAAATAGGTAGTACTTAAAATAAAATATTAACTCAATAACATACTCAACAATTACATTGCTGCTGTACAGTCCTAACTAAGACAGACATATTTTCAGGATTGATGGCTTCTGCACCAATCGCTTCTTTTAAGAAAGGTACATCTACATTTGTATTTGCAGGTCCATGGTTGTGTTGATATCTAGCGTTAATGGTAATCCTGTTGTCAATGAGTTCTTCATTCACTGATTATCTACAAAAACAAAACTTAAAACCCCAATTTATTTGATGCTCACAAACTACCTATACCTATGCGGTTGGTTATGGCTTAGTGCTTGTAATATCTAAATCAACATAAACCTTTGATCCATGTTGAATGCCTGTAATCACTCAGTAAGTTTCTGATATTTCTGGTATTTCTTCATCTTCATCAGTGAATTGTTTATTTGGGCTGTTCTCGTAAACAACCGGTCGAAAATAATCATGGTTCAAAAAATTTAGAAGAGCGATTTCTTCTTCGATGTGAATCATGTTCTAGTTGTAAGAGAAAAAAAATGGATGTTGTATAAATATTAATTTATAATAGTACAAGTAATATTAAATACAGGTAAATTCAAAATTTAGTTAGTAATTTAATATTGATAACACGTATGTTCCGCTGGCAATATTTGATAAGAATGCCCAGTGGTTCCCAATTTATTTTTTTTATATAATATTGGCTATTAAACTCCTGTAATTGAACTGCTTATAGTTAAACAAGTTGCCTACCAAGCACTTGAAAATGTGTTTTTTAAACGATTTTTGAAATTCTATTGCCAATGTTCAATTATTGTTTATGTATTTTGCATGCCTTTGTGATCAATCACGTCTCGGATAAAAAGTAATTAAGACGGACATTTTGCATGGTATTGATATAGGATAAATAACTACTGGACTCTCTTATCAATTATTGCCAGCGCAACGTACGTTTGATAACCATTAGTTAGGTTTGTAGATATTTCAACTGTTCACTTTCGTATGTCTATGTTGACTACAATTTTTATGTTTCTAAGGTTGGCGTAACCGATTTCTCGAAATTTGATTATTATCAGGTTTACTGTTACCAAAGGGGGTGTACTGTACCCGTACGGTAATATTATTCTATGACTATACCATAGACCTCATTTCGGATAAATTTGAAAATTTCAAGATACTGAGTGTAGCGAAGAATGTATCGGTTTTATAAAGATGTTTATTTTTTTTATGTGAACACATTTTCTACCAGATAGCTTACCTGATGTATGCGTTGTACACCCTTTTCTGAAAGGAAATTTTCTTGAGGTGGTACTTTAGGGAGGTATTTTATTGATTTTCCCGGCAGTTTTCCTAATAAAAAGAAAAATTGAGGAAAAACAGGAAAATGTACAAAATGTATTATTAAAATATAAAAATTAAATATTTTAATAGTAAAAATTTTAACACCAATTAGATCCAAAATGTAATAAAAAAGGTACCTTGTAATTTTTCGTTTGAAGCAAGATTTCTGGTTGAAAAGTTGTTTACCAATAGAAATAAAACAAACTTCATAATAAAACAAAAAGAACCTTACTAAGCTTAGAATCCAAATTTCAAACAATACTGGTGATCGATACTGACATTAGCTGATAAATATAAACAGCGCATTGAAGGAAAATCGGTAATTATTTTTCAACATGACAATATTTAGTCCACATTGCAAAATTTGTAAACAATTATTTGGGAAGTATTTAATGGGACGTCCTTTTCTACCCACCGTATTTACCAGACTTTACTTTTCTAACTACTACTAATTACATTCAATGCAACAAGTACTTTCAGAACAATACTTACACTCTTATTCTTACAAAAAGTGAACATTTGGCCAAATTGATGATTGGCTTTAAAAACTGAATAGTTCTTTTGAGGCAAAATGTATTGTTTAATTTAAAATGTTCAAGAATAAATCAAATTGATAATAAATAAAATAAAATTTAATAAATAAGTAAAATGGGTAATACAAGTAATTAATTTTAAATGATTGCTACATTATAATTCTTCATACTTTGGACAAACAAATGTGTTCAAAACAGCAGTAGGTGGAATTTGTTTATTTTGTTTTATCAAAGAACCGCCATCATCAATCTTACAATTGCCATTAAAACGTACTCCTTTTGCAACATGTTTATTTTCATTCTTCATTTCCTTGTCTGAAGACACTAAACAGTATAAAACATATTTATATACAAGTTTTAGGATTTTATACTTGGTTACTATGGTAAATTAATAAACCATTATAGATACCATATTAGATCGGAGCTTTTATATACAGGGTAATATATTTTTATCATGAACTAACAATTTTCTTCTAGGATTTTAACTGAATTTGATTTTTTTTTTTTTAACATTGTGGAATCGTTGAAGCTTTATTTTAAAACCATTTTTAATTTTTTATCTCTACTCTATGCACCTTAAATAAGTATATACTTTAGTTTTTCAAATAGGAACATTCCTTTTTGATGTTTAAACTAATTATTATTTTTCTTTTGTTAAAACATATTGATTAGTAAACATTTTTAAAAATGTATACTATTAGTTTTTCAATGAGAGTCTTGTTGAAAAGTTTGGCTTTAAAGCCTCTAAATGTCTTAATCCAGGCTTGGATTTATCATTTTGAGTTATAATAGTTTGAAGTTTAAATCAGAGTAGTAGGGAAGGGTAATAAATTATATAATTATTTCTAAATGATAAATTGATAACTTGCCTACTCTTCCAGTCTAAAATGTAAACAGTTATAAACATAAACAGTAAATATGATATTAGTGTTATGCATATCAAAATTTTCAGTCCACAATGTTAAAAAAAAAAAAAAATAAAATATAAAAACAAATAATCAAATTTATTTAAAATTCTCTAAGAAAATTGTTGGTTCATGATAAAAAAAAAACACTGTATAAAATTTAGTTAATTATTAAAATTGTGTTCAAAATTGGATGTTAGAGCATACTTGTTAATTAAAATAATATTTAAAATATTTAAAAATGTATTCTATGAAAATACAATGTCCAACCTCTAATAATTTTGAAGTGTTATATTTTAAAATGATGTTATAAATAAAAATTAAGGTAGTATTAATATTTTACTATTTTCTCTAAAATATTGGTGATATATATATATAACTTTGAACACTATTTAAAACATCCAGGCTATAATTTGTTGAATACAGTAAACAAACAAAATCAAATAAAATATAAAAACATTGTTTCAACATTGTACCTATTAAAAATGTAATTACTTTTAGAATTCAACTCATTAATTTGTTGTTCTAAATCTTTTATTAGTAGTTTATCTCTTCTCATTTCTTTTTTAAGCTGCCGTATTTCACATTCCCCTTTGAAACATTGTTGTCGCGCTTCCATATCTCTAATCGATCTTCTGTTCATTTCTTCTTCTAGTGCTTTTTTTTCTCTTCTAAAATAAAAATATAATTGAGCAAAAGAAACGTATAGAACTTATGATATAGTCATAATTTACTTACTGGACATCAGAAACAATTTGGAGAACAACATTCATACTATCATTGCTTAAATTATCTATTTGTAATAATTGTGTTTCTGGTTGTTTATCTAATTCTCTAATTTTAAATTCTAAGTCCTATAAACAATATTTTAAATTTTTAAAACATTATAATTCAATTTTTTTTTAATATGCACTTACAAATATTCGATTTTTATAACTTTGTATTAGTGTAGATTTATCCAAATCATCATTTTTTTCAGTTTCTAATAATTGTTTTTGTAATTTCATAATTTCCATCTAAAAATATACATAAATATTTAAATTAAAACTAATCAATCAATTGAATGTTTCATATTTTATATAACCTTCATTTGATTATTATCGTAGTTGGCTTTTGATAAACATTTTTTTAGAGATTCATATTGTTCTTTTATCACTTCGAGTTCTGTTGTCAATGATTGCCGTTTGTCATCTACTTCAGCAAATAAGGAATTTCCTCGCTTATTATGTTCATTTTGATTATTTATACTAGTGACTTGTAATTTGAGCAGTTCAAATTCTTCTTGCAAAGTCTTTAAAAATCATTGAAGACATTAAAGATTATATTTTCTTAAAAATTATATTGAGAATATATTATATTGAAACTTACTTCAAATTTTTGCTTCCATTCATTCAATTGAAGTGTTTTAATAGCATTTTGTTTTTTAAAACTATCAAGCTCATTAATAGTTAGTTGTTTAATATTTTCTAAATCAAAAATTACCATATTTTGATTTTCAATAATTTTTTGCAACTCCTTGTATTTTTGCTAAATCAAATTTCAAATTAAAAATTTGAGCATCACATTCATTCTACATGAAGATTTTGTATGTTACATATCATTTAAAATACCTTTTTGTTATATAGTTTAATTTTCAATTCTGTAATAAAGCTGTCATTTAGATTTATTGATAAATCTTCTTTTGGTTTATTCGTTGATTCTTTTAAAATAGATATTTGTTCATTCAAAGATTCAATTTGAATTTTATGTTCTTTCTGTTGTTCTAATAATTTAATCTCTAAATTGGAATACTAAAATATATTTATATTAAAATATTTGTCTTATTTTTAAATTTGTAAATTTAGGTGGGTAGGTCAAATTTGCTGAACTATGGCCACGGACAGTAGATTTTTTTCAAAACCCAAAACCGATAATTCAACCTTGCCGATTTGCTAAAAACTGCCACCATAATTCAACAAAATATCAAACTGGTTTTAACGAGTACAAAGTAGTCCGTGGCCCAAGTTTAGGAGTTCAGCAAATCAGTCACTCCCAATTTAGGTATACAACCTAACCCTATAATGCATTATTTCTTTTTTTATTTAGTCTAAAGCAGGTCCTTTTGATGGATACTTCTTAACTTGGAGAATTCGGGAAAATGCATATAGGATTAATTTAATTTGATTAAAAAATATTTTAGGTTTATTACTTTTATAGCCCATTGCCTTAGGTCTGTTTCTTTTGATGCAATTTTTGATTTTAGTGTAATATTTTCATCTTCGACGTGTTGTAGTTGCACTACATCATTTTGGAGTTCACGAATAAAATCATTTTTTATTTTCAGTTGTAATTTTGTTTCATGCAATTCTTGTTCCATGGCCATAAAAACAAAATTAGATTCAAATTGGAACAAATCAAGTTAAATACCTAGTTATAACTTATAAACAACTAATTCAATGTCTAAAGAAATTAGCCAAATCTTCGAGACTAAAGGAATAGTAGAAATGGGAAATCAAAACACTAAACGTAGATAACGGTATCATGATACTTTAAAATTACAATAACAATCTATTTTTGTAAATTCAAACCATCGACACGGTGTGTTTATCATGGCTGCCCAGTGTCCAAGTGATCTTATTTGTTGCATTTTGAATCTAGTTGTTCACAAAGAAAGTCGGTTTTTTATTTTTCTTGTTTTTTTAAATTTTATTTGAACAAAATCGATAAAAACGTAAAGAAACAATTTACGAAAATTGGTAATGTTTTTATTATTTGTAATTTCGTTTTTTTTTTTTTTTTTTCATAATTTAGTTATTATTTAGTAACCTACCTACTTTCATAGTATCCTACCACCGATTCCTATGGAATATCAATGTATTTTTATTACCCCCCTCCCCGCTTTATCTAGGATCATCCCGTCTAATTACTAATTTCAATCCATTTCCGAAATTTTCTAGTTTGGTATTGCTTCTAAAACTTCCACATCATTTGTAGCTACATCTTCCCACCTTTGTTCTTAAATTATCTAATTTATTCTGAACTTAACGTCAGAATTATTGCACAAATTTGTGAACGGTAGATTTTATTGTTCGTGTATTGTATCTATATACAATACAAGTAAATTTTAGCCTAAACATTTGTATAATACAAGAATTAAAAATAACTGTAGCTTAACTGTACCACGTACTCGCACTCAGTTTGGCAGGTAGGTAATCAAAGTCCAATCATTAGAGGAGTTATTTTATTACGTAAACATAATAATATTTTAGCCAACTTTGATTATTTCATTATGCATAAGAAATGAGTAGGTAAAACAACTTTTTCCCGGTGTTTAAATTTCAATATTTATTAGTCAATTTGTTTCCGAGTCTTTTTGTATTTTAAACTTTCTAATGTATAATTTTCTCTTTCAATACGATTATTGTACACTTGTGCGGGCAATATTGACTCGGCTCACCCGTCTCAAGCATGCGTTGCTTATCGGATGTGCTCGTAACTTGATAAATGTATTGTTATCGGTCTTTCCGGCGGTAATTTTCCCTGATCCGGGTTCTATTCCAGCGCTGTCCTCAGTGGCGGGTTTTCGTCTTCTCCGCGCGTGCGTCCCCAGCTCCACCGCGGTCTCATATCCGTTGTCCACGGGTTAGGCGTGTATCACGTTCACCCACTCATTCAATGAAAACGGTGCGGGGGGAACTCCGACCCCTCTCTTATTGCGTCCCGCTCAGTTCGAACGTTGGACGCAGCAACGCCGTGGTGACGACCGTGGCGATCTCACTCGGATGAGCTACAAACCGTACAACAATAACACACGTGCACGCGCACCTAAGGCCTACTAATGCACACCAAAAGAGCAAAACTGCTGAAAACAGTGTTAGCCAGCCCGACACAGTTTTGTTAAAAATAGAACATGGGGAATAACGTCGCATACGCACACTGATAAGACAAAAACAAAACGAAAACATTTTTGCTTTAAACACCATCGGTCGTGACTAATGCCGTCTGGAGTGTTTACATTTTTCTGTAGTCATAATTAGTCACGGTAGAGGTATTATTTATATTCGTAATATTATTATTATTATTATTCGTTTTTCGTTATTATATTATGTTCTGTGTTATTATCGTTATGGCTTGTGATGGCGACATTTTGGTAAGTTTGACAGGAAAAAGGCCATCAATTTACGATTATAATAATAAAGTAATAGTAACGGGACGGTCCGAGACAAACTGCGGGAGAGTAAAACTACCATACATTTTTCCCCCGTTCTTCTAAATCGAGTAGAGTGTACCGCATACAAATCACAACTCCTTCGTCTACTTCAGATGGCATTTTGGTAACTTATTGACACGAAAAAACGAACTAAACGCGCACGCACAGAGAATAATAGTGGAATTTGAACGCAAAACACGAGTAACTGCGATTTGTTTTGCCTTGACGTGACCAACTGGTGTGCGCACGTGTGATACGAAAATGACTAACACAGTTTTGCTCTTTTGTCGTGCGTCGGGCCCAAGGCTCGCTGATAGCGCAATTCAAAACGCAGCGGAGAGAACGGCGGCGGCGGCGGCGAAACTGTCGACATCCGCTGTTCGTTTTGAATTGCGTTGCGCCTTATATTACCTGGCCACCTGGCACAATATTATCGTCCCGGGCCCGCGCGGCTGGTTTTCCGCAACAACGGCGGATGCCGTTCGCGCAAACACTTCGGCGGGTGCCTAGCGACCGGGCCGGCCGTTCATCCGGCGTACGGCCACGCGAACCGACATCCGCGGTGACGACGAGACTGCCGATCGTGTAATTTCGCGTAACCGTACACACCGCATCACGCGTCCGCGTCATGGAGAGACACGTCCAACGGTACAGCGTCAACGTCCGGCAGGGCAACTGGGTGGAAGACGCTTGGTCGCAGTCGGTGAGTCGTTCGAAATCCGCGTGCGTCCGCTCTATTGCCCGAAGGCCGACGGTCGGTACGATAAAAATCTGAACAGTTAGGGGCGGGCCGCGGTTTTATTCGCTTTGGGTGCGATTCGGCAACCGCCTCGCCCGCAAAACCCGATTCCCGGCCGTTACGGTTTACAATACGTAAATGATACGTATGCAGGCGTAATTTAATTAATTGCATTGCAGTTTTTCGCCGCTCAACTGTTTCGGTTCGTAAAACGATACCGCCCTCGGTAGCAGTCTTAGGTACTATACATTTTTCGTTTTGTTTTGAACGCAGTGTGTTGGTTGACCGGCGATTTATGAACAATGGCGACGTCAAAATCGTGTGGACTGATTTAGTATTGAAACTATAGGTTTTTGAAGTTTTGATATTGTGCGGATATTATTTATGTGTTGCGTTAAATAACTTACTATCGTCAAATGCGTATTATGTCTGTCGTAGTCCAGTGGGGGATGGTACGTGCCTGTTGTCATTTCAGAGATCGCAAGTTCAAACCCGAGTTCCGATGATTTTTTTTTTCTTTTTTGCAAAACCATATCGGATAGGTAGCAGGGAAAAAATGCTATTTGTTTCAAAAAATAAAATCAAGTGTAACGTAGTATTTTTTTTTTTTTTTTATAATTTTATGAGAGTATTATCAAATTTTGACGAAAGTCGTAAATATTACGATAAAACCATGTTTCGCTCGACTAAAACTTCGCGCCGAATCGTTTTTCGTTGTCATCGGTTTATCGTTGGTTGGTTAGGCTAGGTCGCTGGCCGCACGCCTTCCAGTATCAGATCTTTTTTTTTCAATATATAGAACTAGTTCAAGTTTTTAAAATGTCATTAAAAATTCCTCATTGAAAATAACTAAATTAACTTTGTTCTTCTTCGTTCACTTTAACCACTGACTGTACTAGTGTTAAGCACTCAATTTAGATTATTGAGCTGGACTGAACAGAACTGATCGAATTCTGTTAATCCGTATAATCTCGATTACAATGTTATCGATCCGGACAATTACATAATTCAATTTATTTAACAACTAAAAAATTAGACGATTAAACGAATTTTTTAACTTATGCGTCCAATCGATTTTTCTAATTCATGTTCGGGCTGGTTCACGTCCTAATCGTGGTCATTCGAAGTAGTTGGCAAAAATTAACTGCAAAAATACCAATAATTGTATTGTATTATTACATTGTTTTCGGTCGACGGTGCACAAAGGAAAAAATCGCGTTGTTTCTGAATAAAGCAAATCAAGGCGAGTTGGGCAAGCAGAGAACTACTAAAATATACGACAGCCTCTTGCGACCGGTGAGTTGGTTTAAATTTAAATAATGTATAATAGTAATAAATTAAATACCATCTCGAGAAATTTCGATATCATCAAATTTGCTTCCGTCAAAAGTGACGCTTTTATTTTGCAGCGTATAATTTTCTCTTTTGTATTGTTTTTTTTTTTTTTTAGTCCAGTCCTCCCCACATAATTTGTTTTCTAGCCTGTCTCACGCGTATTATAGCAACAAATATATTTTGCACTTCAACGATGCGACATTGAATTCCGGGTAACAGGACCTATTATATATTTTATAAATAATAATATTTACTTTACCTTGGCCGAATCTTTTTTTTATTATTATTTTAATTAAAACTAATAAATTATTACTGGTTAATTTTAAGGGAAAACACGAATTTTTTAATGTTAAAAATGAAAATAAAAAAAAAATTTTCGACAAAGGCATATGAAATACTTTTATTAATAAAATATTTAATTGCGTAATTTGCTCTTAACTCAACCAAAGATTCACAATACGGCGGTGGTGTATTTACGGGGGGCTGACAACGCTAATAGATTATCAGCTCCCAAGGCTTAAGAATTCCCTAAAGTACCATCCCATAAAAATTTCCTTTCAGGAAAGATGCTACACTTGAAAATCGGATCAAAATTTCTGGTATAGAAAATTTGTTCACAGACAAGAAAAAAATAAAAATAAACATCGTTGTAAAACCTATGCATTCTTCGCCCCGTTCAGAGTTTAGAAACGCATTTAAATTCTAATAAGCTAAAAAATCAGTTTATAAACATGAATGTAACGCGCTCTGCTGGCGTTTGTTCGTACGTAATACTTGGTTCATAAAATGTTGTTAGATGACGCTCTGCAACTATTCGAAATTCATCGTACTTTGTGATTGATTAAATAGGGAATATTTAAAGGAATGATAATTCACGGAAAAGTAGATTGTAGTTAGTTAAGTAGGAAAGTAACATATAACAGGAATAATAATTCACGGGGAAATAAAAATAAGGAAAGCATAATACAAAAGAACCAAAAATATCCGGTCGTATTTTTGTCATTACGTATAGTCAGGTTTTTAAACAATTTTTTTAGAAAAACTAGAAACTAGAAAAAATTATTCAGAAAACTCTCACCGAGCAAAAATTCCGCATCTTACGAAATCGAAGTACAAAATCATTAGGTATTATAAAATACGATTATACTATAGGTATATACGTCGCTTAATATACTTGGAATCGAATTATCAATTTTGGTTTTTTAACGTTTTACGAGCGTATTTGCGTCATTTGGTGACCCCTGCGAGTTATAGTGCTAAGTGACCTAGAAGAGCGTTTTTTATGGCTTCTCACAATCGCCAACCTCTCGTATTATACCTAGTAGTATCTCTCTAGCGATGAAAATATTTCGGTTTTTACACGTTTTCGTGGTGTCCTCGTAAATTATAAAAAAACCGAACAAAGTCTATCGCACTATATATAGGCCACTATAAGGTGGTAAGTTTAAACACTTTAGGATATATGATAGAATATAGGGTAATTTAATTTGTATACTATCTACGACGAATCATCATTGCAACTGAAAAAACGATTATGAGCGGAATAGTTATTACTCGTGTTTTCCCTCATATTGTATTCAAGGTAACTAAACTTATATGATATAAAAAATAAATTTCCGTTTTCTGAATTGTTAAGAAGTTTACAAGGAAAATCAAAACGTATGATCTCTTCAATGCACCAATTAGATCTGAAATTCTACAAAGAAAGTTGCTTTAAAGTTTTTGATTTGAGTACTATTTCTAGTAGAAAAGCCGAAAAAAAAATAATATTCCTCGCCGCGCTCAGAATCTAAAAAGACATTATAGTGTTAGTGTTAGTCGTGTTTTTGTCGAATTAATCGATATATTTTGTTATCAGTTTTTAAAATGTTATTGTAAAACAGTCGAAAAAAAAAATGAAGTATTCGGTAAACCCCCCCCCCCCCGCACCTTTTTTAATGTACGACATAAATTTGTGATTTTTTCGAAAATAAAAAATTACACACATATTTAATAGGTTTTTCGCCGTACTCTGTATGAATAAGTGTCTGCCGACGTCTGATAATTCGTAGTGGTACAGAGAATCGGCTGCCGATGGACTCGGCGAATTTTTTATCTACGGATTCGGCGGCGGGCGGTGGCGAAAAACAATTAAAAAAAAAAAAAAAAACCGCGATAACCGGTTATAGGACGGGTTAATAAACCTAAAATGCGAATTCTGCGGTACGCGCGGTGTTAACGTGTTTATCATGCGTGTACACTTGTAAAGTACATCGGAAAGTCTCGATTCGACGGACCGGCCTGTGAAAAACGACAAACGGCAAACATTCGCGTTGGACGTAAGAAAGACCAGTTAAAATGAAAATATAACGACCGGCGATAACGCGTCGGCCAAACGGACACGCATATTTGTGTGGTTTGCATTATTGGCGGAGAGGGCGCCGTACCGAAATTTCCTGAAGTACGGTCGTAATCGTCGGCCCCGGTGTTGTGCGGATTCGTTGAAGTCCGTTAGTGGCGGTCAAACGGTTTCGGAACCGTTCCGAACCGTTATTATTATTATTATTGTTTTTTTTTTTTGTCTCGTTAGGCTCGTATACTCGAAAAACCGATTCGCCTCTGTCCGTTTTTCCGTCCGACCGGCGTCCCCAGCCCGGCCCCCTCCCCCCCGCGTCCGAACGCCTGATTTCTCTGACGGACGATGGAAAGGTAAGACGTTTGGCTCAGAGACCCGCGCCAATTTTACCCTGCGCTTGACACTCGAACGGCCGTCGCCAATTTGAAATAATGATGGTTCATTTGTATATTATACGGTTTGACTATGTGATGCGTTTTTTTTTTAAAAAACATTTTCCGCCCGTGAACAATACTATTCTATACTAGAAATCTTGCACGTATACTATTGGATTTTTTTCAAAAGTAAATTTTGCCTTGTTGGTTAATTTTTCGATTTTTCTCGTAATTTCCTTGATAATTGGTCGAAACCCGGAAGGACTACGTACGCATCAGCGGTTTCTGTTATTTTCGCGGCATTTCAAAACTTGTTTAACGGAACTTCGCTCGGAATCGTTTTTCATTAGCAATGATTTATCGTTGCGTACAGATATAAATTAAATATCGCTCTATATTATCATAATCGTCTTATAATTTGTTTTTTTTTTTTTTTTTTTTTATCGACACTCGCAGGTCGTCTTGGACACAGCCGAAGAGTTCTTGCGCTACGGCCAAGACGCGCAGATCGTTTGTCCGGATTTCCGGTTCCCGATCGTTTCCGGCGGCGGTGGAGTAGTGTTGTCTTGCTCGGCCGGTAACAGCGACACTCCAGATGGTCTGGGACCCGATTGCACCTTGACTGCCTCGGAGTTCACCGAACCGTGCGTCCGCAACTGTTTCAAAATTTCCGGGTAAGACGTTAATATTCTAAAACGTTACAGTGTACTTCTTGCCCGTTTTCACGGGTTTTGCTGCTGTTTTTACCGGACCACTTGCACCGGGCGATTCATTCAAGCGGGTACACCCATTATCTTGAATAGCATTAACATTTTTCTAGAACATTTCAAAAACAAGCTGCTCTACAATTTCATATCTATGTTATGTTTTGTCGCCCTTATTTTCGGGGGTAAAACCGCTACCTACTTTTGATTTTCAAATGACAACTCATATTAAAAAGTCTATAAATACATGGAGTATTAGTTCCACTTTTAATTTAAACCCCCGGGGCGTAATTTCACTTCTACCCCGGTCAATTATTGGGGAGTCAATAATCATCAGCGACATTTACCCCTCCCTTCAGAATATCACTGGGGTTAATAACCACCGGCACATCAGTTTCCCAAAGTTTGAAAATTATTTTCAACATTTTAATGACCGCTTTTAACATTTGTCCGCTCATATTATCTACGGCTCGATACCAATTTAAGGGGAAGAGATACGGCTATTATTATGGACGAAAATGACTTTGCGGCTATTACCGTTAGTTAAGGTCGAAAAAAATGTTGAATATTATTTTATTATTGTATACTGGCGACGACAAACCGTCTGGTGGTGCAGCTCATAGCCGAATAGTTCGTTTTGCGAAAGAAGATTCCGAATAAAGCGCATAATCGTATTATCGCGTTGTTGGCGTGCAGAACCAGTTTTTATTATATTTTTTTTCCCATTAGCGTACGCGATAATCCCGTCAGGTCTAATACGGATAGGCACTACAGCGGCCGAAGTTACGAATTAATGTAGTACGAGAAAGACGGTCAAGATATATTTTTTTATATAGGTACGCATAGCCGGTTCGATATAAACGAATGTTACGAGTTTATCAGTTCCATTTCATTCTCCTACCGCCACTCACCTCGAGATACGCTGTGAACGGGTTTTTTTTTTTTTTTTCTTGAATGCTAATTTTATTCGTCCGTTGACTGGCGGCGGCCAGATGCAATTGAATTCTGTACCTATAGTACGTTGGCAAGATCTGTCGTATGTAATATTATATGTCGTTTAAAATATGCGCATCGATTCGAATCGAAATGTGAGTGTGCGTTTACATAGAATTTGCAGTATAAATTATAATGCTGTACCGCGAATCGGAAGTTCTTTGAAAATTTGAAAAGCCGTTTGCTAAGTAAAAATAAAAATAAAAGAGCCGCACCTAGGGGTATGTATTTAAGCCGAATACCCTCCGAGTGGCTACATTACTTACTGAGATCGGGTGTATTTTCTTTGGTCATTTTCATTTTTCAGCTTTTGAAACGGCTGAAGTCGTCGTATATACTAACAAAAGAAAAAAAAAAAAGCAAATATAATGTCACGGGAATTTCGATTCCCCACAGTTTTTAGAACATCATCGAAGGATCTGAATTTTATAATGTCAAATAGGTTTATTAAACCAAGTGGTCGGCAACGGTCTTGGTCACCCCTATAATAGCATCTTCTCAAATGTCGCGATACTTTTTCGCGGTCATTATATTGACATGATATTATTTAAAACGGCTGCCAGAAAAAAAAAAAAAATAATACCAATTTGGAACTGATCAGAAAATTTTAAATTCTGATCAGATTTCAGTGATCATTTAGTAGGAAAGTATTTGTTTTACTGTAATGCGTTTTTTAATATTTTTTATTTCTGTTTGTGAACAACTTTTCAACCAAAAATCTAACACCAATCGATAGGTTCAATTTCTTGTAACAAATTTTGTCTAGTTGGTAAATTTTCGATTTTTTCATACTTTTCTAAATGATTGAGAAAATTGGGAAAAGACCCATTGTATTGTATTTAATAATAGTTTATGTTATTCCAATTGTTTTTTTATTATTATTGTTATTTAACTATATATATTTTATGAATTAAAAATCACTTACGTAAATAGTTGACTGTCATATTTTCCGTTACCGTAAGTGTTGATCCGTGATGGAATAATTTTTTTACTCCTGTAAAAAAATACGTCCTTTCAAATGCTATTGGTCCCGAGAATTGAAAATGTCATGTTTCGGACAACACTATTTTATATACAAAACGATAGAAGAAGGGTGTATACGTAATCCTTATTATTATTATTTTTTTTTGTCTCCTTGGTCCTTTCCAAATCCATTATCCGGGTCGTGGAGGGTCTGGCGAAATCGTCCGGGAACGCGGGTTTTTACGACCCGCGTGACAAATCTTGGACGTTTCCCGATTTTGATAGCGTATATGACCCAAAACATAAAGGCATAACAGAGCTGATAGACCCTAAGAAAAAAAAAAAAGGAAAGAAAAGAAAAGTCACTCTATTTCGACAGGGGGAATTTAAGTAACGAGTTTTCTAACTTCATTCGCCTACACGAGGAATAATAATATGCATTCGAAATGACATAATATCAAATTTTAGTTCCGCTTATGGTATTATCATATCATTGTTTTCAGCCTAAAATAGTCAAGACGATTTTAATAAAATTATTCGCTAGAAATAACTTAAACCTTCTGAGCTCTTTTTATCCTTAGCGGTGATTTTTTAAAACATTTTCCCTGTAGAGATGACATGTTTATTCCGCATATTTTTTTACCGAGAATTTTTATTTTTGATACAATAAAATATTATCTATATTGGTGTGTAATTTATGTGATCACACGGTGATCATCACGCGGCATCTTTCATAGAGAAATCCCCTATAAAATGTTTCGAAAAAAAAATCCCAGCTGAATGCTGAAAATGGGTTTAGAAAGCAAGATTACATTTTATACCCTTTATTATATTGTATATACCATACTTAACGTGATTTTTTCGTTTTAGGCTCTTAAACGGTTGTGAAGACGGTCAGCCCGTTAAGTTCGGCGACACCTTTAATATAATCCCGTGTGTTTCGTCAAAAGTAAGTAGAAAAATGTATGTAAATTGCATTTCCGCGCTTAAAACATTATAGCAAATGATTCAAATTAGTCATACTGACATGTTTAGGATTTCGCCAAGGAGGGAAATATTGAACATGCAAATTGTATCGTATTATATGACGTGTAACAAAAAAAAAAAAAAGATCAATCATTAATTTATTTATTTTTGTTAGTAATGGATAATAATTCAACTGGCCTTAAAATTTTGATTGAAATTAAATATTACTAGTTAGATACTAATACTAATCTATCCTCTTTCATAATATTAGAATGGTTTAGATAAGTTTCGTTTTCAACAATAGAAAATGTACGAATCGCTCAACACACAGAAGAAGATATACTCACAGTTTAAAAAAAGAAAATGTCATAAGTTCTGTCATTAAGTTATTACTGATGTTATGAGTTTCTATAATCAGTTCATAAAATATTACAAAATTCTGGATGCTAAGGTGTTTTTTTGTCTGTCTTGAAAATTTTTTTAAAATTTGGCTATGTGTCTTCTCTGTGTATAGCGATTCATGTACGTTCAAGGGTTTTTTTTCGATATATTAACTAGTTATATAATCAACTATATATTTTTGATTTTCTAACTAAAAAGTAAAAAAATTTTAATTTAAAATTAGATTATCATTTAATTATAATATTAAACAAAATAGTTCCTCTAGTTACGTTAACTCCTTTCACCTGTTGTTCCCGCACATATCCGAGATTATCCATCTAAGTTTTGTTTAAGATTCCTCATCCTATTTGACGAAATTTTATACCAGTTATCGACTTGACGCAACCTATTTTGTTACCGTTTACGACCGTAGGAGTATTTTTATCCCCTCTTACAGGGAGAATGGTATTATCAACTATAAGGTGAATTCCTCCATCCTATTGAAAAAAATACCATATACCTACTGGAATCACCCACCTGGGCTTTTCGTAGTACCACATGCTCCCCTGTGGGTACCTTTTTGTTGTCCAACCCCAAATAATTCGGATGAAAACGAAGTAGAAGAATATATACGAAAACAAAGATTAAGGGGTGATGTCTCCCTAATCTTCCTTCCCCCCTAAATCCCATAAATGTGTCACTGAGTCAAATTATAAGACGGTAAAGACTCTTTCTCTATACCGATTTTTTTTGTGAACTTGGATATTATGTAGATAACTTCATATTTTAAAAAGTGCTCGATGCCTACGTTTTCGAACGTTTCCCAAACTATTTTATTTTTATGTATATACAATTAGGTAATGGGGGTAACTTCACTTGATTATTTAAAAACCGAAGTAATATTATATACTGTACAAATATAAATTATACATTAAATAAAATTGAAAATTCTCTTTTTTTTATTCTAGTAGATAAACATAATATATCTATAGGTAATAGGTATTAAATTGTGATATACTTGACATACACGGAGAAGATGAAACCCACCACTAAAGGCAGTGCTGGAATAAAACCCGATTGAAAAATGTTCGTTGAAGGAAAAATCGAGAATGAGGTGAGAAGACGTAGTTACAAATGATGCAGAAGTTTTACAAAGAATGTTGAACTAGACGATTTTGAAAATGGATTGAGATTAGTGATGAAACGGGATGATCCTAGATACAGTGGGGGGAGGGGGGTGTAAAAATAGGTGTGTCAGGATAGTACGAAAGTATAAGGGATGTTCGGTTTGCGATTAAGTTGAAACGGCAGAGTTAAATGCGACATTCTGACCCTATCCGCGTCCGATAGATGACGCTATAATCCCTCACTGTTTGTGAAATCCGTCCAGACGTTCGATTCGAACGATTTCATACCGCCAAACGACGACGGTCCATGATAGAACACCAATATTTCGCTCATGAAGATATAAAGCCGGCCGCATTTAAAAATAGCGTTATAGGCTGACAATAAGTTTGGTATTCCCGATATAGTATTGAAATGTCTAGAAAGGTCGACACTGCCGTACAGTGTACATAGGCTACCCGAGAACCGACCCCAACAGTAACTTTTGTTCCCCATCAGTTGAACATATTTTTCGTCTTTTACCAAAGATTTTCGTGGGGGGAGCATTTAAAGGAGTCTAGAAAAAATGTAATTTTTTGAAAGACCTGATTCTGATCGGGCCAATATTAATGGTATATAATTTTACTCATTTTTAAAGACGGCTGGTGCCTGTAATGTTATATAATATTACCTCTACAGTCTACACTCTACAGGCATCATTCAATCTATATAATATTATTGAAGTGTCATGTCAAATCTTCTAAATTCTTCCGTGACCATTAGTTGTACTTAATACAAGTCTGTCACAATTGAAAATCTGTGATTTTTCTCCAGAGTTCAAGTTAATATCCATGTTCTTATCTGCATTATATTGTTATATCGTTATACTTATTATTTATTAATTTGCTTACTCCAATGTATACGATGTAGACACTTTTCTGAAAAGAAATTTTTTTTGGAAGGTACTTTAAGGAGGTTATTTTTCTATTTTCCCGTCAGTTTTCAAAATAAAAGGGAAAGAGTGAGAAAAGATGGAAAAAATGTACGAAATATATTAGTAAAATATTACGATTTTTTTTTCTGTGAACAACTTTTCTACCGGCAATTTTGTCTCTGATAATGATAGCACTTTTTCTGAAAAGAAATCTGACTGGGAAGGTACTTTAAGAAAGTCATTTTTCGATTTTAACAAGAGTTGTTTCCAGAAAATGTAAAAAACCGGGAAAAAACATGGGATAATGGGAAACATGGTATATAATGCTCATTTAATTATTTTACAATAACATGACTTAATATGCATTGTTGATAAAGTATCACTATCGACTGAACTCTGCTCAGAATCGTTTTTAGTAAGCAATAGTTTATCGTTGCTTACAGATAAAAATTAATTTCCTCTCTATATCTTACCTTCCCAACTTTTCACCAATAACAGTGGTTGCACATCGTGCGAAGTATATTTTCTTTTGTTACCAAGGTAATCCAGAAATAATAAAAAAAAAAGAATACATAACAAATTTCGACTTTTTTCTATTTATTAAAAAAACTACAAGAAAATTAAAAATAATCTTTGTGCAGTAACTATAGTTCTGAAATGCTACAAGAAAGTTCACTATAAAGTATTTGCTTGGAGCAAGATTAGGTACTGGTAAAAATGAAATGGCGTTAATCTAAAGATTAAAATGTCCAAATGGGTAATGACTAAACATATATTACTATGATAGTATACGTCTGAATACCTCGGCGACGATGACACGGTAAACGCTTGATTATTGTCGTTGAAACACGCTCGTATTATATTATCATTTACTCGGATAGCGTTTTGTTGAACTGGGTTTTTAGAATAAAAAAGTAAAAAGTATAGGCACTCCGGTGATTAAAAAAAAAAAAAAATAAAATATAAAGAAATACTCGTATTCCAGATGCGAATAACACAACGGAGACGATTCAACTGCCGTGTTTATTATTTGCGTAAAACAATAAACGAGTAAAGTATTATATTGTAGCACGTTCATTGATTTTGGTATAATAATATGACGTATTATTTATTATTATTTACTGTTAACATTTTACAGGGGACAATAGCCCATTAAATACAATAAACAATGACAACATCAAGAACAACAAAAAAAAAAAGAGCCGATACTGGGGACGGGTGCAGTCACTGTTTTAGGTGGGAAGTTGAGGAGGTAGGATACATAAGGTTATTTAATTTATATCTGTAAGCAACGATAAGCCATTGTTGACGAAAGACGAATCGGAGCGCAGTTCGGTAATACATAATTTGAAGTTCCGTAATTTGTTTGCGATTTTCGTTTAAATTTGATTTCAAAACGCTTATTAAAATAAAAAAAAAGTCGTACAATGATTTTGGAAATTTTATCACGTTTAAGTAAGTCTGTACAATATAAGTATTATTACTAAGCTTCAAGTTTCTGCGTGTGTTTATAACCAAATTACAGCAAACAAACTTCCAAAAATTATAATTTCTTAAAAGCTCATAAGTGGCTCAAAAGTTTTAACAATGATACCGTAAGAAAATTAATAAAAAATAAAAAAGGTATCTTGTGATTTTTGAAAACGTCATTTGTGTTTTTATAAAATAATGAAATCGTGAAATTGTACGTTTTCCTACGCTTTTTCTTACTGAAGTGCTTTTATTTAAAAATTGGCATGAAAATCTAAAAATGACCTCTTTAAGTACAGTTTAGACAACCTGAGCTTTCAGAAAAAAAAATGCTACACTTATATATCGGAGCAAGTTTACTATGAAAAATCTTGTCCACAGACTAGAACAAAAAAAAAAAAAAATATAAACAGCATTGTAAAACCAATAGCTCTCTCGCTATGTTCGGAATCTAAAAGAGAATAAAAAAGGGAAAAAAAAATTGTTTTAATATTATAGATTGATAAAAGGTACATTAACAAGGTAATGTGACATAAAAATATAAAAGTAAGTTTTAGTTTGAAAATATAATTAAAGCTTTTGACCTATAGCATTCCCGGGACATGAAAAAGAAATCAATATTAGTACAAATTAGATTCCAAAGTAAAAGTGCTTTCGGGAAATGAAATCAGTGTAAATTTTTTTTTAAAAAGGGCACAAAAAATAAACTTGAACTTCTAGTCGAGTACTTGTGTGTATAGATACTGATCTTACATAATAAATCAGGGTTATCAATATTATTATTGAGAAGATCATAGACGAATAAGACGTCAGCTAGGTTACGTCTAACCACACATGGGTGAATATAAATATAATCCGCTACTAATGACATTGAATCTCTGGAAATAGGTAAATTTAAACGGAAGGCAATTGACTTTAGGAATTTATATTGAACATTGTCAATAAGTTTATCAGTGGAATTTCGATCCCATATCAATGAATTAAAGTTAGACCTAACAAGGCAGTAATAGAGCGTTTTTAGTGCATGGACATTTTTACTTTTTTTAGTGTTTCTTAATAGGCAACCTAGCATTTGGAATGCCTTATTTACAATTAAATTATAATTAAAAGAGAAAGATATATTAAAAGAAAAGAGAATACCCAAATCTTTGACTGAATTCACTCGATTAATGATAATATTATTAATTTTTGTAATTAAAAACCAAGGGATAATTTTTTTTTAGTGAAAGAAACAGCATTGCATTTATTAATATTTACTAGTAATAAAGTTTCGTTACAACCTAACTAAATTTTCTTGGAGATTAATTGCATCATCCTGATTTTTAATAATTGAATATAATTTAGTGTCATCGGCAAACATTAACACATTACCCGAGGAATTAAAAATTGACGGTAGATCGTTTGCGTAATGATGATACAATAAAGGCCCTAAGTGCGAACCCTGAGGTACACCAGAGCTTACAGAAATAACATTTGAAATTGAATTTGACAATTTAACTGACTGGCTTTAATCAGTAAGGTAGTATGGTATTAAACCATTTAAGAAAGTTACCGTGGTGTCCAGATTTTTTGTAGCTTGATTAAAATCAAGTCATGATTTACTCTGTTAAAAGCTTTATTGAAATCTGTATATATTGTATCAATTTGAAGGTTGTTTTCAATGGAGGAAATTAAATTAGGCCGAAACCCATGTTTGTTAGGAGTAATATAATTAGACAATTATATGGATAGTTTTTTAGTAATAATAGACTCAAATAGTTTTGGGATAATAGATAATTTAGAAATTGGTCTATAGTTATTAACATTACTTTTATCGCCAATTTTATAAATAGGAACTATGTACGATTTTTTCCAATATATTGGAAGGGAGCCCGTTGACAAAGACAAATTAAACAATTTAAGCAGAAGTTTGGTAATGATTGAGAGATCATAGGCGGAACACCATCAGGACACACACTGCTATAAACGTATTATGTATGTATATAGAAAAAAAAAATAAAAAAATAAACAAGGACGATTTCTAAGGAGATATCGACCGTTTTAATATATTGACATTAAAAAAAAAAATCTCTCGACAGTGGTACCGTTGTAAAATATAGTATATATATTTGCTTATGATTTCCCGTTATTCGACTAACGTGTTACCGATTGTTTGCTTGTCAGTGGTAAAATGTGAATTATAATTGCGAACGGTTTCATTGTTTTATTAGTTGTTGAAAAAATTAAAAATAATTTTTCAACATATTATTTCCAATCCCCCGAATCCCCCTACCATTGTAAATCCATCATTGGTTGGTTTTGGTTCGGACGTGTGACGAGGAAAGGGACGATTCAGATACTGTAAGAGTGGTTTCTCGAATGAAATTAACGCAGAAGAAAAAGGAGGAGAAACTGAAAAGGAGTTGTTTAGATACGAACGTTGAGAGAAATAATAACGACTATGTGTATTTGGTATATATTTAGGACCCCCACACAGACGCGGGGAAGGGGTAGTAGAAGGAGAAAAATTAAACCGTTATATAACGATGTTATTTTCTTACATAACACACGTATGGCAACGACGATCGTCTAAATGTATTATTGTCGTTTTTTCAAGGCGCCCAGTGCCAATGTCGTGTTTTGCCCACAAAAATACGTTCTACGGTAATAGTGTTACTGTTCAGTAGAATCAACCAAATTTAAATTATTATTTTTTTTTTTTAAATTAATTGAGGAAAACATTCTACAGACCGATAGATAAAACAAACGGAGCCTGTTCGAAGAGTGTTGTGTTTTCGTCGGACGATATTACGAGTAATATTCCTTTGAATACTATTCGTTTAACAACACAATATAATAAAAGCAGGTCTTATTGAAATAATTGCTGCAAATTCTCTAAAAATATACTACCGTTTCCCAGTATAACGGTTTTCCGTGATCGGTAAAATTATAAATTCGGCACGGCCCATTGTGTTTTGGCATTATATTATAATATTAATTCGATTTGCTTTCGACGATGTGAAAATTCAATAAAACCCTGCAACGGTGGCGACTGGCGAGTAATACGGTATTTATTTTTCGCTGAGTGAAATTATGCGAGAATTATATTTTTCTCGTACCGATTCGGATGATAATATTATGTTATCTTGTATCTGTACATGAATGCGAAATTTGGTTGTTGAATGGATTGGAACGAAATCTTCTCAAAAGTTTCGAGATGTGGTATTGGTGAAGGATTATGTGATGAACAGAACGAAGAATAAATAATAACAGTGTAGTGAGCGAATTAAATGACATTTGCAGAAAGATAATCATGTACGATTAAAATCAATGTTGGAAGATGGCATATCATTGATCATGGTCTGATTAATATTATGAATATGAGATTATACATATTATAATAGAAGGGAAGATAAATAAGTCAAGAGACCGAAGACGACCAGGAATATCATAATATATCAAAAATATGGTTTCTAAGAGACTAACAAACTATAGAGAATTAATTAATTTGGCTGCACGTAGCAATATGGGAAATTGTAAACCAAATTCAAACCTAATTGAAAACTCTCAAAATTCACGACGGATGTAAAGATCAGCCGAAATATAATATCATATTATCGTTAATAGGCAGTGTCATGGTACACACACAGAGAGAGAGAGAGAGAGAGAGAGAGAGAAAACTCCTTACACAGTTCACCTGTTAAATAATTGTTTGCTCTTGTATATACGACACGTTTCCGACGAAAGGTATAACATTGCGCAGTCCGTTTGAAGTTTTAACGGGCAAACTTTTGGAATGAACTCGTGTTGTTGTCGTCGTCTTACGAATTTAATTGGCGGAGAATTCGGACTTTTACGAGGGCATATTTCTCGGTACCTAATGCAGTAGGGCATAGTACGAATTCCGACCGATCGAAAAACCTTAAGGGGGAGTGTCCGTCCCGGCGATGGATTGATAAACACGGAAACGGAAAAAAATAATACGAGTTTAATAACGCTTTTTGTAGGCGCGGAATATTTTCAAAACTATTAGCCCGTACTTTCAGTTAGGTTAGTCCTGCAAAAATTGAAATTTATACGTACTATATTCTTTTTATCAAAACCATGGTTATTTCGAAAAAGCTAGAATCGCAATTATCGATGTGGGACTCTTAAAATAGCAACGTTGTTTTAGGTACCCATTAATGTATTATAATAATTATAAATTCTTCTCCTTCCTCTTTGATCTTCTACCCGTTATGTCTTCTCGAATATCTCTCACTGATGCTTATGGCTAAAGGATAGCGAACGAGTACAATAGTTTTCGTTAATAAAACATATTCTATTTTTTGAAATTTTTACCAGCAAAGGGATATTGGCAGACAACTAGAATTAATCAGAATGCAGTAATATGTTTAGCGCAACTGAATAGCAACGCACGTTTCGATAAATCACGAAACGCCAAACGGTTTCAAAAGTAAAACTTCTTTTTAGTTACTTAATCGGTTTTTTTTGTATAAATTTGAATAGTGCCAATCCATTTCTCATTCATTTTTCAGCTTTACCCAATTCTTTTTCGCCGGGGTTAAAAAAAAAAAAAAGAAAAGAAAAATGAATTAAAATTTATATTTTGCCGGTAACGCTAGCGGGACAATAGCTACATAAGTGTAGTCTACCGCTAGAATCCATACCGAAGAATACCAATCGGAGTGGTTAGTCAGTGCTTATACTTTACATTAACACCCGGGTTAATAAACTATTATGTTTAAATTATCTCCGTGACGCTCAACTCTATGTAAACAAAATATGCTTACGAATATTCGCTAACCGTCATTTATATGCGTCTGTACCGAAACATTTTCCGGTGCATATTATTGCGACGTGAATAGAGTTTACTTCAAATTCGAATACTCCGTAATATAGGTTCAACTCGAGTTCGTTACCGCGTGAAAAGGACCGGCTGCGTCTCGTTACGCGCGTAGGGCCGGGCTTTTGGCTATAAGTAAGATTCTCGAGTATTCTGTTTATAGTATGCATTCGCCAATCGACCGCGCGATCTAACTCCATACTATAATATACAATATACAAGCGTGTCCCACCGCGTTCGACGGACTTTTCTACAGCTGTTAATATGAAATATTTTTCATATTTTTTTTTTTTTTTATCAATCGGTTTGTCTTCGACATCGATCTGGAGAAAAATGACATTTTTGTTCGCATCCACTAAACACAAAACGAAATGTACACGACGTTTGTGCTTTACAGCCGTTGTTCGCGGCGGTCGTCATTCCACGACTGCACGAGGAGGACCGGGCGCTGTGCGGCCACGCGGCCGTCAAGTTGTCGGGATCGCCGGACTCGAGGTGCCGGTGGACGGTCGAGTATTGGAACGGGAAGTGGCGGATGGAAGCGGAGGGTCTTCCGGTCCCGGTAAGCGACGGGAGCGGCGCGTTTTCGCAGCGGCCGGGCACCGGAACGGACGCCCGTGGGAACGGCCACGACGACGCAACAATACACTATAACTAATGATAGTCGGTTTTTTTTTTAAAATTTTTTTTTTTTTTTTATCAACGTACACTGTACGCGCAATCGGACCGTCGTCGTCTTCGTTCGCCCTTGAGATTTTGAACCCGACGACGCAGGCGATATTATTATACATAAATATGTGTATATGTGTGTATGTGTATAAAAACCAGGAGTCTGGTTACGACCGTCTCGCATTGTTATGTACCGCGCGCGCGGTAACGTCTAGAGCCGGTCCGGGCAACCAGTTATAAATTATCGCTGCGCGCGTCCGTCTTATGCGTCGCGTTTACTTACCTGTGCGTACCGCTCGAACGGAGGCGGTGGCGACGACGACGGCGGCGGCGGCGGAGGCGAAACGCCTTCGGTCACTCGAATCGCGGCCGTCCGTCCGATCGGTCCGAGGTAGGCAAGTGTATTACGGCAATAGAATACCTGCCGCAGGTACGCGTCTGACTCGCGGTGTCCGGCAGTGAAAAAAAAAAACCAACGCAACGCAAACCGTTTTCACGGGCGGCGGAACATTTTTTTTTTTTTTTTGTCTCTTGACAATTTAACATTTGTTTCGACCGGTTGCAGATCGGAACCCGGGTGGTCGTCAAACACGCGGACACCGACCTGAACCTAGCCGTCGAAAAGGAAACGCGATTTTCGCACTTTTTTGGCAACGTGAGTATATACGTCTATCTATAATACACGTATACGCATTCTTCTTCTTCTTTTTCTTTCTCTTCTTGGGGTTCTTCTATCCGTTACCGATGTCGGAAATCATGACGGATGTTGTCTTTTCGGAACAATATTACAATTCGAACCCCGTCATCTCTGAGACTCTGGTATATTATTATGAGGACGCGATATTGGCATACATTATTTTATTGTCTCAGTCTAACTGACGTGTGACATAGCGAGATTACGTATTGTTATACTCAGAACACAGACGTGTATTGGTGAAATGTAAAGAGAAGAGTGTTTCCGAGGGTATCGCCGCGTTTCCTACCCACTCCCCTCTAAAATATATTGTTAAACAAACGGTGCCCTGCAGAACTCTTTGGCTACATACACGGTAGACGTGATTGATTTTCACGCCCACCGTTCACCTCGCCTACATACGCACGTACGACTCGATAAATGCCTGGGGAAATATATAACACGTCTTGTAAAAACAAGGAAAAAAAAAAAAAAAACGAAAATATCCAGCAGCGAAAACGTCCCGATTGATTTCGCGCGTTAATGGCCGAAATATGGCGGCAGAGCGCAATCGTATAATTTCGCGGACCGTGCCGCGGCGGTTCACTTAGTTTATGGCCACGCGCGAAACGCGCAATGCCGTGTTTTCAATCGTCCGCGACCGGCGCGAAATGCGTTTTTGATCGCGATCGCCATTATTATTGTTATTGCCACCGGCGTACAGAAATACCGCCGGTTTTTATTAACGGCGGGGCCTTTGGCGCGCCGATTTTATTGCTCGTTTCCAGACGGGGAGAGCCGTACGGCGCGCGTAAGTATAAAATTATTGTGCCGGCGCCGCCGCCAGCTGTGCCAGCTGCCCCGCGACCGTGTCCCGCGGTCCACGCGCGCGCGCGCGCCGGCTCGTTCGCAATAACAGCAATAATAATCCGTCATTAAAACGTTCGGAACTAGTTTCGCCGCTCCCTCGTCCGCGTCCCGTGTCGCCGCCGCGATAATAATTATTATTATTATTATCGTTATTATTTTATTTCTCTCCCCCCCCTACTTCCCCTCCCCCCTCATACAATCCGTATTGTTATTATCGTTTTTGTTTCTCGCATTGCCGTCGCGCGCGCCCGTTAAACGACCGCCGCCCGTATCGCGGCCCGGCGGCAAGCGCGCGCGGAGGTCGGCTCCGCGACCCGTCGGCGTACGTTTATTAATGCGCGCGCGGACGACGCGTTTTAGCCGTCGGATTCCGCCCCGGGGGATAGAGAAAAAAAAAAAAAAAAAAAAGGTCGCGCGCGGGCGTAACGCGTTTCCGCCGATAAATCGGTTCCGCCGAACGGTGAGATACGACCGCGTTCCCGCCGAAACGGTTTCCGTGTGCCGCGCTTACGGCACGTCCCGATACTGCGACGCAGCGATGAAACGCACGGCGCGCGATACTAGAAAATACGAAGTTTTCGTTTTCTACCCGTTTGTCGTTCGGTATGACGCGCACGCGCACGCGCGAGCCCGGTACGATTCCGCCGTAGGCCCTGCGCGCCGACAAGCGCCAAAACGGCCGACGGGTGATTCTGTTAGATTCGCCACCAATAACAGAGAAAAACGTCATCGACATTTCGTTTTCGTAGGCTGCCTATAGAGCTGACTTTTGTAACGTTTTATACGACAACGGTTTTAACATATCGCAAAAACAATCCATTTTACTAAAAAAATATGTGTAATCAAATCGTCGAAAATCATAAAATATTAATTTTTTTTTATACCGATTTGCTTAATTATTTATTTCTCCTCTTCTCCCACCCAGTGGTGGTTCGAAGTATTTTTACCTTAAATCACCGTTTTAATTTTCCTCTATACTACTTCGGTCTAACATTTAAACGGTGTTAGTTTAATAGTGTTATGCATATCAAAATTTCTAATTTTCGAATCTGTGTTCAAAAAGGGCGGTTCCTATTTAAAAAAAAAAACAAAAGTAAACAATTATTTAAGGTACATGAAGTAGGGGTGACAAATTAAAAATGATTTTAAAATAGAGCTTAAACGATTCCACAATGATTAACAAAAACAACAGGTAACAAATACAATTATAGTCTTCCGAGAAAATCACTGGTTCATGATAAAAATATCACTCTGTATACCGGTCGACAAAAACTTTTGTTCAGAAATTTTCCCTTAATCCTGTGATTATAATTTATAATAATTCAATGAATTGAATGTGAAAAACGTACTAAGAGTGGCTTTTGTCTATTGAATAGTTAAAAACGAAGCTTTTATATTACCGGGCGCCATTAATGTTCACTCATATAATATCATAGCCGTGTTGCTTTTTGTTCTCCTCTTCCCCCAATTCGTCGTACGGTTGTACACAAATTATCAGAGATAAATCCCTACTCACGTTTTAGATTCTTAGATTCCGCTAAGAGCGAAGAAGCTTATGGTTTTATAAAGATCTGTGCGTAACTTTACTACCAGAATAATTGCTCGGATTACTACGTGTAGGACCTTTCTGAAAGGAAATCGGCGTGGGGAGGTACTTTAAAAATATAATTTTTTAATTTTCCCAAGAGTTTTCCCAGCTCAAATGAAAAACTGGGATAAAACGCGGGAAAACGGGAAAAACGTAGACAAATTGGGAAAATAGGTACAACATTTAACTAATTTTATTAAAGAAAATATATAAAGCCTATTTAATTATTTTACTGAAATGACGTTTTTATTGTTGACAAAACATAACTATCAATTGAACTCGGCTCAGAATCGTTTTCCGTATGCAATGGTTTATCGTTGCTTACAGATATCTATTAAGTTCCCATTTTTATCCTACCTTTCTAACTTCTCACTTCCATCAGTGGCTGCATCCGTCTCCATTATCTTGCCTTTCTTTTTTAAAAATATAATTGACGAACGGTATACACGCGTATTATATAATAAAAGGGCCGTAAAATCCGCGACAAAATTTAATTGCGGTTTTTTTCTATCATTTTCATCAACACTTTTTAATTGGGTTTGATGTGGTAAAACACGTATGGGAGGTGGGGGAGTGGATGTGGTTGTTTTTTTTTAACAAAAGCGAATATTCGATAAAGAAGAAAACTCGTAAGGATGATGGCCGTTTGGATAAATCGGCTCAAAATTCAATTCGTTTGGGTACACACTATATTTCTTGAAAAAATAATATGCAAATTTAACCTAATTGTTAATATTAAACTGTTTCAAGAAATTCAGTGTCTTAAGTGTTAATCTAAACCCTTGTCAATGAAAAATCGTGATGGGTAGATCATGGGATTTGGAGGTATATAGTCAGAGTAAACGAAAGTACCAAGTACCAAGGATATTCAATGAGTTGGTATAAATCGTCGGGATTATCATGTTTTATTTATGTACCCAAATGAGGTCTTAATTTGCGAATAAAAATATCCAAATCAGACCTGTTGTGACAAAAATAATACGTTTCGATTCGATTTGGAAGACATTATATGTGCTTTATCAATACAATTATTTTTAATATTCGTGCGAGTAAATAATCACGTATAATACGGAAACGCGTATGGTGATGTAATGTTGCTAAAAAGCTTTTACCGCGAAAATAAAAGCCGTGTAAATGTCAGTTTTAAGACTATAAAATCGTATTATATTGGGTACACGGGAAGAGAGGAAAGGGATAAAAATACTGTGTGCAATACGAGTGACACGCACACGCATGTGTACTAGTATAATTCGATCTTTGTGACTCTTCCGGAGTCTTTTCACATTCGAGAAAAAAACCGTGAATCGTTTTCAACCTTGACGGTATACCCAATTTTCGGCTATTTCATAATAATATGGTTTTACGCAGACACTGCCACCTGAAAAATAACAATGGATAGAGAGACCTATCATCAGAGACCTAGAAACTAGAGAAGAAGCAAAATACCTTAGAAATAGGTTAGGTCAGTTTTTGCAACGAGACAATCCCGAAGTAAATTTGTTAAAAATTCGTAAAAAATAAAATTTCATGACCATTTTAATAGATATCGATCACTATATTTTCGAGCGTTTTTTATAATATTGCACTGGTTGTACGTCGACTAAAAAAACAATGACCAACACATTTTTTTGGAAAGTTTCATTTTAAACTGTTGAAATTGCGATGTCGACTTCGTCACTGATGTATCCTTTTTTGGAAAGAGACCCCTGCTGTTTGACTGTCATAAAAAAATCACCAGTGAGCAGCAGAGTACCGTCACTACTTACTAGATTTAAATTTTCTCCCACTTATTTTCTATAATTCTATAACTATTATTTCCACTTTGCATTATTCTTTGCAAACAATAAAAACAGAATCTTATACGTATCTATAAAAACCGCGAAACCATAATCTAAAGCGGTTTGTTGATTTATTATTGCAGCCAATTATAAAATCGTTGTAATTCATCATGTATGTTGGGCATACAAATAGTGCTTATAATAATACAATACTATTATACTGTACTGCTACAAAAAAAACAAAAACCAAACATTTGAGCATATGAAAATGTTGGAGCGGTGCTTTAAACTTGTAACTTTCAAAAGGCACATCATTAATACTAATGTGATAAATGTACAACATATTTCATCCTCCACTAGCGTCATTTGATTGGTCTGTAGGGGTGCTAAAATCCTAAAAAGCATCCAAGTCCCGCATAAAAATGGTGAAATTTGTGAAGAAATTAAATACAACATTTATCATTTTAATTCGTCTATAAAACCGCTTTTAATTCTCGATTTTGAACTCATTTGGCTAACGGGAAATCACTAGATGCCAAGATCTATACTATAGATGAAAGTCAACACTGAAAAATGAAGTCGTAAAAAATATTTGCGGCCTTGATGACCTGTTCTGAATTTTGTTTTGCTTGGTTTTGTTATAAGAGTATACGGAAATAGGCGTTTTTCTCAGACGTTTGTTTCACGATAAACGACATTGATGAAGGAAAAAAACAAATCAAAACTGTAGTCACAAATCTCGTGGTATAACCCATTTATCGATAAACTCGCATCTGTTCTCGCAGACGTTTCGATTACGACGATTATTTTTCATTCTAATCTACCGATTCTGCTGCAATGTTTCAGTCTGGCGACGAAACACTATAATATATAATGGATATCCGATATTTTGCGGACCCATAAATCTCTTCCCACGCGTTTCCGACGCGATTACGCATTGTCATCTAGCCCCTCCCCCCTCTTGCTACTCTTCTATTTCATCAACGAATAGTTGTGCAGTTTACCGCGGTAATTCAGGACGCATATCGATTAGGAAGAGAGGAAGACGGAAGACGAAGTAATAAATTACTTTTCGACGCCGCGTTAAAATATCCATGATGACTTTACAGACGAGTATAAAAAGAAAAAGTTTTGGTAAATATTTAAATTCAAAGCGTGAGCCTCGTCATATAGAATTTTATATTTAATAATCCGGCTTCGGAATGATGTTTTTGGGCTTCCTTCAATCAGCGCAGTGGTTTAGTGAGGACTTATCAATTGGAGGGGGAATCAAAAACAAAAAAAAATTAAATTTTTGTTTAATTTAATTTCCTTATGATAAACCGTTATGATAAAAATATTTGTATGAATACGGCTTACGTGGGGGCACGACACCCGTGTTCCATCTGGCTACGACAATGTGTCAGCACATATTTAAATATCCAAATTTCCGCGTTTGGTGTATTGTTGTCGGTTTTAGAAAAAAATCACTGGGAATCTATAGAAAAATGTTTTTTAGGCACGAGATTAAATTTTTCTGGGATTTATAATAGCCGAATAACAGTGCATGTATTTGTGTGTATTCTTTTTTTTCTACTTCTATTTTTGGCCTTTACAACTCTCTGAGAGTTTTTGCTGTCAACACCATCTTACGCCGTTTATTTCTATCCTAAACCATATGTTTCCATTTGTCCATTTCCAACGTCTTCAGATTCTCTTTTGATTCATCATTTTCTGGGTCTACCAAGAAGCCTATTTCCCCGCAGTTTTCATTCTAACGCTACTTTTTTCTTACCATCTTCTTCTCTTATTATCCGAACTGTAGCCATTGTAACCATAATTGGCCTTTGATAATTCTGTATACTGTTGGTATTTCGACCATGTGCCGTACAATTTCCAGTTGTATTTTCTTTGCCAATAATTTGTTTTTTTTATCATAAATAAGGCCGATAATTGTTCTCTATATTTTTTTTCCAAATATCTTCTGCAGCTTCCCATTTCTGTTTGGCTATTAATTGTTTACCTTCGTTTCACAGCCAAGTTAGGGTCAGTTGATCTTTATGACGTTATTTAGTTTTCCTAGAGAATTTGGGTGGAATTTGGTTTCTAGTTCAAAATACGCCTTTGAATGTCTGCTACTGTAAAATAACCATATGAAGGTACGTAGAGCAAAACGGATTTGTGGTTGAGGCTTTCGGCCGACGGTAGTAAATACGCGCTGGTAAAATATTTAAAAACTATAGAAGGCAAACGTCGTCGTATTATTAGTATTTAAAAGAGCTCGACGGTATAACGATTTTCAAGGAGTTACGATTCAAAAGTTTTATGTGTCGAGCAGAACGAGCGGGGGGGACTTGCAGACTAACGCGCGGTCCTTATATAGCTTTTGAGCGCTGCATATAAAAAATAGAAAAAAAAGTCACTACATATACATATCAGGAACGATGGGCAACAGAGGAGAGGGAGGATGATAATTAAAGCAGCGTTTCGTGAACCAAGAGAATTATTACATTAATTTCGTGCGACGCTCGTTCGAATTTCTTTGGATTATTTTTTTTTCACTCGAAACAGTGGCGGTGTCGAATTTTATATATTTAATTATCCGTTTAAAATACGAAACTCTTTATAATTTGTTTTTGTTTCATACCATCCTGTAAAAGTATAGTTTATTTTTGGTAATTTTAGCACACGAAACATCACTCGTCTTTGTTGTAAAACTATATTATTATAATAGACGGCGCTCGCTCAAAATACAGAAAACATTATAACGCAGGGAACTGATGGTCAGGAAAATAATAATCAGAAATACAATTCTACTATAGGAAAATCGGGACTGGACAAAATAAATAGATTTTTTTTCCAGATCTAACGATGTCCGGTCTAGATTATTGCAGTCGAAGTTTGTCCGTTAAAGATTTTTATGGATATTGAAATTTGGAATGAATTTTAGCTTTTGTAGGCACCCGTTAAAATACAAAAAATAATAAAAAATTTACAATAATTGTATTAATTATGTTCCTGTGTTTTATGTTCCTGACTTTTATGGCTTTCCATATATTATACCAGGCATACGTGGCTGGTTTCGATACGCGCACACCTTGTCGAAAGATATGCGGAAAATCGATTACTCGTATAAAATACGAAAGCTCGTGAATACAATTTACTTACGTTTCTCATTCGCCGTTTTCGATTTATTGAAATGGAAATTATTTCCATCTGGAGCGTTCAATCTGCGATACGGTGTGATTTCAAGAGGTTTTTTTTTTTGTTTACCGTTTCGAACAATCTAACTTCATTACGAAACGTACAGTGAATTATTGTTTTTCTTGTTGAATGAGAAAACAATAATAATTATTATTATTATTTGTACGGAAAATGGATTTTTTTACAAAGAAAAGTATAAAAAAAAAAAAAAAAAAAAAAAAAACGGCTAAAATAATTTTCGACCGTTAGGTTAACATTATAATAATGTAGGAAGGAATAGTACCGAAAGTCTGTGTTTTGTTTTTTCCATCCTACGGCGGAACGAAACGTCGTCTCATTCCACTCGAACGATTGCGAACCGCATCGCAATGTATAATGATATGGTGATCACGTGCGGTATATTGTATTATGTAAACCAGTAGACAAACAAATTTGAAACTAATTATTGAATTCGGGCGGTTTACTGCGGGGGAGAGAGACATGTGGATAGTGGCGTAATTTGTATTTTTTACTTATGATCAAATAAAATTATCTATAGGATCCCGTAAAATATAAATTCACCGATTCGCGGAGAGCCGATATCATACCTAATACGTGAATATATAAAAAACCGTTTACTGAATTGGTCAGTATGACGTTATTGGTTCCGTAAATTTGTGTTTGAAATTATTATTCATAAATGAGAAATTAAAGGAGGTATATTGGGCAAAATATGTGCAAAATCGAGATTTATTTAAAACTGTAGAAATTATTATCTTACCTGATAATTATTTCATTGCACAACTAATGATTCTTTTTTTAAATATTTGACTGATGCGCGTAGATAAAATAAAAAATACTGCAGCGGTAAAATATGCACAAACTATGCATATTTGTTGAAAATCGTTAAAATCAAAATTGAAATTTCGACTTTTCACGGATAATATATCTAATAATAATACTCTATTCAGAAACGTTGCTCGTTACCGGAACGGTTTATCGTGACGTATAGATGCAACAATTTAATTACTCTACATATAATCCCTTCCAAATTTCTTTCTAAACCAATGCCACACCCAACAACAGAATCAGCCTGTTTTTATTTTTGATTTTTACTGTTTTTTTTTTTTTTATTACTTTTCTTCGTTAGGCATGATAATATAAAAAAAAAAAAAAAAATCGATGTCGCTCATTTATTGAAAATATTACCTATTAGAAGCGACAAAAATGGTTCGCCGCGCGACATTCGTGTCGTCAAGTATTATACCTACTAGGTCAATATATCCACTGCGTTCTTGTGCCGTAAAATAAATACCATACCAGACGTCACTGACGATTTTTCGATTTCCGTAGGAGTTCGAAGTCAGCGCGTACTCGTACAAGGACTCGGCGGGTTGCGAAGCCGTTCAGAACGTGTGGCAGTTCGTCACTTCGTCCGGCGGTAGGACAGGAGGAGACGATGGCAAAACGACATAATGAAAATAATAAAATCAACACACGGCTGTATCATAAATTATATAATTATTCGCAATATATATTATTGTAAATATAAAATACGAACATTCGATTTATACTGCAAAATAGATAGACGACGATAAAAACAATACGGCGAATACACACGTGTTATCAAATTATTGTTATATTTTAATACAAAAGTGCAAATATTGATTTTTTTTCCTTTTTAATTTTTTTTTCCCGAAAACGCTAATACAATTCTTATATATTGTATTTGTGTATATTTATATAAAAAAAAGAAATTCTTATTATTCGATCAGTATACAAAATATGATGGTTCGTTGGGGTAAAAAAAAAAAAAAAGAACATAATTTTGATATTGTACGCGTCTTCGGGAAATTATTATATTAATATTATATTAATGGGGTTCTAAACGGAACGGGGGTTCCTTTATGTATCGTAATATTATTGTATAACACACACATAGTAAAGCAATTTAGACCGGCTTTTGTCCATCGATTTAGTGAAACGATCGGAGTTCTGACAACAGCTTTGAATCTTTAACGTGAATCGTACCTACACGATACAGTTGTTTTTTGTTTTTTTTTTTTTTTTTATTACGTTTGTATACATTTTCTAGCCAATTCTTTTGAAGTTAAGGACTGAAATTGTGGCCCGGTCGATCTCGTGTAAAAAGCATCACACTGAGTTCAAACGTGTATTCAGAACTCGTGTCGTGTCACTGCATCGATGATGGGCAAACAAATATTGGTCTGAAATGATACTCTGCGCTTGTGTGACGTGTGACGACAAAGAAAGATAGGGGAATCCCTGTTCCGTTTCGAAATCCCTTGAAATCGTTATAATTCGTTTGATTCGGATTTGTTGAGAACTTCATCGCGTACTTATAATTTTTAATATAGTCAGTGTTGAGCACGCGGTATAATATTACAGTAATAAATTATTTTTAGAATAGAAAAAAAAACCACGAATACATGCAGCGTAATAAAAACATATACCATATACACACACAAACACACACACGCACACACACACACAAAAGAAATTTGCGTAGAATATATTATTACAAAACAAAATAAATAATAATGATACAAGTACTTATATGTATTACCAGAAATGTTGACAATTTAGGAAACGATGACAATTCCTACACAGTGCACGTTTAGGGAGTAGTATATCATTGTCTAGCACTGATTGTTATCATTTCCGTAGATTTTTAGGTGACATGTTATCGGAAACTTTGTACCCGTTTTTTCTGAAAGAACAGTAATATATCCGCGCAAAACCATCAAATCATCACCCGATCCGGCTTCGGTTTTATAGGACCGGTAGGTCAAGTGGAAAAACAAATGATATTCAGCCGGAGATAACGGCTACTATATGTAATAGGTTTTTAAGTGCATTTTAAAAATAATATTTTACTTAAAATTTGTGTAGACAATTTCTGGATCGTGAAAAAAAAAAAAAAACTCCCTATTATATACCTAATGTTTTGCATTTTAAAAATATAATCATAACCTATCCAACGTCGGATGTCCTGATATAATGCTCACCATAGTTGCCTGCGGTGTATCGTTGGGTCTAACAACCAAAAAGTTAGGTACATCGATTTCTTATCGTATGAGAAATTGTCATCATTTTTTGATTGTCTGGTAACATGTAAATATATATAATATTATATAATTATATATAATAATGTAATGCGCGGAACACACGGGTTGAACATTATAATATTGAGCTTTGGTAAACGTCATATTTGTGTGCATAAAAATAATATAATATTGACTCGGATATATACGCAAAAGAGATGACGAAAAAATAAAGGGTGAGAGATATAATAGTACACATGTACATATAAACACACTACACGGGATAGACGGGGAAAAATATTTAATAAATAAAACTCAGACTTATATCCGACATCGCGCTATCTCTGACGGTTTCTCTCGGAGTGAAAAGATAAAAAAAAAAAAAAAAAAAAAAAAAAAATGTTTTTCCCGTCTTCGCGATAAAAATACTTAATATATATATTATATGTACATTTTTTTTTTTACACTGTATACGGCATATAATATAATACGTTGGCGGAGTCATCATTTTTTTTCCCGTGGGTCCCCAGGGGTGTCATCGTGGTCCCTGACGAGATTCTGTGGACAAAAAAAAAAAATATAAACACGTCTCTTCGTATAAAAAGGCATGATAAATATATTACTGTTTTTACGATCATACTTACATGTGGTGAGTTTGCTCTGCAGGATCGGTGAAAGGATCTCCTCGAGACTGGCCGATGATCTCAGCTCGGCGCTCGACAATCTGTCGACCTGAAATAGTATCATAATATGTATACGGTTTTATGATAAAAGCTTTAGATTGCCATAATATGCCGAGTCTCATGAAAATGGTATTCGAGTAATATGAATTATAGCAAGCAATCCTATTTGGAAGAAAAAAGTATGTTTCTTTTTTGTGTCCTTCTATGAAATAAAAATTGAATTTAGCGAATTATCAATACTGATATTTTTTTTGTATATCATGCCTAATTTAAAATTATTACTTACTTATACGCTTGAAAAAAATTGCAATACATTTTCAGTGCTATAAATTTTACGAGGGTTGTTATTTAAGAACTCTGATCACAAATTATTATATTGTATTTATAGAAAAAACACGAAAAGTTTAGTGAATTTCGACGTTTCTAAAGACTTATTTAAAATTCTCTGAACTTAGGACTTTTATTTCATTGAATTTTTTTCTGTTGATTTTTTTGAAAATTGCTAAAAAAATATGTTAATGGGAAAAACGTCGTGAGCGAAACTGGGATTCAGTTTAACGACACGGAAATCGGGTGCGATTTCCGAAAGTGTGCGAGCGCATTATTTGGAACCTTTTTTTCCGAGAGGCTGACCACGTTTATTATCTTACGGAAAGACGGTCCGACAAAAAACTGTGCTTTTTTTTATTATCTGGACGAAAAATAAAAGAAATGGACGTATTTTTCGAGCGTACGATCGTATCGTATTGTATATATATATAAGTGACTGGGGTTGGGCCCGAGGGATTTTTGGTGGTCCCACACGAATATCATCACAATATCGTGTAAACGTCGTAAATGTTATGAGAGAAAATATCCATAAAAGTATAAAACTTCTCTCCGCGGAAAATTGTCTCCCAAGTAAAAATCCGTTTATACCACGTGTTTATATAGGTAGTGTTATTGTATTTACATCAACTATATTGGTTTTTTGGAGGCAGGCCACTGCAGAATAACATACTGTTGTTTACTACTGGATGTCGGGTAGAAACTCACGTGATTGTGCTGAGGTGAAAAGTACGTGGGTCCTCCACCCCTGGAAGAAGAACGGACTCCTGAAGATCGGCTGCTCAGGAAGAGCTGTTCTGGTCCGTTGCCATAAGAATGCGCTGCTGACCCACCGCCATACGGGCTGCCGCCGTTGTGTTGGTCCCACTGCGGTGGCCGTGGCTTGCGGTCACCTGGCCATGGTATGATCCCGTTTGGCGTATTGGCGTGCTGTCCGAGTACACCACTTTCAAACGATTTGCTGGACTTGATGGAGTGGAGTTGATGTGCGGCTGTGGTCGTCTTGGCGTCGTCCGTGCCTGCGGAAGGGACGGAAGAGTTCCGGTTGGCATCTACGGCAGGACTGCATTTGCCAATCCCTACCGGCCCCGTTTCCGGAGGACTGTTGTTATTGTTATTATTGTGATTGTTGTGATTGTGGTTGTTCCGGTTTTGAGCGTACACCGCCGTCGTCTGGTTGATGTTTTTGGGTGGCCCGTAACTGCTTACCGGGTACACGTGGTCTGGAACGCACTGCCACGGTACCACGCCACCGCCTCCACTGACGGTGCCGCGGATTTCTTGACTAGACCACGGTGGAGGGGTTTTGCCGGTGGTCACCCGTTCACCGTTGCTGAAAAACAAGCAACGAGTACGTTAAATTATATAAATCGGGAATTCACCTTTTTGTAAAACGAGAGCCGTTTGGGAAAAACGGGAGCCGAGTGAGCCCTTTTTTTATGTATTGAAATTTCCATAATAATACAATTACATATGTATACCTGTTTGTTGACCTGATCGAGTTGTACGGAAAGTCTCGAGTCAGGTGATTTTCAGTCCTTTTGTTGAGTGCGTTGTCTTTTTGCTCGAGATCGTGTAACCTGCATGCAAAGACAACGAATTTATATATATATATAACGAATGTGTTTTGTTTATGGCAATTGAATTAAAGAGATGAAATACAAACGGAATTTGCGGAAATGAACATTTTTGTGACCTATAGGTTAAATAAGATATACAGCAGGAGAAAAAATTGAGAATAGATTGAGGAAGTCAAACGATTAGGGGAGTCAATTGGTGGCGACAGAAGGAAGCCGGGGATAAGCCAAAGAAAAAAGTCTGGTATTACGGGTGTAATATGCGGGAGGCGTGCGTGTGAAGTAGTTAGATGGAAAAATCGTAATGGATGTACAGGAAGATACGGAAGGTAAGAATAAGAGTATACAGCTGACTTTCTTGCGTGGGATAAAGATGAAGATGAATACGATTATAGGTCGAAAAATCATACTCACCACCGCGAATGGTTTATAAGATTCCGTTGATCGTGACTAGAATAATTCGTTGTCGTCGGGCTGAGTAGTGTCGACGGGTTGACGTATAGGGAAGAACAGCTATTTTTGGCGTTCTGGTCCATGCGCACGCCGGTAGACCCGTTTTGAAGATTTGGTTGCTGTACACGACTGCGGGGAAACAAATGGAGACAAAATATTATAAACGCGTTATCATGATAGATATATTGTGGTTTTGATATAACAGCACACGGTTTCGTATTTCTCTTGGTTAGGTTAAATGTACCTGTATTATACTGAAAGTACCAAACTATCGAAAATATCTATAGTCAAAATTATTAAAAATACCAGTAAACGTAACTTAATACTGTCAAAGATTAGTTTAACTAATAATATCTGTTGTTTCGATTCCATGGACCCATAAAGAAATGGACTGATATTAGAAAAGAATGTATGATATCTAACATTTTTAGAAAGAAATGTTTACATTGAGATATCATTGAAGAAAAAAATGTATATAATCAGTTACCAATGTCTGTGGTCATCGTTCTTAGCGTGCCTGTGGTTGGAGTCATGATGGAAATATTTCAATTATGAGTGGAGCTTTTCCCGGGGCTAGATGGCTGATGAAGGAATATGGTAAACTGAATTGTTTTCTATCCATTGGAGACTATCTGTCCATTTTTTTTATGGGTCTATGATTGATACCCACTAGGGGTGCATAGTTAGACACTCGACTTCCGTGGCTGTGAGGGGCGACATATTAATTTTATAAGTGCTTTTTTTTATACATATACATTTATTTTTTATAAAGGTGGCCATGTTTTTTGCTTTAGGAAAATTTCACTTTTAATCGAAAATTATTTTTTATTTATTCCAGACGGACACCACGACGAAAAACGATACCGGCTAACGTCACGTGAATTAATTGCACTTGTCTCTTGTCTCTTTGTTTTATTTAATTGAATAAATTACACGGAGCTTTGTGCATTTTTATTTTCCCTACTGTCCATAAATTCTAACTTTATTAACTACATATTGCAAAAACGTTCATAAAATCGTTAGAAAAGACGTACGCTGCAGTAGGTAACTGCAGTAGACACAAATGTCATTGTTGTTGATGCAAACGTAAAAAAATAAAAATGAAAAAGGGAACGATATGATAACGGTAAAAATATTATTTAGGTCTAATGAAATTTTTAAAAAACAAAAAAAAACCTGTTTAAAAATAATTGTTTCGTTTAACGGCATTAAATATTTTTTCTATGTTTTTTAAAAATTAAATAAGGTGTATGCTATTCGAAGTGCACGAATTTATATGAGAAGCATTGTTGTTCCAAGATAAGTATTTTTTTTTTTATCTAGGTAAAGTTCAAGCTGATGGTGAAACTAAAATTTATTTAGATGCAGGTAATAGATTATCCAAAAAAACGTGTCTAGGTCCCAGACTCTAGATAACAAATAGAATACATTATATGTCGTAGGCGTATAGTTAAATCAGACATTTTACTAAATGCCTGTTTCAAGTCAGTTAAGTAATAAAAATGAAACGTTTTTATATTATTTTAAAAATTAAAATATATTTTCTTATAAAAATTATTCAACCCAACAATATAAAAATAAAAGTTCCACAGGTTTTTACTTTTGAAAAATATTATATCTTATTGAATCTTATGTACATACTAAACACCGGTAAAATTGTAATCTTATCAATAATTACGTAATTTTGACGTCACTGAAAAATATACAGAACATGGTTGAATTCTACTGTAATTTAGTTTGGTATGTGCATATGTGATTATAATATTGTGGCCGGCCTATTCAAAATTTGTTTTAGTAATATATAATATATATATATTTATATCACATAATATCATTTCACACAGTAAATTGTTTTATGAATAATAAATTGAGATAAATTTATGACAACCAAGAAAAAAAAAAAAAAAAAAACCGTGGATTCAAGAAGACTACGACAAAACTCTAAACGAAATCAACGATACAAAATTAAATCCAGGCAAAACCAATATTATTTGTGTCGTAAATAGTATTTAATTGAAGCAGAAAATGTTAAACACATTGTTTTAAAACCAATAACTAAAATTGAAAATATTATTCATGTTGTACCTTATGGAAATTATTTTGAAAAAATTGAAGAAAGTCAAGATAAAGCGACTGGTCATGGCGGAAGGGATAAAGTTGAGCAGTGTATAAAAAATAGGCACAATATTCCTTGAACAGCAATCTAAATATTCATTTATCTTTGTACAATTTGTAACTTAAAAAAAAATCAACACCCTATACTATAAAGGTGTTTTTTTGTAAAATCAATTATACATTATTTTTTCTTTGGAAATAAAAATCAAAAAAAAAAAAATTATGCAGACAGATTTTAATTCAAGAGCATTGATTTTCGATCAACAATCGGTAGAAGTTTTAAATGGGTTATGGACTATCGGGATCACGCTACTAAGTATTTGTATCTTCGAACACTTTAAAAAGAGCCATCGAAATTGTACATGAACTTTAAAACAACAGTACTTTAGGATATGAAATTAAAAATATTTCATATACTTACGTATTTTATGCATTAATAAATTATACATAATTTTTGTATATAATAGTAACAAATAAATAATTTACAAGAAAATATAGTCTAGTTTTTAAAATCATATGAAACATTTAATTTGTATTATTTGCTTGATTTGAAATAGGTATTTAATTTAAACGACTACTAATTAAGCATTTAACTTGATGTTTATGCGTATAGTAAAATCGTATACAAATTAAACTATTGTGCTTACGAAATATGAATACATTCATTTACGGGATTAATAATTAGGTAAATATTAAAATATTTATTTCTCGGCGAAAAGTACGGACAATTTTGCTTTGTATACCTCCTTTTGTCATTGATTAAAATTAAACATGTTGAGATTAATAAAAAATTTTAATTCGGGTATTCGGGTAGTAAAAACGAATTACAGTAGGTGACAAGGTGCAAGTATAAGTTAGTACTGGTAGTATTCTGCGAGTGAAATATCTAAAAACCGAAATATTCTATTTATGACGAATGGATCTGAATAATGTTTAATAAACCGTATATGTCTAAAGAGAGCATTAAGTAGATAACTCAAACCATAATTATCTGGATTAGACAATAGATATTGACTACATAATACAGTAGAGTTAGTGATCGTTGACCAATATCCAGTAAGGTCTAATGATTAAAACGGTTCCTCGATAAAGCGGAAATTTGAACCGTTCGAAAATTGAATTTCTCGTGTATTGAAACTTCCGTCAAACGGAAACCCGCAAATAGCGAACGGTACATGTCCGTACACGGTGTTCGGTCGCTCGGAGTTCCGTTCCGCAGACAGTTTTCGAATTTTCGTTGTATTATTTAGTCTACCATACTGCAGCTGCACGAGATAAAGGTCACCAACACCTTTCGGTAAACTAGTTCAGAAATGTTCGATTACGTCCGTCCCAAATCCTTAGCCTTTTCTCTGTTTTCTTTTCGCGTTTCTCCGAACTCGTATAACGCTTATTTTCCGTTTTGATAAGTTCTCCCTGAATGAGGTCAGTACACATGGGTGGGTTTAAGTAGATCCGCCTCATCGCTTATTTTTTTTTTATTATAAATATAATATATGCAATATATGTATAGACTTTACTATGCGTAAAGATTTTTCGGTCAGAGTATTCAACCAGTGAATTCTATATGTATAGAAATTGAAACACTATTAATTTGTTCGTCATTACTATAATTATATAATAACAATAGTTCGGCTTAACCATGAGTTCGTGTCGCAAAACTCTCTAGTTGACGGTATTAATAAAATTATCAATGTGTGACCGAAAAAAAAAATAAACAAAAATAGTTTGTTATCATATTTTACCAAAAACTCGGATTCGATAATAATTGTCGATCCAGATAAACTTTGGGAAACCTACTAGGTATACCGCTCCTCTTCCACTCGGTGCCGTCTCTTCGACTATCTTCTATCCTTTCTGAATATCATATTTATGCCACTCATCCCTGCTGTCTTATACACCGTGAAGTTGATTTTTATAATTCATCGGATCGTTGATTTTCTAGCTCCTACGGTTCTCTTTCCATAATATAACATATGCCATTTATAATATTAATGATTTTCCATCGTCCATTCGGATGTGAATTCGCAAAAGACAAAATCTGGATTATAATACGACGGTAGCCACGACGAAAGAGGAGCTAATGTTATTTAAAGCCTTTTAAAAAACAATACGTGTATAATAAACCTTTTTCCTCCCGCGCATCGTATAAAAAAAAAAGATATAATAATAATATTAATATATTATAAATATTTTACATACAATCGATAACTGCCACAAAAAACTGCTTTCAACGGTTAATTTCGACAATATTATTATATAATTTGTGATAAAGTGACAAGTAAATATAGAAAAACTTTTCAATAAAAAGTTTCCCGAACTTTTAATATACCGCCACCACGCTGCAGTTTAAGCGTACGGTTTTTATTTTCTTATATATAAATATACGTAAGAGTTAAAAGAAAAAAAAAAAGTTTTTCCGTACAATCTTTAGGGTAGGCGTAATTAAACAGAAGGAGGGGAGGGGAGGAATAACAAATGATTTTACACGCCACTTATATAACTGCTCGAGTCAATCGATTAGAAATTGTAAAGTTTATCGTAAGTGTATACATTAAGAAGTTAGGCAGTGCGTTTTTTTGTAAGATTTATGTCGAGCGAATTAATTTGCACGTTTATTATTTTAAAATAAATTATTGTAAACGATTAATGAACATAATTTATACGAGGGTATATATACACAGAACAGCGAACATAATAACTCTCCGAGATTGCAACCGAGGGTAGAAGGATATAGTGTAGTGCTTAGCAGTTTTAATTAGCACGAGAGATTATATAAAATGAACAATTTTCACAAAAACCGCGGCCGCTGCCGCCACGACGTCCTAACCTCGAGAGGACCATTCAAAAACCGTATTAATCACGGAAAATACTCCTGAATGATAACGACGTAAATATAATATAATAGGTATACATAATGATGACGACGAGCAATTTTTTTTATTTTCGACCAACGAGATTCGTGATATTGATATTGTTAATAATATTATTGTAATGCACAAGTACCTACTTATAACTGACAAAAAAAACAAATACAGTACGGACGGACATTTTAATATACAGTATAATAACTTTAATTATAAATGTAAAAAGCCCGACGAATTTCGAACTACGGGTATAGGCAGTAGTTAGAAAGTTTGAAATATGTACTATGTAGGATATAGGGGGTAATTTAATTTATATACTGAAAGCGACGATACAAAGAATTTTAATGAAAAAACGATTCTTAGCGAAGTAGTATTGTTGTAGTATTAATTGTATTTTTTCCTTAAAGCCAAGATACAACACAGAAATTAACAAAAGTAAAACCGATGTCTCAAACATTTGTTGTCAGTTTTTAAAACTATATTAAATATCTGTTGGATATTGTTGAAATAAAGTACAATCGGGAGACAAATTCGCATCTTTTGTGGTCTGGCATAAAAATATGCACACGTTCTTATTAGGTTGCCGAAAAAAAACACACACTTTAGTACTGAACCAAATAGATTCTTCGCTCCACTATAGCGACTCCGAAGAAATCCTAATGAAAAAAAAAAAAACTGTTAACCGAAAAATCTATAATATTTTTTGTTTTATCGAGCTTCCATTGACGTATAAAAACAATAATAAAGATAGTTTTTTTCCTGTAATAAATAACTCTTGTATTTACGAGCTACGTATCGTGTTCGAGATTAATAGCTGATAAGTACCTATAGTGGGATCGATTTAAAATAATAAGAACTGAAATTCTTTCGACCTTCGCGTGCGATACGTTTTCGACGAGGTGAAAATAAGAATAAGGCGTCTGTTGTTGTTTTTACCTACAGGTGTTACAAACGCGATTAATATCCGAATAAGATCGAACAGTGGGTTGGAATAATTATAGTATAGGTATCTACATAGAAAAATCGTAATTCGTTGCGATATAATTTTCGACGAGGCGACAAATGTTTTTTTACCTACACGTGTTTTATGACCGATTAACAATCTGATAAAGATCGGTTTAATGAACGCATTTTGAAATCCATCTCTTTCCGTGGCCATGAGAATTCATTATTTTGTCTATGGAAGACAGCGGAATTGTAAGTGTACACGATTTTCATTTTTCTGATACTGGATATTGGGATACGTATTTTTTTAGAAAGGTTTTTTTTTTTTTTCATATAAAACATTTTATAATAAAGACGATTAGCATTATAATACTATTAATAATTTTATTTTACTTTGTTTCATCGATATTTTTAATAAAAAGTTAAATTTTATTTTCGTTTTAAGTACAAATCATTGATTACTTCACGTCGGTTGTTATGTTGACTTATCCGTGGCAAGATAGCAAAGCTAACACATTATTTAGTCTATAGTCTATAATCATAAAAACACACAAATTCTTAAAAAGTTTAATAAAGATTTGTACACGTATATTATTATATATATACACACAAATAATAATTATAACGCGCTTATTAATTATGTTTTAATACTGTTCCTGAGACAATAATTTATTCATTTCACACGCAGTGTTGACATTCGTGCCTATAAATCTATCTCGTTATCCGATGTGCTGATATCACGAATATTAAGATACTGTTATTGGTCCGCGACTGAGATTTAATAATTTCTATAATCGACTAATTTCTATTGAAATAATCATATACTATTAACAAACAAATAAGACGCACAGTAAATATTGCATTTGTTTTTCAAATTATTGCTTTCGAAGTAAATGGTATTTAAAGAGAAAAGTTCAAACGGATCTATCCTCCTTCCCACCATAAATACACAACTGGGACGGGTTCGATGAACAGCATTTTTAATTCTTGCGGTTAAACCGTAACAGAGGTATGTGTATACATTTGCGCTTTTCGAGAAAATAGTTCTATTTCGACCGGAAAACAACATGTCTGCAGCAGCAGACGTCGTGAAATAAATGAACGGTAGGTACTATAAGTTTTCAATATACGTACCTGTATGGTTTCGGAAAAAATAAATCGAATTTAATGTAGAAAAATATAAATTTGGGTTTGTTCGTGCATATTCCGACAGAGCAGAACCGTTCGTCCGAATAAACCATTCGGATAATAATTTATTTGCCCGGTCGAGTTTGTGGAGGCGTTTTCGGTCTCTCGATAGATTTTGTGGACTTTGTTTTCACCTCACCCTCACCACCCCTTATTGCGTCGATCAATAAACTTTCGTCCGTATATCGAATGAGCATGTAGATAAACATAATGTTATGTGTGTGCGTATAGTAATTTTGACTTTTATCGCTAAGCGCATGGTCATAAGACTTTAAGTCGAAATTCGACCGAAAACAAGCCATACATATTGTGGGTATACGACTTTTGGGCAGAGTTAAAAACTAATAACAGCTGATTTGTCGACTTATTATAACCCGGTTAAAAAGTTTTCCTCGGTGGTTTACTCTGCGGGTTATAATATAAGTATAGGTATACCGCATGGTCCGGGATAAAACGTCAAAAATACCGGTACACAAAATGTTTGGAGAAAAAAAAAATCGATCAACCGTTTTATTTACCGTTAACGTACAGGCAGACGTATAGTGTGTAGTGTAGTATAGATATTGACTTTGACGACTGGTCACGAAACTTTTGTAACCTACTTGGAAATATTTTCGAAAATCAAAAAAAAACGAAAACGTTTCCCGCGTTTCCTTACGTATAATAGTGCAAAATAATGTTCGGCAGCAGTAGTGTATGCGCGTTATATGATACGCGATACCGAAATTATCGAAACTTTGTCGGGTTTCGTTATTGGTTTCAAATTAGATGAACAACAAACGTGGAAAAAAGCCAATCGTTTCATTTCCGGCGAACTGAAAATATAAACGCACCTAATACACGAAATCGTTTCAGGGCAGTTTTTCATTTAGGTGCACTGCGTTTCGTTACAAATGCGGTCATTTTTGATTCAATATCAAAACGGATTGCTAGGAAAAAAAAAAAAAAATTAAAATCATGAACAAATTGCAACTACGCGATAGTGCCGACAATCGTTTACCGTTTTCGCACGGTGTAAAAAAAAGAAGATATTGAATTTGCTGAACACTGTGTCGTATCGTATCAAAATATAAAATCGGCCGTAATGTTAATACGCCGCTCGTGTGAAATCAATTAGTTTTATTGTTACAGAGATCACAAATTTATGATTTTGTCCGAGTTTGAAAAATTCAAGAAATTTGTATAATCAGAAAATATATTTAATAAGTCGTGTAAAATTTATGATAAACGATAAAGGTAAAAAAAAAAAAAAAAAAACAACAGAAAAAAATAGAGCACGGGGGAGATTGTGTAATATCTCCTTAATCTCTCTCCTAAACGCCGGCCCGTTGATTTTACGAAAACAAAGGATATTTCACGTACACGCAGACTTATGCATATTAATTGTTATTGATCGTGTTTATATTGCATAATATGAGTACTTATAAGCGGTACATTGTACATAGATATTCCCCTTGTGGCCTTTATAATTTACAAATACAATGAATATGTGACTGAAACACAGTAGAACGCCGAAGGCAGCAGATGGCGTATGCAATTGTTTAGACAAAGAGCGAAAATCGAGCTCGGAATTCTCAAACGGTCGCAGTGGGCGTGCCAATATCAGTTCCAAATGCGCGATTATAGCCAATAATTTAAAAGTGATTTTACGGAATCAATAACGGACGGATACTAAACAATCCAGCAAAAGGTTTTTGTTTATCGTACAAGCGTTTACACAGTACATAATACGCTGCCATTATAAACGAGGATTATTCGAAATTGTAGTAGAACGGAGTTAACTCCCCAACGGGTCAGTGAACTGAATATTTTTCGAGGGCGATGGGTGTTGGATGGATTTGATTCGCTTGCTAAACGGTCATTCAATCGCATATTTTTATCGGCTATCCTGTTACACCACGACGGTGGACATAAATGCCGAATTCGCTTCGACGTTACACGGTGTGAACAATGTCTTAATAAATTCTTTGCACGCGACTGGGAAGATGCGATTTTATATACAATAATATGACCACGAATCCGGATGTCAAAATTATTATTGTAGTTTCTGCACTCTGATGATGACATAATATTTAGTAATATATAGGCAAGTACCTACAAAAACTCTGACGATGTTATCACAACGTTATAATATCGAAAAACGGCCGTCTACGAATATCCGGAAAACCTAAAACGTCCTAGAGCCGTCATTTTGAGCGGGGGAAAAAAACGAATGAAATACGAAATATCTATAGGTGGTGAATACGGAGGAATTAGAGAAGAGGCTTAGGTTACGCTCGTGCAAACGAAAAAAACCGAAACTGTACTCGAAAATTGGCAAACCGGCGGAAACTAAGGGAAACTTCTCCGGATTTCGGAAGGGTGGACACGGTTTCCTGAGAGGGGAGAAAAATACAGAAACGTTATATTTGTAATATCGTGACACAGCTAATTCACCTATCACCCCACGGTTATCCGTCAATATATATATTTTTTTTTAAATATCTACCTACCGAGGGGTTCTTTTTTTCTTAATGCGACGGATTCGAAAACCGTTTTTTTTTCAACGGAAGATTCCCGATGACGGTTCGTCACATCGATTTTATGTTTCTCGCACAAACGGCAACAACAAAAACACAACTGATGTTATTACCAAGACAGCGCAAGTTAACAATAATTTCTACCCCGTTGAGTCAAGTTAAAAGTCCACTAATTTTTTTTATTAAAATTTAGCTAAATGGTCGTGGCATATTATTGTATTTAATTTAAACGAATATAATATATATCTCGACAAGATTTTCGGATCAAAAAAAAAAAAATTGGTCGGGTCGGATGAACACATTATCTTTCTTCATACACACACGTTTAAGATTCGTACGAGATAAACGTAGACTAGGCAAACATAATAGCCTATATTATACTAATATTATACTAAAGACCTTCCTTAGCTATTACCATAATATGTATCCTACTTTAAACTATATATATATTTTTTTTTTCAAATAACCCTCGATATGGAAAATCACGTCGGTCAGAACGCGGGAAATTGTCTCACCGTCCAGAAGAATAACGGATTTTCAAATTTACATGCCGCGTTTTAACGCGGACTCGTTGTAAGTTTTAAAAACATAACGCAGTGGTCGTATAACGATCGAAAAATGTCGAGAATGTTTTAAACGTCAAGTTTCCTACCTCCATCAAAGTACCGAAAGTTTCGCCGGTTTTCACGAAAACGATGACAAACCGTTTTTTTAAAAAAAAAAAAAAAAATAAAACACGTGTTCTTTTTCACTACGTTGTACAATACTGCAGTAATACGGGTTTTCAATTTCATGCTTTTTCGATTTTGACGTTTCGCTAATATCTGTCGGAACAACATAAATATACCTAGTAATAGTTTCATAATTTGCCGTCAACCATCACGATCATCGTTCGTCAAATAACATTTTTCGACGCGTATTCTGCACGTACAACAAATTACATTTTATACATTATTACATAAAAAAAAAGTTTTTTTTTTTTTTTTTACAGAATTTAATTAAATATAATATTATTAGGTGTATGTCACGATGCATAGTGAACAATGTACGTATGGCTCTTTAATTCTTTGTCAAAGCTCATTTGTTTAATTAAAATCGCCGTCAACGTGCAATCGTTAATATTATTGTAACATATTATTATTATTTTACTGTACCGTACCGAAAGTACATATAATGTTATATATATATATATATGTTTTACCTTAAAATTAATATTGCTAAAAAAAAAAAAAAAACATAATAATATAATAATTGTTTTGAAAAATACACACATTACGAAAACGGATTTTTATAAACAACAATATGTGTACGTGTGCGCGTGCAATGTGTAGTTTGATATTTTACTAAATGAAAAATCCGTTATTCACTAGAGGTTTTAGCTCTTCGTACCTTGGTAACTGATTTGCGCTTTTCGAATTCGGCATGCCGGCCGCGCATTTGTCCGCGGGGCCTTCGCTGTATGGCGGCGGAGGGCTGTCGCCGGCTTCGGGTACCGTCGTGTCTTTTAACGAGCAACTACGTTACGGATACATGCAACAAATCCAAAAAAATAATAATAAAAAATAAAATAAAAAAGACGGACATACGTCGCACCTTCGGGTGGGCCACTTAGTTGTTAGTGAGGAGTTGGAGATGTAGGATACCGCGGGGAATTTAACGTGCGTCTGTACGCTACGATTAAACATTGACCATTGTTTTCGAAAAACGATTCTGGGCGGAGTTTGGTTATATAAAGGTTTTAAAAGGCCGTAATATTTACGATTTTCGTCAAAATTTGATATTCAAATTTCTGTATAAAAAATACTACATTAAACTTCACCTTTTCTTATTGACCGATTACTATAATTTATAATGAGCCTCCTGTTGAATATTTAAGCATTCCTGTTTGGTCTAAATATTTTATCTATTTAGGGTACCTATTGAATAAAAATTACGAAAAAACTTGTTAAATTAAAATGTCTACAAATATCTCAAGAATGGCCCAAACGTTTTGAAAATGTTACCACGTCTAAAAAAGGCAAATATAAGTTTTTATAAGTTTTTCTGACGTAGAAATTAATATTTCAAGAAGATATAACGTAGAAATAAAACGTAAAATCCGTTAGAATTAAAAGAAATTGTATAATGTATTATAGTAGGCAATAACTTTTGCGAGATAAAATATACATTTATTTTCAAAAATCGGTGAAATTCAAATTTCCCACGTCGAAAAAAAAATAACTCGAAGAGAGTGTTTACCAGGTGAAAATACAACTATTGATCGATCGATTATTTGTCTACGATAAAGCGCTATAGATAACTCAACCGATACATTTCAGTCTGTATAAAATAAAAGATAGCTAAATGCGTATGTTATAATAAGTCTCGAGGTGCTGCGTAATCGTGCATTTTTTTTTCTTTTTGCAAAAGAGACATGCAAAACAATTCACGTGTACAAGACGAGTAGAAATGTACAGTGTATACTTGTTTACTGACCTTTTGGCTCGTCGAGACGAATAGGTTTTCCGTTTGGACGACAGGGGCGGCGAATTTGGCGACCTCGCCGCGGTCTTCACGGCCGTGTACGGTATTTCCCGTAATTGTTCCTCCGTCATGCCGTCCGTCTCCACCAGTTCGAATTCCAAATGTTTTTTCAGCTCTTCGGGCAGACGCGTCTTACCCTCCGATGGTGACCTGGACCGCGACCTGACGAAATTTAGATAAAAATACGCGGCGGTCATTATTATTGTAAAGGCGCGGAAAAACGGAAGAAATTAATATTTCTTCCGTTATTAATCAATCATCGATAACTAATAGGTATGATCGTATTGAAATATATAATATATTTATACAATGTGTATACAATTTTTGAATGCCGTCGATTATTATTTATAATAAGTGTGGAATAGGCGTGTGGCGAGACTTACAAGTTGTTATAATAACGGTCAGAGGTTGTTACGTACCGACGGTCGTTCAGAAAAACACGCAAAACCCTATTAAGGCTCGATATTATTATGATAATTTTTCGGAAATCCGACCGCGTAGCCCGCCGTTATTGTTTCGTTAACCGTTATTTTAATCTCCCGATCGGGCCCCATTAAAAATTGTTCCGTAAAGTGGATTAAAAATTGAGTTATATATATATATTTATTTTTTTTTCGATACAGTAATTTAATAGGATGGTTTTATCGATCCGACCGGAATTTAATACGAACCCGATCGTGTTTTTACGGGGGGGGAGGGGAGGGGAGGGGAATCGGTGAATATTACAAAGGCGTTACCCTGATAGAATTTATGGAAAAATACGGTTTGTATAAACGCGGAACTATAAGAATAAGAGCATGATAGCCGACGATACCACTCGTGCGTGGGATGAAGACCGAGAAGACCGTAATGTATAACGCGGTTTATAAGACGAATAATTTACGAGAAATCCGGTCTCCGGGTCCAGTGGCGGCTATATCCTCGACGAAATGCGTGTTGGATATTTCCGAGGGCCCGCCCATCACCCACCTTCTGTGTTATGTGAGCGGTTATATTTAATAGAAAACTTGAAAACCCAATTAAAAAAAAAACGGAGACCAAATGTTTCAAAAAAATACGCGTATTTTTAAGGTATATACGACATGGAAAAAATCGGATAACTGTTAATCGGTTCTGTGAAACGAAAAATCGTTACCACGGATATACGTCATCAGACACAGAATTATCTTGTCGACAATGAGTCGTTGAACTGATTTCAGTCCCGTAAAGTTTACGGGAGTCGTTTATTCCCGACATATTTTGCAGAAATTCTCCTCGTAATTTAATCGTAATTTCGTCGCCGCGCAAAAACGCAATTTAATTATCTTGTTACCGAGACTTTGTTCCGCGTAGCGGGTACGAAAACTGTACGAGCTATATAAATAAAATGTCGATTTCATCACTCTCGTCTCCACCGGACTCGTCTGACGCTCGTTGTTCAAAACGTTAACTCATTGACCGCGGCGAAGGAATCTCAGAGAAAGACGCGAGCGCTCTTAAAAACTACGACGGTTTGGATTTCGAAATTCACGTCGAACTTTCCCGATGGATACTTTTCGTGCGAGCGCGGGTTAACGACTCGGACCCGCGTCGTTTGTTTATCGCATTGAACCGTCGTAACTTCCAGAACAACAGGGTGCGCCGCGTAACAGTATTGTTAATCGACATGCGCGAATGCGAAATTCCAATATAAAACACAACAACGTTCGACGAACGCGTCACGGGGCGTAGATATCCGTAATCTCGCCGAACCGATGGGTTACGGAAACGTTTCAGAGCGACCCGGCGTACCGGGACCGAAAACATTTACCCCGTCGGGTTATCGCCCGACCGCGTCGCTCACCTGTGTTTCCGGTGTTTGCGCCTCCGGTACGACGACGAGTGATGCGAAATCTCGCTCTCCGACTCCAGCCCGCTGTTGGCGTAGCCCGACCGGGGCCGGACCACCGAGGCCTTTTGTATGGCCGACCTGCCCTCGGCCTGCCGGCGCTGCACCTCGCGCCACTGTCCCTCCGACTCGACCAGCTGGTACCGGTGCTGCCTGTGCTCGTGCTCGTCTCCCGTCGTCGCCGCCGCCGCCGCCGCCGACGACGACGACTTGCGGCTCCTGTGCCTGTGCCTGCGGTGCGACTTGCCCGACCGGCCCGACTGTTCGCTGTCGTTGTCCGACGACCGTCGGTTCCGGTGTCTGTGCCTGTGAACGATAACGGGATGATAGACAATTAATCGAAAACAAAACAAAAATGTACAACGTCGGTGTCGGCCGACGGACGACGTTTTAGCTATCGCGCGATGTCGCGTTCATTAGGATACGCGAAGCCGAGAAAACCATTGTTTTCTCGACACTTGTACGCGCGAGTACTCGGATAACTCGCGCATAACTCGGTGTACTGGAGTACCGGTTTTGACGAAACGTTGTGTTGATTTTCCGTCGACACTTCTTCATGCCGAAAATGGGGGGGGGAAAAAAAACACCGTGTACGACGCCCGACGGGAACTCACGTTTGCCGCGGTTTTTTATAGGCACTTGACACCCGATAAAAATACCCTCCTCCCGAACGGAGCCGGAATAGTTATATTTTTTCGTACACGCGCGACGTCGGTACCGAGGACGCGGTCTACTGGGGGTTTCGACTGTTAGGCGGAGGAGAGTAGCCGAGCGCTAACAAAACGCCGCGCGCCGTGTCGCTACATACAAATACGCTACGCCACTGCACTCTCCCTGCTTAAACTTAAAAGTGGAACATCTCGTCGACGGGTTGACGGGAATCGAACATTTTAACGCCGCAATGTGTTTAATGCTACTAACGCTCCGTCTGTTCACGGGATTTTTAATTTAAAACGGCAGTTTGCATCGCCGCAGGACACTGTCCGCGAACGTTGTGAGAAATCTAAGCGTTCGAAAATATCGGCTCTAGCTGCACTTAAAAAGTTCCAAAAACTCGAATTCGAATGTACACCGAATTTAAACGAAAATCCCGAGTGAGCAAGCTTAGTGAACCATCCTGTATACAATTCGTATAGTATTTTAATATTAAAGTAATCGATTATTTATTGTTTGACAATGGATATGCATGTATAATAGAAAGTAGGTAGGGGAAAATTCGACTTTATTATAGTGATGACGGAGCACTGTTGCGCGCGGATGTTTTTTTTTTTTTTTTTTCAAGTCGTAATGGTTCGTCGTCATTCACAGTCAATTGCGTGTTTATTTTAAATAAGTCATAAACACGTGTTGGTTCCTATACACATATTACGTTACATTAATGTCTGTCACTCCGTACAAAGGATTTCCGTAATTGTTCGTAATGAAAGTCCTCCGGGTAAATAGGTGTTGATTTATGTCAACATTAATTTCGAATGCAATAACGTGTGTGAGGTATAATGAAATAATTAATCGTCGTTTTAATGGCAGTTAAAAACTTTATAGGTACGAAATACATCGTTATAATAGCCTCGTACACATAGTCGTATATCGAACGGCATAATATAATTCGGTACAAATGGAGGATAATTATTATTTTAAAGACGTCGTTTAAACCGAATAGAAGTTTGATCGATTCGTAATCCGGATTTAATAATAAAAAAAAGAGCTTAAACTACTGAAGCGGTGTGCCGCCGCTTTCGTAAGTGGAAAGTTAAATACATAAATTTATTTAAATTATGTCTATAAGAAACGTCGAACCGTTGACAACGAAAAACGACTCTGAGCGAATTTGGTTTATACACGACTTAAGATTTTCATCGACATTTCATATCTCGACCGTTATAAAACAAAATACCACATAACGCTACTTTTTTTATTCAGCCACTAACTATAATTTTTCCATCGAAGTTACTATGAGTATTTTTAACTGAATTACAACAAAAAAATGGACATTAAAATAATACAAATATTATTTCCGTAAACTTTTGTTTCTTTCTAAGTTTTTTTTCGGTTTTGCTCAATTATTAAGAAATTTTACATGGAAAATAAAAAAAAAAAAATTACCTACTGATCAACTAGATAAGAATTGCAACAAAAAAAAATTCTCTCGTTATTTTTTGATTAGAGCAAGTTTTCTGGTGAACATGTTGATCACAGACACAAAAAATAAAAACGCATAATAAAACCAATAGATCCCTCATTACGTTCCGAATTTAGTATGCGGGTCGATCAATCTATCATAAGAAACTCATTATTTCGGAAATTATTAACTTTTTCTGGAATTTATTTTCTAGAAAATTTAAGAAACGAGCTGATCTTGAATTTTATATTTATGTTATTTTTTTCCATCCTTATTTTTAGGGCTAAAACCACTGTCTACTTTTGATTTTTAAATAGCAACCTATATTAAAAGTTCCATAAATAGATGGGGTGTTATTTAAAATAAATTTTAGTGTTGACATTTTTGATTTCTATCTAGCCGTTGACGAGATATTCCACTTTTAAGTTCGGGTTGGAGGAGAGTAGTGGAGTATCATTTGTACGGCGATACGAAACGCGTCGTGTTAATAACGCACCAACCATTTTATATAGTTAGATAGATGGGAAAACTGACGGACTGCGCTATTTTAGAAAATTTGTAGTTGAATATTGTATAACAATCCGGGATTTATATGGATTGTCACATTCCGATCGATCCGGATTCAGCGTCCGCATTAATCCGGATTAAGTGCTTAGAACCATAGATTATAGTTTAAATGAATACCGAATTGTGGTCGAATCAATCGATAAAAAAAAAGAAAAAAGAACCGTATAGGTAACATTATTGTTTTCTCGTGTATATAAAATGATTTACTACGCGTGCCGTTGCAGCTGTTGAAACGTGTCACTTCGTATACGCTGCTGGTGAAATGATATTATTAAATAATACAAAATAAATTCGTCGGCCGTCTTGTATTGTATAGAATAATATAAATAGAGAAAAAGTTTTCGAATCTAAAACAACGTAATAAAAGCTTGTTTTATATCCGTAGACTTTTCGTTTTGTGGGCGCCCCGTTATAGCTTTTACTCCGTGAAAGCATGATGGGGGGGGGGGAGTGAGAGACGGTAAACTAGCGGTCGAAAAACGATCTCTGGAGGAAACCCGTGGTTCTCTTCGGTCGTAAACTTACACAATACTTCACACGGACTCGTCTGGCTAGCAGACCGCCGCCGGCTGTCGTCGATGTGTTGATTTAAAAGCAGCTATACTTACAATGTGTACGGTAAACAAGAGTATAGAGACGGGTGGAGTGTGGGGGAGGTATTTTATATCGGAGTTCTCAGACATACACCGTTAAAGTATAGTGTAGTTATTTTATATCTCGTGTTCCCTCGAACGGATAGCAGGTGAAAATTCGTCTGTATAGGATGGAGGAGGAATGCAACACAAAATGCGAAGGATTTTTACCGATCCGTTTTCGTTTTGAAAGTAACTGAAAGTCGACAAATTTGAAAAGTCCGTGTATAGAAATCGACATTTAAAAATCGGACATTGAAACGTTTTTTTTTTTTTTTTTTTCAACGGTCTACACCGTGCTTAGCGTGAATTACATTAAAACGTTCATAATTACAGATTTCTGTGGGCTGTAATAACGATTCTTTCAGAGATCGGTGTTAATATATATTGACAATTCATTTTTTTTTTTTTTTTTTCCATTTATTTGGTTCGGTTTACCTATAACCTTCTTAAAACCACAAAACAGTTTACCGAAAAACAAGTACAAAGTAACGGACTTACGCACGCAGCAGTTTATCTCTCCAGAGTTTGCTCGGCGAACGATATAATTATATTATTGTGTACGTATAATAATAATAACGTTCAAACTGCGGAAAATTAAATTTCGTGCGCACAAGTGCAACGTCCGATCGAGATAACAAACGGCGCGAGTGATTCATTACGGTCGCGATCTGCAGATAGTACATACCTACGGAAATCCGTCTTTTAAAAAGCGAACGAAAACGTTTTCCGGAGAGTTTTCATCACGATTTCTCCCCGAGTGTTTCGTTTTACGTCGACCGCGGTATATTATTCCATTAAATCGACTGTTTAAAATATGATCGATCACTGCATATAATAGCGCCCGAAATTCCGACAGGAAAGGTGGAAAAATTCCATTCGGTTCGTTTAATATACATATTCGGCCACCTGCGGTTTTACGACCGAATTCAGGAATGCCGTCGGCTGAATCGTTTAATTTCATTTAATTTTCGAAATGTCTGAAACGGTCGAGCTGGACATTAAATAAAAATGACGACATATTAATGGAAGTGGTAAAAATGAGTACTAAAGAGATGATGACCCGTAGGTTGATATAAGAGAAGTCTGGGGGAAAAATAGATCGTGTTAGACCTAGCGTTTGAAGAAGGCGAATTAACTGAAATCGGAGAAGGCCGGAAAAAAATGAAAGGCCAAAAGAATTAACAATAAGATGAAGATGATGGATGTTAGGCCAGAGACTTTATGTTGCACTTGCTCCTCGGTGTAACAGGCGAAGAAGAAGGATATGTGCCTGTATATTTTCCCCAAGTTCTATCGATACCACCCGATTGTGTATAATATAATGCCGTTCGTACTTTCTGCACGATCTCGAATCGTTGGAGCTCTGACTGTCCACACTCGATGACCGTCGGGCGTGTCGCATGATTTGATGCGGTCCGGACCGGACGCTCCTGGGTGAACTGCTCGAGTACAGGCCTCTTGTCGGAGCGCTTGACCAGACACCCCACGGAGCGCTCCTAGTGCTTCTCGGTGAATCGCTCCGGTTTGGCACGTACATGCTGTCGAAAAAAAAAAAAATAATAATAATAGGTACTCGGAGTAAAAAACAAGTTTGTGTGGTATTTTTGTATGTTATACTCACGTGTGAACGGGCAGTTGAGGGTTTGAACAGTTTTTCAATTTGTCTTGTGGTTTTAGCGACGACAGCAACAACAGTTCGTCTCTGTTCTTATACTCGTCTCCGGCCGTTTGACCTGTGAACGGAAAAGGACGCGTTTTACCAACGAGTGTTTAAAAATGCAACGAGGTTTTTATTTTTGAAAAAAAATCAAACGGCATAACGGTGAATGTATATTGTAAATTAAGATTATTAAACATCATATTATGCTAGATGTACAACAGAAATTAAAATTTTCTTAAAAAAACGGGGGAAAAAAATAACCTAGAAAAGTTTAAAATGCAAAAAAAATTCAAAATTCACGAATGAATTCGTCGTTACACGATACAAACACTGCCGTTAAGAAAGTCACGTTGATTTAGCTCGTACTCTGTGTAAACGCCACTGGTCGAGTGTCCGGCAAAAATGTATTGAAATACATTTTTGCGATTATTCTGTCGAGTGGTTCGATTTTACAGCATACGTTATCAATTATGTATTATTTAATGTAATTATGTAGGTACGGCAGCCGTTTTAATTAAGTTTTACGAATTTCTCTATGTACAGTACCGGGGGAAGGAGAACGAAAATCAATAAACATAATTACACGCTGTTATAAATTATACATTTATAACGGGAAATAGATTACAACTTTAATAATACATATTAAATTATAATATTGTGTTTTCATTGTGTATGGGTGGTACCTATCAAAACAGTGTGCTGCAGGCAGCGATAGTTCGACGTATTTTATATATTTTCATGCGTACCTCTGTACACTTATATCGCTTTTGAAATTATTACCTACTCTGCGTTTCACGATTAAAATTACCTACTCGAACTCTCGCCGATCGGAAACGCAATTTTTTTTTTTTTCTACCCATTTTCTATAAATATCGTGTATGTGCGCGAGCGTATACGTGAAAACGATTTCCAACGGTTTGTGCATCGCGTCTGCAGAAAAAAAATTGCGAAAATTACCTATACATAATATATCGACTCGCGTTCCCGTTCAATTTATCGAGCACGCACTTGTATATAAAGTGAAGTATACCTATTTGTATGAAATACTTCAGTATATATTATAATATGTCGCCTAGACTGCCAGCGTGTCGTTGTCCCGATTTAGCCACACGGACAATGCGTTTGGATTGTACAGAACGCATTTTATTGTGTATTTCGTACATGAATGTAAAACAAAAATACTGTTAATGGGTGCGCCACGGTTTTAGGAGGAAATGTGAAATGGATAATATGCGGAGTGATTTAATTTATGTTTCTGCGTTGCGGTAGACCATTGCTAACGAAAACGAATTCCAAGCAAATTATTAGACGTATTTTTTCTCATCGTGCCAAGGCAACCTAGACAGACAAACACACAGTTGTGATTTTTTCCCATTTATTAATAAAAAACTATAAGGGATATCGGAAATAACCTCGTCATCAGTGTGCCAACTAGATAAATCATGCTACGAGAAAGTTCCTAAATAATTTTTGATTGGAGCAAGAGTATTGATTGAAAAGACGTTCACAGAAACAGCAAAGAAAACCAGTACATTGCTTTTTTCGCTAAGAATCTGGAAAAATTTAGATTTTTTGCCAATGATTTCATGGCATTTTTAATGATGTGATATCGATGAAAAATCATCTTGAATTTCAAAAGTAACGTGAAAAATCGAATTTTTGACTTTTCTATAGGTTGAACATAGGAGTTATTTGTTCAGAAGTCACTTTTACTGATCAAAATTTACTTAATTTTGTGAATTTTATGAATCTGCAGTGACATTTTTTTTTAAAAAATTCAGTGTTGATTTGTTAATACGTGTAAGAATAAACTGCGAAATCCAAAAATCCTACACATAATTTATGACTGCTCAGTAAAAATAAAGTAAAAAAAAATACAACTTGTACAATCTAAAATTGTAGGCCATGTTTTTCTGGAACGCAATATTCTGAAATTAAGTAAAAAAATCATTGGTTCCAAAATCTTCTCAATGTGTTTTATCGTTCTTAAAACAGTAACATCCGACCTTCTTAGATCTTAAGCATTTTAATCCTCGACTATTTTGCCTACGTTTATGCATTTTCCATCGTCTTTTTTTTCTTATTTCGCTTTGTACAAGTTTATCTTAAATAAAAACTTTGGCCCTTCGCTTTAACATTTATTAATATATTTCAATGTACAACGGAATTATTTATTTGGATACTTTACAAGACCGTCGGATCGCGACATTACAAAACACGTTTTGCTCGTTATATTATACATTTTCAACAAGTTTGCATTAAACTCATTTTCGAGTATATACAACAATATTACCCTTGAGTTTTACGGGATTGCGTTGAAATATATTAATAATGGAATTAAAAAAAATATATAAAATATGCATGCATTATTGCGATCGTCGGGAATCAGGATTCAGGATAACGTCGTTGTAAATGGCAAAGTATACAGATTTTTGTTATACTTGCATAAATTATAATATGGCTTTACTTATGCCCCCTACCTTCCGCCTTCAGAGGTAACTGCGGTTAATTATATTAAAAAACTATATATTACGTAAGTATTGGTGTGAGTAACGCAGTACATAAGAAGTATGCTGGCAAATTTAAACAGCGGGCAATTCGATTGTAGTCGAACATTATGAAAATAATAATATAATACTAGAATAAAAAAACGCGAGTATTATTCATATAAATATTGCGTTAAAGTAGAGTGCCTCCGGTCTTTTTTTTCCCATATTTTTTTTTTTAATTTTTTTACTCAAAAAAAAAACCAGCAAGATTTTCCGAGTATACCTATATAATAATATTATTATATATTATTAATGTTACGCGGAGCGCATATAAAACGAGAGTAGTATAAAATATTATTTTTGCCTTATCTTGAATAAGTATTTTCATGGTTCTTAAAAATAAACAATACCCCGAGTTTATAACCACAAACATAGATACCCTGTATATTTTACCCCACCCTCCCTGCGGAAGGCGTGTGTAGTAATGAAGTCGTTTTACTTTTTTACGTCCGCGTAAGTAGATATGTACGTCAAAAATGTTTTTCTTTTTTAGCTCTACGATTTTTTTAATTAAACTTCTTCAGATTAATACTTTGGGGAATTTCTCGAGTGCCTATTATATTTATTATTATTTTGTTCTGCAACGGGGTTACGCGACTAGAAAACGTATCGAAATCGCAGTGCGTTAAAAATTGCGGGTTCGGCGCGCGGAAAATGCCATACAATATAAATTATAATACACAAACAGAGTGGATAGAAGAAAAAAAAATCAACGTTTACGACTACATAGGTACACACTTAGGTAGGCACATACTCGTATACTCACAATTATCGTTGGCCCCTTCGATTATTCTCCTCTGGTACCGACGACTGGGTGTCCTCGTAAACGACGGCGGCGTTCTGTTGCTCATCTGTGAACTTCTTACGGAAGACTTGTCGGCACGGCCGCTATGTTACGAACACACGCAAACAAAACGATATAACAAGAATTTATGTAGTTATGTAATTCAAACTTAATGTAAAAAAAAAAAAAAAATGCAAGTAATTTAACGAGGAAAAACGCAACGGAAAAATATCGCTCGGTCGAAAAATCGCATTGTCGACCGTAAACTTGATCATTTCGGAACACTACCTTATACCGACGTTTTGTCATTATTTTCAGGTTCAACGTACTTTTACAAAAACATTCGGACATACCGTGAGGGTGACTGCGTAGTTTGGAAGTTATTACTGTTTCTAGATGTAGGGGATTTATACGGGAAACGACGATAAATCGTTACAATCAAAAACTCAAAACTCTGCGCTGAGCTCTGTAAACTGCATCGGGTTAGATTATCGGATGGGGATCGTGAAAGAGCATGATAATTAATCAACGAAAACAAACCAACGTATTTTCGTATTTTATTGTAGGTTTTTTTTTAATATTTTTGAAAAACTGTAGAGAAAATGTTCAAATTAAACAGGCGTCTACCAGGTATCATCACCGGGTAAAAATTAACGTTCTGCGCGAAAAAGTCTGCGCATTTTTATTAACCGAATTAGTGGTTTCCGAGAAAAAACAATCCATTTTAGTAAAGCGATAGTAGGGCTTATGCGCTACGCTGAGAATCTAAAATGATTTGTGCAAATCTTTTGATTGACCTGCACAGTCGTACCGTGATACTTAACATAATTTAGCCCACGGAACGATAATATATTATCCTAACTAATTTCAATAACTGCAATATCGCATTAAGTTTTTATAACATTTAATATACCTACATTTAAACGGAAAAGAATACCTTTTTATTAGGTACTATACATAATTATTTAAATGTGTTTAGTTTCACCGGAAAAAAGCTTAACTGTCGTAAATTAAGTTCATTAGATTATATTTGTTTGTATAGAATTTACGCTTGTTTCTTCTGTAAGTTAAAAAAAAAAAAATATTATAATTTATCAGATGTTTAATGTTACGCTTTTTTTTTTTTTTTTATTAAAAATAAAACAACAACAACGAATATATAATTATCAAAACGATTTTAGTAGGTGGTAAAATGTACAGGTTCTTTTTAATTTGGAAATGATAATAATAATAATACGAAAATCTTATTACGAGAAAAAAAAAATGATATCGTGTCTATATTCGTGCTATACGTACTCATCGTATTATCCAGACGATATCTCGTATTATAATAAAAAACTATCGCTATGTATGAAACGGTATTATAATTCCCATGGGTCGGTAGTATTTTTTATTATTATTATTTCAACATCAATAGAATAACTCTGGTAAAATGTACGGGCACCTACATAATGTAATATGTTCGAGTTATTTTATCGTCTATATAATGCAAATATGCATGTTAATATTATACTTTAACAAATATTTACATTTTGAAATCAATTAATTCGATTAATTCGTCATAAAAAAATATATATATATAACGAATGATAACGTAACGATTTGTCGAATTTATAATGAAAACCATTTATACCGAATAAACGGTCTGAAACAATTTGGAAAATTCGACAGCATCTTTTGATTATGATGAACAGCTGCAAAGGTAAATGATAAAAATATACAGAAAGATGGGTACGTAATATATAGAAAAATGGTACGAGAGAAGTGTAAAAGTGCATTTTAAGGACAGGGTTTTGTTTTTCAAAAAAGAACGACAATGGTTAATTTTTTTTGGCTTGACATTTTTTTATAATTTATATTTTTTTACAGAATTCCGAAATTTTGGCAGGTAAAACTACAAACAACAAACATTACATTAAATTTTATCTACATTTGAAATTACATAAATAATTGATGTTAACTCGCAGACAGTTAAGCGAATTACAAACGATTGAGCCGAAGAGAATTGGATTTCTTCGAATTTCACCTATTTTTCCAGTCTTCCCCCACCAACTTTAAATGCCAAAAATTTTTTTGGATTTTTTTACAAAACTAAAATTTTGTTTTCACAAACGTTATGTACATTTTTTAAATTTTTTTCGGGGGTTGGGACTGGGACAAATTTGACGTTTCTTACATAGGCTTTTATCCATTTTTATACGAATCAATAAATAGATATCGGAACAGATTGGGAATCACCATTCCTGTTCAATTTCTTCTAACATCTCATCAATACTGTCTTCACCCTACCATTGGGTAAGGCGTAATATTGCTATTATGGGACATATAACATCAGCCCGCCACACACGACCGGCCTACTCTGGACTTGTTTATCTGATGAACTGGACTACATTTTCTCTTACAGTTATCGTTGATTACCTACCGACAGAAATTTCAAAATTTCGTTTTATCGCGTGATCCTTTTTTTCTTCCATTATTGCGCGGCACTATTTCGGACTATTACGTGAACCGTTGTTGTCGTAGAAAATACCCAACCTAACCTCACGAAAACGGCGATAATATTGGATTTGTTCCTCGGGCGATGCTACGGGATCGGGATTATTTGACGTTAATCAAAATTTAATTCCGTCCGTCTTCTCTAATAATTAACGATAGCAACGGTATTACTATCTCTCTCTCATTCTCTCTCTCTCTAAAACAACTGGCCGCGACCGAATAAAGTTTATTTGCCGGACTTGAGAATAATTTATCGGTTGGTCGGCGGGATTCGCTGTACCCGATCCTCTACACTCTACAGCGTATATGTTAATATTATCGGCGTGTAAGTTAAGTTAGGTATATTAATATATAGGTTTAGCATAAAACAACTAATTTCTCGGGTCTTTTCGAGCAAATATAGATCAAAGAAAATATTATTATTATACTGCGCATATGGGCGAACACCACATCGCGGGCGGCGTACAGGATTCGCGGCCTTTTCCGTACCGCGTATTTCCATGCAAATTAATGATTTGACGTTTTGTACAAATCATAATAAGCGAGAGAAAAATCGCGTGTTCCAGGCAATGTGATGAATATTTAATATAATATTTATGTACAATAGTCTGGGCAGTCTCATTTCTAACGTATCTATTTGTAATACGTTTTACGATTTAAAAAACCGCGCGGTGTATAATATGGCGTATACAATATACGAGTACATATAGTACTACTATGAAGGCGTAGTGATTTTTTTTCTTTTTACAATTTGCCGGGCTCTTTGAATAATCACGGCGCATAAAAAGAAAAAAACCCGGAAAAAATGCTTATAATAACATAGTCTATTCATAGTATTACCTATATGTATCTATTCACATACATGTTTACGATCGTGAATACCTCGAAAGATACGTATTATGATCGTGATATATTATTTTTATTTATGTTTTTTTTTTTTTAAATCTGTATAAATAGGTATATAATAATTAATAAGAAAAAAAAAACGGTCACCAAAAAGCTGCTGAAAATTTTAAAATTGATTTATATTTTGAAAATATTATAGACCTTACAAAATACCAAAAATTAAAATAAAGTTTCGAAACCAACATGACTTGAACTACGCATTAAAAATAAGTCTCGTAATAAACTGAAAAAATTGTCTTTACAAATGTACATTCCTAATAATACGCGTGCGGCTGAAACGCAATAAATATATTATCTATTTTATTATTATTGTTGTAAAAAATTCTTTGACACGCCAAATTAATACGAACCTGCTGAATCGAGTGCTTATGACGTCCGGGGGGTTGGGCGACTGCACTTGGACGAGCCTGAAAAATTTATGGTGTTCCATGCTGCACTTGTACAGATGTTTACACGCGGGCCTCGAGGGGGTCTCGAACCCGTAAGTGTTCTCGTCGTTCTGCGGGTAAAAATTATAATTTTTAAAAAATTGTTTTTATTCAAACATACGTGTATACATTAGACATGATATCAGACGCGCATAATTAAAATTATGCTAATTCAAGTAAAAAAAAAAAAAAAATTAATTATTATTCCTCGATTCGCTCAAGGAAACGGTATACTGTAAAAATGCTATTTATAATATGCAGTATACGCCACACGAGTGTTGTATGTCTGGCTTCAGCTATAGTAGATACTTACGTTTTTGTCGCAAACTCTCAACATGAAATATTTTCCTTTGCTAAAGATTTTCGTGATTCTGGGCCTAGAAACACATAATAAGAACACACGTTACTTCATCGTTAACGTTTTAAACTTTGTATTATATTTTTTTTAAATTTCGGTTATAACCGAACCGCGGGGGTTTGATTCTACTGCGCCGGAACCACTCACCAGTAATAGTTCGCGACGATGTTTTTGTTCCGGAGCACAATCACTCCGGTGGGCGTTAGTCCCAAGTAGTATTCGACGTTGTCTTCACCCTGAAATAATAATAAAAAAATGTATGTAATAAAGATCCGTTTCTATATTTGGACAGTAATTATTTTATTCACAAACATTAAATCCATTACGACTAAATAGTTTTTTGTTAACTCATCAAATCGTGTTTAAAATAAATCATAATAATATGTTGTTTGTTAACTAAACAATAAAAGGTAAAATAGTTCAATATAATTCGAAAAATGAGAAAATTTGTGTGGACAATTATAATGTTTGAAATCCGCATTAAAATAGTTTATTCTTTAATATTAAATAAAACATTCGTGTGTGAATTGGATAATCGGGACAAAACTTAAATTAATTTAGATACTTTTGTAAAAAAAATGGATAACCATCGAAGTTTACGCGTATAAGATTTTTCAAAAACAAAAGTAACTTATTAAGTTAAAATGTAATGAAAAAAAGAAGTAGTTTCGTTGAAATTAACTTTTAAAAATAAATTGAACAGTTTTTAAATCGCATGTAATGCGCCTTGCAGCCTTGCTTAAACCAACGACACCATGCATCGTTACACGCAATATTATATTGGTCAATAATTTCAAATTATTTCCGCATTCGCGATGGAAAAGTACATGTACCTATATAACATGTGTACCTAAAACTAGAACGGTATAATAAATGACCGACCCACGTGCACCCAGAAGCATTGTACCCACAAATAACTTAGCCAATCGAATTTATTTATCCTTATTTAATATTCATATGTATATACAGGTACAGCGCCATATTCGTTGTTTTACCATTGAAGACGATTTTACAATTTATCTTAGCAGATACAATGCTACGTTTCCATATTAACATCAAAACGGTTATTACGAATGTAAAGAATAAAATAACGTTCAACGGTTTCAATCGTTTTCACTTTAAAACTAGAAAAAAAGAAAAGAAAAAGAAGAGATTTCAATTTAATTTTGTTCCCTTTTATTCATAATCGTATTCGGAACATAATCAAAAAACCGCAACATCGACGCAAATGCTATTCCCGATGAACGCAATAATAATGTAATTTCGTTATTTTTCTTGACAAATACCAACGTATATGTTGGGAAAATGAAATCATTTTTTTTTTTTTTTTTTTTTTTTAAAACAGCGTACATGCAAAATATTGTGTAAGTACCGTCCCACATGATTCAGGTTACAATTTAAAAATAAAAACAATTATAATAATAACCGTTGAAAATACATATAATATTAATTCGACGACGACATCGATATAATGGGCGGTTTTTTTTTATACTTACATAGTTTTTGTACAGAACGAAAAAAAATCCAATCAAAATATATTATAATGATCGTTCTCAATATAATGGATTTTCACACGTCAAAATGTAAGAAAAGAGTGATTAACTACAGGGTGAATTTTGTCAATGGAGATTTCGAGTAAATTTGATTTCATATGGGTTTTTTTTTTAGTCATTATAACGTGGAACTACGCCGTTTTTAAACGATTCGATTACGAACATATTATATTCGACGTTTTACGATTTTGTTTTACTGTTCGTATATTATGTATACCACACAAACTTTTTACGTAATCAACTCACGTGTTTAAACTCAGATTCAAAAAGTGATATCTTATCGAATCCAACTAGGACAAATTCAAACTTCTGTTTGAAAATCTAAATTCAATTTGTATTTGAGGTATGTACCGAAATATTCGGTAATAACCGTAAATGATAATATGATCAGTAAACGATTCGAGAATGACTCCACTGCAGTTCTATATATGTAAATAGATACATTCGGAAATAACTAATAATTTTAAAATATTCAAAATAATAATATAACAGTACAATATAGTCAATTATCGGGACAAAGATAAATAATCAGCATTTTTTTTATCTAGATAAAAAGACAATTTTGTTCATTGCTTACCATAAGAAAGGAGTGTTAAAAGTATTGAACTTGTACCAGATTTCGTACAAATCTAGATCTCATAAAGTTTGTTTTGTTGACCGATATAAATTTTTAATATATATTTATTATAAACCATATTAGTACAAATTCAATATTTTTAGATATTATTTCAAATAAATGTTTAAATTACGATTTAAAAAGGTTTACCTAGATGAACCGATTAATTACCTCAGATAACCGATGTCTTATTTGTCTAGATAAGGTATAAGAAAAATGTATACTTATCTGGATAATTTATTCAGATTAATTCATCCAGATAAAACATAATACTGACACTCAAGGTATTAAACTTGAAATCTGTATTTATTCGAAATCTTTGGCAATATAGTCACCCTGTATATTGTTATATGCAATACAACCGATTGCATTATAAAGTTAATAATAGTAATATCAGAGTACACGTTTTACAAGTTACGAAGAAACGAATGCAACGACCTGCATTACCATGATAATATGTATAATATAAAATTTATGTATACAAATTTTTTTTACGGAAGGAAATACCATTTTAAAATTTGTTTTTTTAAATCGTAGTAATAATTATTAACGTACGTATAATAATAAATTGTATTATATCGAACGAAAAATAATAGTCATAATAATAAATAACAAAAACGCGATTTACATTTTAAATATTAATTGCTGCTGCAGCGTGTAATAATAGTAATAATATTATGCAGTCGAGATAATTTTCTGAATATTTTATTTACCCGCTGTAAAAACACGCCGACGGTCGTCGGAAAAACAAATTAACTTCTCGATATTAATTGATATAATAAATTAATGAATAATTCCAACTGATTTTAGATATTTTATAATATGAATTTACGACGTTGTCGTCGTCACGGGACCGATCTCATAATATTAGGTAAATTAATTTTGACTAGACTCGCGAAACGGAATATTATACCGTTGCAAAATTTGAACCCTTACCCATCATCACCACCTCCCCCTCCCCTCTCGAAAAAGGGGAAGTTATAAAGTCGTTATTACAATATAATCTATCGGGTTTATTATATTATAATATAATATTATTATCCAAATGAGATTGATTTTATTACCAACGAGTAAATTATTTCTTAATAATAATAACGAAGTATCACTTACAGGTTACGCTAATGATAACCTCGTAAATGATATTATAAACATCGATTTATCCATAGCTATAGGTAATACAATTCAAAACATTCGATTTCCAATTATTATTCGTCGCGTGGACTAATTTAAATCGTAAAAGTAAGTGTAAATCCAAAAAAAAAAATAAAAAAATAAAAACTTTTCGTAACTCAGTTTATAATAATAACCGAGACTAAAATAATTGAATTAATACTAGTTAAAGACAAAAATAATTAACTAGGTATGGGCAGTTATTTAAAAAAAAAAAAATTAATTGTTTAATTATTTATTACAGTTGACCCTAAACTAAAAAAACATTTTTCACCGCCGGTTTTCGAAATAAAAAAAGATAAATAAATGTAAAATATGTTTTTATTATATTTGTAAACTGAAATAAAAATAAAAAATCTTGAGATACATATCTACTGTGAAAAAAAAAAAAAAAAAAACATTAATAGTCCGGGCAGAAAAAAGTCATTGAAACGTCAACAGCCGAGATTATAACACATTGAAAGTGTTTTTTTTTTTTTTTTTTTTTGTGTATTACGTGGCATAATCGCATCGATGATTTTCGTATATTTATTTATCGCCAAGTCGCATCACACGTTGCGGGGGCACCGCGGCAAACAATTCGGTATCGAATTCGACGTCGCGTCGTCGTCATAATATGCGCGCGCGAGAAGCGAATGAAAAAAGAAAACCACGACCGCGTTATCGGTTATACTGTTATAGCCGAAAACCACTTGTCAAAACTGCCTGTTTTGTATTCAATATAATATATGTATATATACATATATATGCGTGTGTATAAACAGAATCAATTGATTAACGAGTTGCCGCGTGACTTGACGAGCGATAGTTATAGAAAGTATAAGTTCGGTCGGTTACCACTCGCCGTTCTACACAATATACACCGCACACGACTTGATTAATGAAGCCCATATACGATTTGTTATATATTATAATAATAATAATAATAATAATAATAATAATAATAATAACATATCGGTTCGGCATTAAAGTTCGGTCGATAACCGTGTAAAAAAAAAACCAAAATAAATAGTCGATACGGGTTGGTCACTGATGTAGGTGGGTAGTTGGAAAGGTACAGGGGTAAACTATAGGTGGTGTATAATTTACAGTGTATGAAACGATAAATCATCGAAAACAAAAAGAAAACGATTTTAAGCCAGTTATTAGTCGTGTTTTTCCTTTATTGCTGAGGTTAACCATGCAGAAATCAACAATAAAAAGGATCTAGAGGATGAATCAATGGAAATTTCGGTAAGAGTTTTTAGAAAAGTACTGCAACGTAATAATATTGGAGCAATTACCTAATGAAAAAGCCTTAAAACAAATAATTGTACAAAGCAATTTTTCGGAAAAAGAGATTGAAAATGTTATACACAGGACTATTGAGTGAAAAAATTGTTTTTTTTTTTTTTTGACACTATTGAATGATTTAATCATAAAAATGTTTTAAAAGAAAAAAAAACCGCATGTTTATAAAATTAATAGCTTTTTCGATATACTCGGAATCTAAAAAAAATCAAACAAAATTCAGAGCCATCAAGCTGGTGAGTAAAATATATGAACTTATGAGCTAAGATACAATTGTTTTCATTAATTAACGGAGTATAATATTGTGTTCTATAATTATATCAGGCACAATCTAAATCATACGCGAGATTTAAATTTTCAGCTGCCCTTTCGAGGAGGATTTCGGGATCGAATTCGTTCGAAACCGACTAGCGAGAATCTCAATTTTAAAACGTGTATATATTTTTATATCGTCTTCCTATTTATATAATATTATACTCCCTCCTGTCGCCAATAGACTTTTACGACGTACGTATAATTATTATTGTTACGTAATTCGATTCAAATCTCGTTAGTTATAGTCGTCGGACTACCGTCGTCGATCGTGGGCTAACGCGTTTAATTTGATTCGGGTCGAGAACATTTTTTTTTTTTTTCTTCCTCTCTTTTCTTTATTCATACCTACCCATATTTAAAATCGCGTACCTATAATATATACTAAATACTAGCAGTAATGCGCTTACGGGAATCCTTTTCGGTACGCGTAGGTAATAATTATATTAAACGTACTTACGTAAAACTGGGACGTCGTAAATCCGCGAACGGAATATAAATATATTATGATAAACTATCAAAACCTTAATCGTATTTTATAAAAATCGATGTCATAATATAATGATCCTGTTAAAATATATTATTATAATGTTATGCAATACGCCGACGGAAACCCGCGTGCGAATACTTAATGCAATTTTACGGCGAATAGATTTCAATTAGTCTTATAACTTTAAAATACATAGTTAACGTTTTAAAAAGCCATTTTCAAAATTTGAAATGCGGCGAAATGCGGAGGTGTCGGGGAATGAAATCAAAACAATTCCGAAACATCGTGAATTTAGCTCATTATGGATACACGAGTTATGAGCCACTTTAAAGGGTGGTTGAGTGGAACGTGGCCGTGTCCAACAAGGAACCAAAACCACAGAACATAAACCAGAGGTTCTCAAGTTTTTTATGATACGACCCATTTTGGAAATAATTTAAATTTAGGCGACCCACGATAATATTGATGACCCTTTTTTTTGTAGGTTTAGTTTTCGTTTCTGGATGATTTATGAAATTTGTCAGTGGCATACTCTCATTTACAAGTACAGATCCAATTTGCTGGTAGAAAATTTGTTTACAGGAAAAAAATGGCCGTAATATGTTTTAACCAATATCTCCCGACATATTGTACATTTGCCCGTTTTTCCGATTTATTGGGAAAACTCCTAGGAAAATCAAAAAATGACCTCCTTAAAATACCACCCCAGTGCCATCATTGTAAACCGGAGTAAAATAGCTGGTAGTAATGTTGTTCATAGGTAAAAAAAATACCGTAATATTTCTTTTCTTGTTTTTACTATATATTAAATCAAAATCTACTATATACTAAATCAAAAAAAAAGACCTTTCTAAAGTATCTTTCTAGTCCGATTTCCTCCCAAAAAAGTACTACAAAGTGCTCGTGAATCGGAGCAAGATTTCTGGTAGAAAAGTTGTTCATGGATAGAAAAAAGGAAATAAACATTATTGTAAAATCAATACATTCCTCGCTCCACTCAGTATCTAAAAAAAATGTATTACTTTAAAATATAATGCGACCCATTAAAAATATGATCAAGACCCATTTTTAGACGATGACCCATACTTTGGGAACCTCTGACGTAACCTCAAATGTTTCGCTTCGTGAGCAAATATCGATAAAGGTACTCTTATAATCGAAAATAATCCGCGTAAATTTGTTACGCGAAATTTTTATCGGGTACGTTATTATTAGAGAAGAAATATGTTTTTATTTCTTCTGTGGGTTTTATATTCTGAGCGAAGCGAAGAATGTATTAGTTTTACTATGATGTATTTTTTTGTATCGGTGAACATATAAAATGATAAAGTATTATAAAAACCGATAGATAGTTTTCCTTCTTTCAGAAGTCTTGCTCCATTTAAAAGATAGTTTTTCGATTTTCCTTGTAGCAGGTAATATAGAACCGCCCGACGCCTGAGACCTCGGCCTAGGCCGTAGGCCCCAGGTTCTAAGCTATAGGGTCGGCGGTATTTTCGGTGTACCGGTAAAAATTTTAAAATTTGAAATGGCCCTAACTGTACAACGAAATAGTCAGAGGCGGTCGGCGAAATCGTTTAAAGAATAATGTGTAAATAACAAGACACGCATATATTATAGCGAACGCACGTTCGTATTAATTTGCGTCGTCTTAAAAGCCATTCAATTGTAAAATATATTATATTATTATACTCGCGTAAATATATATACGAGGGGAAAATAAATTTACGACGCGATATTTTAACGGGGGCGGCCGACCGTATTGTGTCCCGAGCGACTTTATTGCATCTCATTAATTCGACGGCGGTAGCGGCGCGGCGGCGGAAACTCGAAAAGATAAACTGAGAAAAAAAAATACCAATAGTCAATACTTACAGTCTACATTGTTGTTTTTCTTCTAAAGTTGTGTCCAAGAATAATATTATTTTATTACCGTTTTCGAATCGGTTCGTTCGCCATTTATTATTAGTACGTATTATTACAACGTTAAAAAAAAATCAAAATTTGTTTTAGAGGTTAACACCTACTCGAAATGTAAATATAAAAAAACTGACACTTAGCGTATTATTGTCGGTATTTACAATCGGTTAGATTTTAACAATTATCGCCGGAAAATAATTCGCAAAAATGATACTTTTAAAAAATGTGTTATATTTGCTCGACTTTTTAGTCTATCCACTATATCCAGACACTATTAAAAATTCCGTTCTTATTCCGCTTTCAATTTCAACTTTAAAAATTTCTTTTTAATCCATATTTCTTTTTCTTCTGGCATTTAATACTCTCCGAGAGTATTTGCCACCATTCCGATGTTCATCCACTTTACTCAATCCTGAAACAATTCTCTGCATTCTTGTACTAATAGACCTTTTAAACTATAGTGGACTAAGTGTAGAGCCGAAATTAGCCAGACAACAAATGATAAGCAATTGACGGTAACTAGGAAGATAATGTAAATTTTTTTTATTTCCACAAAAAATATTAATTTATAATAAAAACAAAAAATAACCATAGATTACATAAATTAATAATTAGTCCATTACCTCATAGAGACATCTCTGTGCGTTATCGAAAGAAACGTGGCCCAAATTATGTATTCTTTTTATCATTCTTTATTTCACTATTAAAGGCACCCCTTTATTTTATTGTAGCAGGTATACGACCGAAACTCTCTTTTTCCCTTTCTCTCCCTCCATTATGTCTTGTGATTTTTCTCTCTAGTCTACTAAATGCAATACCTAGTTTTATGCGATAAACCAATACTTTTCATGGAAAAAAATCGTTCATTTAAATAATATGAGTGATCGGGCGTTGACTGTTTTTTTTTTCTCTCGGACAAAGGGTGTAGAAGGCGCAGTCTACCAGCTGTACTCGATATTGCGTTATGCTCGTGTTTCCCATTATGCCGCGACGGTCTTCGTCCACAACATCCATTCGTCTTTTCCTAGACGTCGACACGTTTTTCCGCGTGGACAAATAGGTGCGCACAGGACAATTCAAAAACTTTCGAACGCGATATATTATACCGATCCCCTCTCCCCCCTCCTCTCCTCTCTCCGTCCAACACGCTCGTAATTACGCGATCCGCGCATAATATATTATTATATTGTTGTTTTCGTATTTATGCCCCGGGACGTTTGTCTGCAACTCGGCCGAGCAGGTTGGCGTAAGTATAATATACATATTATTATGTACGATGCAGGCAGTCGTTTTATTTTGTTTTTCCAGGCGCCAGCGGTGTGCGGTGTGTATACATTATACGGTTTTGTCGTGTCGGTTTTTATAGCGGAGAATCCGGCGGCGTACATTCTCCTCTTTATTTTTCGGACTCGCGTGCGTTACACACAATATATAATATGAAACTATTGAAACTTCACCTAAGTATACATAATAATATAGACCTCGGCGGTAGGTATCGAGCGGGTCGTATATAGAAATAATACATAGAAGACCGAGCGAACCCGCCGCCAATGTCCACACACACACACACACACACACACACACACACACAGACACACATACTGCTATAAGCAAATACGCGAATAGGAAAACAATAGCGAACAAATATTTTCTTTTTTTTCCCCCCTCTTTTCCATTTTTCTTTCCCAATGAAACGACGACGGATATCATCCACTGTTGTCGTCGTGCCTCATCCCCGACCTTTGTGTTTCGATGAATAATGTGCCTTTGAACGGCTATGTGTAAATATATATATATGCGACTCTCCAACAATAATAATGATAATATATTATCAAACAATAACAACAACAACAATAATAATACGCGTATTTCTCTACGGTCGCGGCGATGTCTCTTAATTCAATTCGAATGTTTTTTTTTTTTTCATTAGCTAAGAAACTGTATATTACTATTATTATTATTATACACAGTATTATTTTTTATACCGACGACGACGTTTTAGAATATATGTTTTACAACTATGGGCAGATCGTTATAATTACATGAAAACATCGAAACTATTATACAAGTACATAATTGTATAGATAATCGATCGTTCGGCTAGAAATTTCCAATATTACATTGATCCTTTGAAAATATAATTTACCGTTTAAAATGTATACAGCTTAAACGAAAGTTGGGCAATTTGGTGAAAACAATTAAACTCGATTAGTTTAGATTAAATAAACACGGAAAAGAGTTTTAGTTAAAAGTTAGCAAAAAATAAAGTCAATGCGTTGAATTAGAGCAACGCAAAATAATAATTAATGTGACATTAGTTAGTTAACTAGTATAATATTAACTAGATCAATAATAATTGATTTTGAATCAACGCGTTAATTATTTGTCCTCAACCAATTAGTTTAAAAATAATTAACTGTAGTTAGTTTATTGTATATAAAAAAAAATTACTTTTTACCTAGCAAATAAATGTATCTCATCGAGAAAATCATTTAAAAAATAAATTTTGTTTAAGTACGAAGAATTTGCTATTATGGTGTGTAAACTCAAATATTATAATAGCATGGAGGATCCTGTGCTCTTAATTTTAATTTTTTACAAATTATGAAAAATTTCTAGTAACAAATTGTCAATTTTTAGAACTAAAAATTCTTAAAAATTCTAACGAAAAATTCAATCGGTTTAAATTGTTGTATTAAGGGACCTGTGTACCGGTTTTTTTTTGCTCTAAACATGGTTTACAGGGTTATCTCTCCTGCCTCGTAGTGACAACTGATAATATTAATTCTTCTGCTTCGTAGTGACAACGGATAACATTAGCTGTCCCGCGCCCGGCGGTGCCGCTACCAATTTGTATTATGATTATTTTACCTATATTCATTTTTGGTTTTGGTCGTGCCAGAATTGAATTTAAACAAATAGATAGAAAATAGGTAGTCCACCTTCGCTGGGTTAAATGTGTTGTATTGTGAAATGTTGACAGTGTAAATAATAGCAATAATAATGATTAAAACAGTTATCTTTTCAGTGGCAACCAAATTATCATCCGTAACATCACGGTAACTCTTGAAAAAACAAAAATAAATAAGCAATGAGATATTCCTATTCGTACCAAATGTACCTAAGAATTCCTATTTTACCCCCTTAGGGGTTGAGTTTTTAAAAATCTTTTCTTTGTGGATGCCCACGTCATAATAGTTATCCGTGTGCCAAATTTCAGCCCGATCCGCCCAGTGGGTCAGTCAGTCAGGACATGTTATTTAATATACATAGATGTGTATACATATTTTGTTTGAATTTCCGAAATTGCAGAAAGTTGTCCTATCTAATGTCCTGGACAGTTTCTTCTTCTTTTTCAAAAAATAATTAAAATCCCTATCACTCTACGCGATAGAATGATTAATTTTATAAAGTTTTGTTTTTGGATAAAAAAAATAGCAGGTCACGCGCAGTTCTCTTAATGCAAATTAATTTCGAATTTAAAATTCGTAACAATTTTTAAAACTACATCTTATTACCCTCTCGTATCTATCGCATGTACAGGACGTGAACCTACGCGTGATAAATATGAAATATTTATTGTTTTACATTTTTCCGGTACAAATCTCTCGCGGTCTCAATATATTATATAAATATATTAGATTTTATTTGATTTACAAGTATAGTGTTGAAAAAGTAGGAAATTATACGAAGAACAAATATATAAATGAAACAAAAAAAAAAAAAAAAAAAAAAAAAAAAATAATAATAATAGTACATAATGCCGCTAAAGTCGTTTGATATGTTTTCATTTTATTTTTTATGCTCGCCACCGCCAAGGACGGCGCGTGGGCGCCCGCGCAGTGAGTTACTGCAGCTATATGAATGGAGATCTCGCGCGTTAAAAAAAAAAAAACGATAATATAATTATTATAATAATAATATTAGGTACCTATTATGTGTAAACCACACCGGTAAATTTGTGTAGTTGTGACAAGACGTGTATAGCGTACGTTTATACTAATAAATTACGTTTTTTATCCGCGATATTATAACTATCGATGTAAAATATCACAAAAAAAAAAAATAATAAACAGTCGCCAAACCAGAAAACGTGCCATAAATATCGTCCGGAACGAGACTTTGAGCGCGCGGCATGTGTGTGGGACGGATTTCTGTCTCTCGAAAACTGCAGTACCGGAATACATTGTTACCGATACGATTTATTTGTTAGTACAAAAAAAAAAAAAAAAAAAAAAAAGATAAAAGGATAAAAAACCGAAACGAAACGGAACTCTAAATTAAATAAATGCAAATGGCTTTCGTTTCAATTACATTTTACGACGAGGAAGCTGGGGGAAAGAGCGGTAATATAAAAGAGGATCGATTATGTTTATTTTTTTTTTCGTTTTATACTATATACGGTTTAGTTCTATAATTTGTTTCGTGGCGAAGAGAACAAATTTTCGTTTTGTTTAAATACGGTTGTATTTCATGTTCAAAGGCCTATATAGTATATAAAGACCGCGTACAATAATAATAATAATAAAAAAAAAAAAACCCCAATTGAATAATTGAAACTTTTCGGGAAGGCGGTAACCACCTAAATGATTTCAAAGCTATTTGAGTTAAATTACTATACCGGGTTACGTTGACGTTACAGAGAAGAATCCGTGGTAAATTAATACAACGAATTGTCTCCGAAGCTACGAGCATTCTCACGTACTATACGCCCGGCCAGTTTATATAAACAAAAAAAAAAAAAAAATTGTAATTTTTGGCGGTGGGCATTAGCTCCGAATACCGTGTTAAAATACTCGAATTCGCTATCTGCGGTCAACCGGAAGCGCTGTATGTTATCTCAACAGCTGTTTTATCAGAGTGTCGGTCACGAGTCACGGCGAAACATTACACTTACTACAGGCAACCGTTGGGCAACTTGTAAATCTTAAACCGTGTCCTGTGCGTGCGAGATCGCGGGATTTCCAAAAAAAAAAAAAAAAATAAATAAAAAATAAAACAATTTAACACTCATGCGTACATACAGGTACTGAAATTCCCAGCTACAGCTGTTTGTTGTCGACTCGTCGTCCCGACTCGGTGCGTCGGAATAATAAGCGCGCGTTCTCCGCGCAGTGGTTTTTTTTATCAAACGCGAGCTGTGTGTGTACGTACGCGTAATAATAATAATAATAATAATAATAAAACATAATTTCATAATAACACCCGGAGTCGCAATTTTTTAATATTACATATTACGCACGCGAGGCGGCGGATAGCTCGGCACGGAGACGCTGAACCTTTAGGCGTCAGACTCGAGTGTGGAAGCCGCCGCCGTGTATTATATTGTTATATATGCACAGGCGGATACCGAGGAGCTGTGAAAACCCACTCTTTTTTTTGTTTCGCCGTATTGTACATTATAAAACACCTCTTGACGTTTACCGGATAATGTAAATCAAATGACAAAGCACTCGGCGCGTGTAGCACCGTGTAGCGCGCCGCCGCGCAGCAGTGACGGCGGTGACGGGCCGCAGCACGGCGGCGACGACGACGACGCGCGAAGGCATTTGGCATTTTTTTTTTTTTTATCCACCATTTCGTTCACTTAATTTTCGTTTTCTATCGCGTGAACCGTTCGGTTATTCTCTCTGTCGTATATCCGACCGACCGTACGTTATTGTTACCGCGTCGCAATATAACTATAACGCCGATTTCTACGTCTGGCGGGATGCGGTTTCAGATTTAGTCCATTAGCCAATGGCGGTGTTTTAGTTTTATCACAGTCTGCTCGCCCCGACAATACATCCCAGATTACGCCCGTGTTCCGTTAATATAAACGTACGGACGACGTGCCGCAATCAGGCAGGTAAAATATTTTCCACACGAATCGAAAGAATTATTGGCGACTTTGATCCCGATCGGATACACCTATCTATACACCGGCCTACGTGCCTATAATAATATGATGCCATTATTTTTGCTAAAGATCGAAATGTCGAAAAACTACTAGAAAAAACGGGATTTTTTCTAGGGTTTCGGAAAAAATGGATAATTGAAAAATATTATGTTCCTGTAGTATCGTAGCTAGAAAAAGGGGGAGGGGGGGATTAAGGCACAAATGTTTTTCATTATAATCTACTATTTTACACCAAGAAAACTAAAATATCCGATAAAAGAGTACGTCCCCCACAACGAGCTACCTCCTATATATTATTTTTCTTATTATTACCATTTCTAGGTGTTAAAATATTTATGAAGGGAATTTGCACTCACGAGAACCGGGTGAAGATCGACGCCATACATGTCCAGCCACTTGACCTTATCCAAGAAATTTAGCTCGGCGACTGCAGGCACTTGACCCCTGCAAAATGCCGTTGTCGAGTAAAATAATAATAGTAAAACGTTATTTCTTGTCGAGGCTTTGAGTATAAGAGTAAGACGGTTAAGAGCCAGGAAGTAAGGAGGAGAGTAGGTGATAGTATGGGAGAAGTAAAGGGAAGACGTATCACTTACGTGAGTTCTTTGTGTATTTCTCCGATTCGATTCTCCAGTTCGGCGTTCTGATTGGATACGAATCGGAACTCGGACACGTACCCGGGAGTGTGTCGCCGATGATCGAAATCTCCTAGTTCAGCTGAAACATAATAATATACACATATATATATATATATATATATATATTTGTTATGTGTTTTTTTTTTATCTTTTTTAACTTTTCTACAGGAAATTTTTCTTTAATCAAAACACATTATACGTAGGTACTTTAGTGTTCCAAATAATTGAATTGATATGCATGTATTTTATCGCCGTTTATAGATAATGCCAGTTTTCGTAAGAAAACCCATTGAAGGTTCTATTGACCGTCCTGATCTACCAAGTCAACTGAATTTCAATATCTCTAGATTCCAGTCGCGATCGCCTTATCATTTTGCACCACCAATTATTATTCCCACGAGAGGCCGATGTTCAGGATGATGGATATCGCTAATGAGTACCCGTCCCTCTTTCTGTTAATATGTTAATATGTTTATTTTTGTAAACAATGTTAGTCTGAGAGTTTTTATGTCTTAAGTGTATACATGTACATTATTTTGTACTCTGGGCCACGGCCAGCTCTACTATAAAATAAATAAATAATTATTCTAACAATTATGTCTGAACTTTATTTAGATAGTACAAAATTGATCTGGTACAACAATAGCAGTTTAATAGCACGGTAATAATGTTGGCGTGGCCTACGCATATTGCCGTACACTGCACTTTTACTTTACACTTAAAATGTTGTTTATGCTTGTGTTTTGGCGTGCATTAAAACATAAATCCGTCCGAAGCGAGAAATTTATGGACTTTCGCGAATTTTATTTGGTCTGCGTATAATAATAATAAAGTCGTCTGGAGTTAAATCATCTGTTTCGTCCACAGTAGTACGCTCGCTGGTTTTAGTTATTAAAGTAAAGTCCGTAGTAAATTCAAATGTAAAATACTAAATAATATTGTGTACGCTTCGTCATTTTAAACTTTTTTTTTACAGATATTACGTTGGCAATAAGTTAACTTGAAAATTTTAAACAAACGAAAATTTTTGTTGGTATTTTTTTTTTTCAAAAATTTAAAAGTAAAATTTTAGGTCTATTGAAAAGCATTTGAATAAATGCATTTTAATTTAAAAAAATGGTCGAAGACGAACTATGCGATCTAGTCGACAGTTTTTTTTTTCTTCGAAATTTGAATATAATAATATTTTATCAATTAAGAAAGTCCGTAATTAAAAAATTCAATATTTTTCACACTAAAATATAACACTAATGAATTGACTTTTTTGGTAGTGTTAAAAGTCAACTTTTTTTTTGTTTTTAATTTTTTATCTTTACGATACCTAGTTACAATTATTTTTCGTTAAATTTTAACTTTTACCTAAATTTTGTTTAATATAATGTTAATAAAAAACGTAATTTTATTTATCGGATAAGTTATCATTTTCGTTAATTCTTGCCCTCACTTTTAGAGAAGCTGTACCGTTCCCCTGGCTCAATATTCATTTTTCGTGAACGGTTTTGAGGGGAAAAATATAATTATGATCTCAAAATATATAAAAACCGACAGAATAAAAAAATATAAAAAATATTTATATTATATAAATACTAATAACACAGTCGGAGAGTAACACGACGAACGTCAAAAACTTTCGAATCCCATAAACGCCATAAACTATATAGTTATATCGCCCACGAATACGAATTTATACGTATTATATTACAGTATTACGTTACACGTTTTGACGATTGAGCGAGTGTGTTTCACGTGAAACAAACCGAAAAGAACACAGAGGTGTTATTAGGGCTAGAACACGGGAGGGAGATCAATATTTTGCAATAAGACCTTATCGTGTACGGAAAATTATTCAAAGTAAATGTTGTCACGTAAACTGCAACAGTTTGTGTCTCGAAATTTGATAAAATGAGATTATTATCATTTATCGATAATAATAAAACAAATGTTTCCGAAAATATTTTGTTCTACACTATTAATTTAAACGATAACATCATTTATATTAAAACCTATTATTTTCTAGAACCAAAAGACATATTAGATGTATATTATGACACATGTATAGGTTGGATTATTTTAACCGAAACAACAAAATGTAAGGTTACATACAGAAAAAAAAAAAATCAATCGGGGATTGAACACCCAGAGACCTTCACCCTCGCGTTACGTCACTGGAAGTACATACGCCTCATAATGCTCGTATAATAACTGCAACGATAATAAACGAGTACGACAGAAGTCCCGTTGCACCCGTGCACGGATAAGGGGCATTGATATTTTATTTATTTTTCGTTTTCATTGAAAACAAACGAGATGATGGCGGCGTAGAAGTTGTCGGCTCGAGAAATTTATTAATGTGCCGGTCGTATAGTCCGATTCCAAGTTGCTCTTCCTTAATAAGCACCTCGATTTACGATATTTATGGGCCGAATCGAGAACGAGAACGCTAGTGGGTCGATCTTTATTGCTTCCCATTTACATCGAGTGGTACAAAAAAAAAAAAAAAAAAAAAAAAAAAACAACGATATATATATATATATAAGTGCGAAACAACCCCTTTAACGAAATATATATACTTACGCACTGCAAAATACGACATTTACAAACTCGGGAAGATTTATTCCCGGGGGTCGTTGCAGAGGATATGTTATAACGATCAACCGGTATATATCGAGTGAAAATCACCGGATAATTTTGATTCGATAATCATTATTATTATGCTATTATTGGGGTCGATCGTATAGTTTTGACTAATGATCGAAAAAAAAACCGCGTGAGTTACAGAGAATAAATTGATTAATATATAATATTGTAGTTGTATTGTGTTCAATATTGAACGGAAAGCTTTCGCGGTTGAAACGCAAACAAAGAAACTCAACTCAATTTTAAAATGTTTGGTTTTTGCTAGGGAAAAACTAACGTTTTGAAATATGTCCACTCTCGTCGGGACACATCAATATATTAACTTTCGATAATTTCAAAAAAATCATAGACAATATTATTGTCTATCCTTAGGCAATTTTTAGCCACCTTAAATTTTTCTTATTCGTATTTTTCGACTGCATAGTAAATTTGTATATTTTTTATTTTTAGCACGTCCTCTCTAAAAAAATGTATAATATATTAATTCGTAGTGCAGGATCGTAATTTATTTGATTAAGTCAGTATTTGAACGTGTCGAGATGAATAAAAATGTGTATATTAAAAGTGCCATATTGTCCTAGACGATCTACCCCGAAAAACCCCTTGGAAAATCAAAACATGTACCAATTAGACAACATTTTCTTTCACGAAATATATTTCGCTCTTTATATCGGAGCAAGATTTGTTTTCTGAAAATTGTTTACAGGCAGAAAAAAAAACACATATCACGGTAGAACCATTATATCCATCGCTATGCTTTGCTCAGTATCTAAAATGATCTTTCCATTTTACCAAATGCAAAAATTACTACTAAGAACCGTCTCTAATCATTATGATCGAAGTGAAAAAATACAGAAAAAAACGAAGATACACATCATATAACCGCATCATATAGTTGTAATTTCCAGGTTATTTCCGTAATAAATAAGTACTATAATGTGGTTCCACACGCAATAGAAAAACGTCACACCTCTAACTCGTAAATTATCCGCCGGTGAGCAGTTGTGTCCGGTTTACACACGGACCGTAGTTGATCACGGCAGTGACTTATAATTGATGTTCCTCAAATACCGCAATTTTTTTAGTTGTGCCATTTTTCTCGCCCAGCCGCGGTATAGCAAAACCAACACACACATTCCTCACGCCTCATGTTCAGAATCAAGGAAAACGATGTTATTGATTTATTATTCACGCTCGCCAATAGGGATTCGCGCGCGTGTACATAGTAAAAAAAAGAGAGAGGGCGCACATATCATAATACATTTTTTATTAGAATATTATTATTATTATTTTGTTTTTTTTTTTATTTTACGTCGCCAGCGCCCCGTCTCGCGACCGTGTTTGCGACCGTCCGAATTGAAATTTATTACCCAGCGCGTATGTATTTTTATACCTGCCGTTCCTCTCGTCCACATATATCTATTTAGGTATCCATTGAGATTAATTTTCACTCGCGGCCGACACACCGCGAAAAAGTCCCATTAAAACTTCATAATATAATACCGGATTTACGCGTCTGCGCGTTTAGATAAATTTACGACCGAAAATTAAAAAAAAATAAATAAAAAAAAAAAGTCCCGTGGGGAGCGGCCGCCGTGCGGAGGAGCAAAGTTTTTGTTTTAGCTCCGACCGCGACAGAATACGAAGAGTCGAGCGGTTTTCGCTCGGCCCGTGTGCACACGAATATAAAATCGACCGTCACAAAATCGCGACAACGTTTTTGATTTAATTGTTTCGCCGCGACGGTTTCAATAATAGTTTGGAAAACGATAACGTGCTCGCGTCAACCCGAAACCGAGGAACCGTTTCACAACAAATAAAAACGTTCGTTTCGCCGTCGCCGTGTTCACGGGATTCCCGGTCTTTGTAAAACGCAACTCAGTTAAGCTAATTAAAAACTGTGTTTCATTATACCTGCGTACATCGCGCGGGCAACTTATTAAAAAGTAATCAAAATATTGAAATTTCCGCAATTCGTTGTCCGGGCGAACATTATTTTCTGACGAGGGAAACGCAGTTATGAGTTACGGGCTTTGACCGGTCGTTTTTGCGTCGTTACTGTTTCGAAAATCGCTCGCTTGAGAACGGTAATAATACGACAATAACGGACAAACACGGAACGTCAGTGCCACAAACAAGAGTCTATTTGCAACCGCGAACGAGTCAACGTATTATTCTGTACTATTTGTTCTATTTTTACTTTAAATTAAAACGGGTGAAAATTGAATTTAATATCTCAACACCGACTACTAAGTCTACTAAGCGTTACGCGGTCGCCGGCCGTAACGGGCGCTGTTGTCGCGGACCGACGCGTTTACTTTTATACGAACTATTGGAATAAAATAATTAACTCATATCCGTGAAAATCATTCTTCTCCGAGCCCAGTTTGAATAAAATGATATTTATGATATTTCGAATAAATACTCGTGATCTGTGTTGATTATTTTTATGAGTGCAAAATACGTTTTGCGATTACTGCCGAATGCGTCCAACGAAGAACATTGCGTGCACGACGGTATAGCGGTTTCACGCTTAAAAGTAGAGGCAATCAAAAATAACGTAATAAAAATTAAAAAAAAAAAAAAAAAAACACCAACATTTATTTAAACATATACCGTAACTATTTATAGAATTTTTAACATAGGTTCTCATTTAAATTTCAAATGTTGACCCCCGAAATCCATAAAAAAAAAAACAGTAAAATAAAAAAAAGAGCTGATACCGGGGACGGGCGTGGCTACTGTTGTAGGTAGGAAGTCGGAAAGGTAGGATACGTAATGCTAGTTAATTTATATATGTAAGCAACGAAAAACGATTCGGAGCGAAGTTCGATTACCTATACGTGTTTTGAAAGGCCGTAATGTTAACGATTTTCGTCAAAATTTGATTTCAAAACAAAAATGTGTACATTACATTCAATTCATTTTATTTATTTTACCACAACCTATAATGAACTTCCTGTTGAATTTCCAAGCATTTCTGTTGGGTCTAATAATTTTATCCACACAGCACCTATCAAATAAAAATTACGTAAAAAGCATTATTTTTGTTAATATTCTCGTTCTTTTTACGTTGTTTTCGGTTTTGTTCAATTAGTAATAAAACTACAAGTGAAATCAAAAAACGACTATTTTACTCGTTAACTGCATTGTAGCAAATGTAACAAAAAAAGGTCCGTTTGTATTTTTGTAGAGCAATCGTGCGTAAAATTTTAAAATAAAGAAATCATACTATCATAGCGCCAGGTAAACTTGCCCGGCAACATTTCGAAAATTGGACAATAGTAATTTATCAGCCAGGCTTTGGTATTGGGAAACGGCTACGAGCATTATAATATTACCGTACGAACATAATGTTATAAAATTCGCGCAGCGGTTCCGTAATCCCCGGCGCAGTTGAATTGCCTACGGTAAACGCCGGGACGTTCCGATACGATTGTTTTTAAAATTTTATTCCGCCGAAACGTTATCCTCAAACCCGTGCTTTTTAAACTCCGATAAATCGCCAATACCTTTGACGGCCGTATTTTCGCGATATCATCAAATTAATAGGGAAATATCTTATAAAACCGTCGTTACATATCACGTCGGATAAAACAGTGACGAATAATACAGTGTATCCTACTTACAGTGTTTCCGAATGCTAATAACTCTGTCGATGTTCATATTTTTTTTTTTTTAACCGGATTCTCTATCACGAGGACACAAATGTAGAGAAAAATTAAATTTCTAGCTTTTATCCCTTAATCATTGACCATTGAATCATAAAACCAACTTTTATTTTACCACTTTTTAAAATTTCAAAAAAGCCAACATGTAAAATATATTATTCTAAACTTTTTAATGTTGCATACTCGATAAATAGTTCCTTAGTAATAGCCGTTTTAGTTTCTAGAAAATTGGCGTGAAACAATTAATTTTCAACAGAATAACACATTACGCGATGAGGAATCATAATCAGCACGGTAATTACTTATCTTGAGTTATCTTGAATAAAATTGAATATTAATCGTTTACACGCCTATATTTTTATACAATAAAACCGCTGTAGCTAAGAAACTAAATTTATAAACAGAATGTTTTTCGTGATTCATTTTAGCTTTATCGCAGTTTTCTCGATCTCGTTCCTTGTACACGATCGATTTCAGTTGTTAATATTTTTTTGATTTTTCCAAGTTTTATCTTGGACCGTGCAGTGAATGAATGCTGTACGCTGCACTTAACGCTGTCTGATAAGTAATAATCAGTTATATTTAAAAATAAAATAATTTATATGTATAAAAAAAAAAAAAATTATACTTTGCACTACCGTTACTGAAACAATGTATTACAACATGTCTTTTTAAACTGGGGTACGTTTTTTACGTCGCGGGTTTTAATCGAAATTCGCTCATAATCGATTTTCGCTAGAAATGATTTAACGTTGGGTAAAATAACTTATCCACGTGTATCCATGTTTTCTCAACATTCCATCTCCAACAGTGGCAGCACTCGTTCCCAGTTTCAGCTCTTTTTTTTTATTTGGTAATATTTTAGAAATAAAAGGAACACGGTGATCTTGTAGATATGCTCTTTTTTAAAATCCACGATTCTGCGATTTCAATCTAAACGTCACGGTTTTAATTCTAAGTTACGGAATTTTACTACTCCATAACACCCACGTCATCCGTTAGTTCAATAAAATCGCATGCATACAAATAGGCATGAACTGCGAGTAAAAGTTTAACTCGATAAATTATTGGAGTTTAGAATATTAACGAATTTTAAACGAACATTTTCGGAGTTTTTTGTTATAGTACACAAATTATTTCGAATAGAATGTTCCGGGGCGGACAAAACACATTTATTCGTTTATTGAATTGAATTATATACTATATAATTATATAACGCACGACAGTTTTTTTTGGCAACGTTTATAAAACTGGTATTTTCTTACCACCGTGATGTTTTTTACGGAATGAAAAACGGATTTTTTTTCTCGCTCGCTATTGTAGCCGTAGAAAAAAAAAACATTATTTACCATGTGAATAGAATATAGAACAATAATGTTGTTTTTTTCCGCGAGTGTGTCGGCACGAGGATTTTCTCGTCTCTTTGCCAATATTGTCGTCGAGTACTCGTCGGAAAAGGGTGGTTAAAGAAGAAAAAAAAACAAGACCAAATAGCTCATGACGCTCTGCGGTCCGATTCGTGATATTTTTTTTATTGAAAAATCGAAACGCTAATAAAAAAAAAAAAAAAAGCCTTTCGCTGCGTACACATCGTATATATATATATATATATATATTATAATTTTTATTATTCTTTTATTATTTATAGTGACCGGTCTTTTGTTGGCCTATAATAAAATATCGCGGACCCTCTGAAATATATTATAATGTTATATTCTGTACAAGGCAGCGTTGCATTCGGATTTGTCCGATGTCGACGTTTTACTCGTGATCGCATTATAATATTTAATCTCCATCGTTTCGTCGATAGAAAGATATTGAAAACTATCGTACAATAAAGGTATAAAAAGTTCGATAAATATTTCCAAAGAAAATTGTAAAAGAAAAAAACCATTTGAGAATTGTATTACTTATATTAATATAGGTAGTTATTAATTTATCTGGGCAGGTAATATTGAAAGCAATGAATTGTTTAAGAACTGATTGTACCGAGTAAAAAATGTACCAGATTAATTATACCGATAGTACTGAATCAAACGAAAAAGCGCATTATAGTTAAACAAAATACATTTCTCACTCAAAATTAAAAACTCGAGAAAACACGCGTTCTCTTAGATTGTACAACAGATAAAATATATGTATAAAAAAAAAAAAGTATAAAATTATGAACGTGCTATTGCGCAAATAAAATATAGTCCATGTAACAAGGTAACAGGATAACACTCAAATAATAAAAGGTGTAAACGACTTCCATAGTTTTAAAAGTTGAATAAAAAAAAAACAAATTAGTTTGAATTAAACAAGTTGGTTTTTTTTTTTTTTTTTAATACACTAAATTCACATCATTTGGAAGTTTTTATTTGTTTAGAATATATCGATCAAGTAGTCTCATTTATTGCGGTTCAAAACACTGCTCTAGGAAAAACGCGATGTTTCGCACGGCTATTCAATCGTTTCTTGGGGTAAACTGCGAATTTCCATATGCGAGTTGCTTTCTATTTAGTGTTTGCGGGGTATTTGGACGTTATTTATGTAAACAGTGTCGAATCCGGAGAGCCGCCACGGAAAGCCATCGTCTCCTGCGGAATATTTCGAATCAATGTTTAAAAGAGCAAAAAGCGTTGCCGGTTTGTCAGCGACACGGACACGATTAAAACTCGTCGTGAAATCAACTTTCCGGCCACGTATACACAACAACGGACACGGTTACCAAACGATTCCGCGACTTCCGATCACTGTACAATGCCGTGCTGTAACTATACGAAAATGGAATTTTGCCGCACTCCGTATAATCTATAAAATATCGATCTCCAAAAATAAAACACCAGAACGCACTACATTCTGCCCGTGTACCCATACAGGATGATGCACTCGGGGGAAAGAAACGAACATTTCCGTCCCGTTCTAGCCCTACTACATATATACACGTACTGTACATCTATAGAGACCGAAATAAAAATAAATGTTATTATTACAGCAGTTTGTTTGAATGTGCGCGATTTTACACGGGCCGTGTTCACATATTATTATTTCAATAGCTTACGCGTCTCAGAATTCGCGAATTTCTTCGGCTTTTACGACTACCTAAAATTTTATGCGCGACTCGACAATACTTGCGCATCATCAATGGCGTTTCCTTATCCGTTCGCTAACGATTTATTATTTCCTACGCGGTACATTTATATTTCGTTTTAGAGCGAGCGCAGTGAAGAAAATCTACAGTGTAGTGTACTATACGATGGTGTGGTTTACCCTTCATCGCCCACCTCCCTTTAACATCGGAAAACACTTTTCCGGTTAGTAAAAATGTTCGCACGATTCGCCTTAATAATTGCGAAATTGTTGACCGGCTTTCCTTTCTTAGAACGAATTTTCTCAGTTCCCGATGGTATTTCCAAACAATTTAAAAAAAAAAAAAAAACACCGACAACAAATGACGTTGCGTCGGTTTTGTTTTTGTTGATTTCTGGCGGTTGCTTTTTGATTATACCAATGGGGAAAACACCACTAATACAACTTCTCAAAACCGGCTTTTGATCGCGATGACGCATCGTTTCTTTAGGTGTATAATATATATATATAAACATAAAATTAATCATTCTTAATGTCGTTTATCCTGTATATCTCTCCGATTTCTCACCGACAAACAGTGAGACTGCTCGTGGTGCTAGCTATGCAGGTACGGTTTTTGTTTTGTCGGTTTTCGTGCACGCTCGTTCGGACGTAAAATTATTAATTCGCAGGGAAAAAACCGAGTGCTAGTTAAAAAAAAAAAAAAAATTAAATAAAAAAAAACCGTTTCGGTATATTTTTAATATCTATATATTATGCATTAATGATGGCATTATTATTTTCAACATACACATAAATAGATAAAAGTTAGATGTAAAAAGATAATAAATAACATTTTAATAATATATTCGTCATAGTATCGTATCCACGTGAGTGTGTGCGTGTTAACACGTGTCACGATTATATTTACGTTTGGATCCAAGTGCGTAAAAAAAAAAAAAAAAAAATGAAACAAAAATAGGGGAGAAACGTCATCGGTGCAGATAGCGTACATTTTAAAGATTTATTCGGTTTTTTTAATTTAGTTTTTGTATGGGTAGGGAGAGGGGTAGCTATTATGACGTAGACTGACTTCTTGCATATACACTGTAATTAATGAGTTTTGAATAGGGTGATGGGCGGGGTAGGGACCCCCAGCCGCGCCCCTGGACATTATCACAGTTTACTTTTTCTCCGTTAGACACGCGATTTTCATATACTTTACAAGTGCATTAAATAATATTTCAAATTATAAATAACATTATATCGTTATGACTATATACACATTGTATAATTTTTATTAATGTGTAGGCACGGCCGGTATACATTTTAATTAACGTCATTCGAATGGCCACGCAAACGACTGATTAACGCCGTTTAATTATAATATTATTTTAATAACGATGACGCGTAACGCTTGTAGTATAATATAATACGAACGTAGTTTTTTTTTAAAACAAAAACAAATATAATTCACGCCGCGGGTAAGCAACTGTTTTAGGTGGAAAGTTGGGAAGATATGTGCATACTGTGACGTGGGGTGATTTAGTACACGTACGAATATGTACAAATGATGCGTGTACATCAATTTTCGATACTACACGCGTCATAATCTCGGAAAGTATTATTATTTATTTTTTTTTTTAGAAATTTTAAGGAACGCATAACTCTGAAATGTTATATTACCGTTGTTTATTTTTGGCACTGTCCATTTTCGATTTATAAATTCCCATCCATGTTTAAAATTGCCTAAATAGACGATGTGTTTACTTTAAATGCTTTTTGACATTTTCAATTTCCGTCAATTCGCTGACAAGATATTCCACTTTTAAATTTGTTTACGGGGAGAGTAATATTGGCGCATTATTCAAACGCCACGCGCCGTGCCGTCACACAAATAACGACAAAAAAAAATTTGAAAATCGCATTTGGGAGGGGGGAGGACTGACGAAGTACACGTATACAGTAATAATATTGGAAAACACGCGATATTCGATTTGCATAAAATTTTAAACCGTATCGGAGACGTTTATCGAACAAAAAACGATATTGTTTTTTTTTCAGCAACTACGGTGGAGGCCTTGAAGTGTCACTCGCGGGATGCGTAGGTACACCGGATAAAATATTATAACGGACGACGCGATAAAAAGTAGGTAAATATTTTGTTTGTCGATACAACAGGCGTTTTGACGTGCGTGTAAATATACGGATATAACATTATTATTATTTATTATCGAATCGAAGACGGGAATAGTCAAGCGTAAAATTTATAGTCTGTTGCTGTTTGTCGAGTCCACGATCAAACGGTTTTTTCTAAGATGTACAAAAAAAAAAAAAAAAAATTGTTGATACTGCTGATGGGTTAGGTCTTCTTATTATCAACGGACCGTGGATTTTTTCTAGTGCATTAGGAACAACTTAAAATGAGACCTGGATCATATTTTTTAACATTTCTAAAAAGCCAAAAAGTTATTATATAAAATTAAAAAAAAATAAACCCGAAAATTCAAAATGGCTAAAAATAGCCGAGAATTTCAAGCCTCTACGATTTTTAAAAAAAATAATTGAAAATAACGAAAATCGTTATTATTGCGTACATTTTCTCGGATTTTCTCCATTATCAAGAAAATTAAATATAAAATGAAAAATAACTTCCAAAATGCACCGAGTGTACACTGTTTTCTAGTTGAAACGCTGTTATTAGGTACCTACAACAACAACAAAATAAAAAAATATTTTAGTAAAACCAATCAAAAATAATATTCAGTGTTAAGGTATATGGATCGATAACTGATGGGCAAAATATATACGATGGGTAAAATTAGAAAACAAACTTTGAATATTCAACAAAAATGTATAAGTTTCGTGAGTGTTATTCTCACTATCCATTGAATCATCTGGGTATTTTGTAATATTCCGACTCGGAGTCATTCTATTCCGTCAAAAATTATCGTGATGATATGTGATGGAATGCTTTTTTTTTTTTTTTACTTCGACTTTTACACGATTACGGTGCACAATATTCGAATGCAATTCCTGTGCGGTTTCTACACCGGATCTAAACGAAAATACCATTTTCGCAAATCATCTATAGAACCGTGCCTCGTACGCGATATGAAATATTATCGAAAATGCCGACGCACTTGCCCAAAGTTGTGCACTATATTTAACCCGGCATAATCCTTGTAATGTAATTTATGAACAAGAACAAACTGCTAATCTACAGAGTGCGAAAGCATAAACTGTATAAATATTTTGGGCGCTGATCGGAAGCTCTGGACTTCGGTCACGTGCGCGCAAAACCGATATTGAAAAAGACTCGGGGTGAGGAGCGGGATCTTAGGAGGGGGGGGAGGGGTAAGATGATAATATTTTCGGCGGCAGGGGTTGGAAAAACTTCAAACAAAACGTCGCGTTAAATGACGAAGACGACCCGCTAAATCGAGGACGCGCAATTAGGGGTAATTGAAACGAGAGGAAAGACGCACAAAGAGATGGGCTGCAAGAAAACGGTATGCTCCAAAAAGGGGAAAGTTCATCTCAGAAAGTGTAATACGTTTTCCGCACACCGCATCGTAAAAAAATGTAATTTGAAAGTGAAAAAGTAGGTGCGTTCCGACGGTGACCGCGAGACGCCCAAAAGCGAAGCTGTTGCAAACACATACATGCCAATAAGTGTACACCTAGTCATGCCGGCGGGTCTCGAGGGAACGATAATTTTGAAAGGAATCCATTTTTTGTCCCCTCTTTCCTCCGTCACCTGCTTCAGTGAAAAAATAGACTGTGCACGAGGGGGAAACTCGGTTAACCCCCCCCCAAAAAAAAAAATCTGCAAGATTATCGATTTACACTCACCCGATTACTCGATATTATTAGGCAGTTGTGCCGTTATTTTTGTCGTCGTCGTCGGAATCTCGGGAGACGCGAGGGTTCTGCCACACCGTTGAGTCCGGAACGATTTCGACCCGAAATAATAAGAAATAATAAATAGCTGTTCGCCCGTCAAAAGGCATCCCATGTGTATTTTTTCTTTACTTGTTTTCCGGCCGAAAACCCCGCAGGGCAATACGACACCTTTGTCACCGCTCATTATTTTCAGATTTCGCGTTATCAAATTTGTGTATTATATGCTCCACTACCGACTCTGTGTAACGAGACCCATACTCGTTCAACTAAATTACTGTCTGTATACAGGGTGGTGCCTCGTTACTGTTTTTCGACAGGTGTCTAGAAAATCGTTATGTTCGTCGATCACTGAAAATTGGTAAACAACTGAAAAAAATCGCCGTAATAATTCGGTAAATTCCCTAATAAAAAAATAAAATTGAATGAACAGTAAAACAAGATTTATCTGGGTCAAAATTCGCGTGACCCACACTCATTTAAATTATAATATTATTATATGTCTTGCAAAAAAAACTATATATAATCGGCCGTTTATTTTATGCCTATCCCGTAGGTGTTTTATTTACCCATGAAATAATTGTACCGTGATTTTATACGGATTTACTTCGCGGTCGGTGTCACTTCAAATATCAAATTCTCATCACCGCATGTTATCGCACTGAACAGCGAATGAACAGAAATTTTCAAAGGGAGCAGAAGTGGCAAATAAGAATCGTGAATAAAACGTAAAGGCGTTATCTACCCAACTCGACTATGGGAATGATTGGTAATTTAAATGACGGATTCAAAAATAAAAAAAATCCGATTTCCCATCAGTACATCAAGCCTTCCTTCGTAACCTCGGTTGAGTATATGCATTTCGATATTAGGTTACTCATATATTTTCGTATTTTTTAAGCCAGTAGGTGGGAGGACTATAACCACTGCCCGTCCCTGTGCACGCTACTGGCGCTGAAGACATTCACGCGGCAGTTTTATTTCACCACGGTCCACCGTAAATCGAAAATTCGATTTTACCGCTTCTCTCTCCACTTGTGTCTACGCGCGGTCCGCGTAAATTCGACGAGCGCACTATTACAATCAGCACCGCGTTTGCCATCGCGACCATTAGCGGCCCCGGCGCGATCCTGTCCCCGTATTATCCAAAAATACCTATAATACATCTACTCTATATCACGTAATATTAATATCTACGCTCGTGCATAAGTTTTCCTATGCGAGAAACGATTTCAAACGGCCCAAATACTATTGGACTTCGGGAAAAAAATCGCCACAATAATAATACGTTAGACGGGAACCGAGTAAAATCGTCTGTATAATAAGTTTATTTATCCGACAGTAAGCGTTACGCGTGTAACGTAATTGAATCGGGTTTGCATTTCAGCCGCTTATAAAAATATATACGCATACAAAAGAGAAAAGTTCGATTTTGACAATTTACGTAATTGAGTGCCGTTTTCGAGTTATCTATTTCGAAACTTTATACGCCCGTAAAAGTTATTGCAGCGCCCAGCATAAGCTTACGTATATACTTATTTTATTTACGAAATAAAGGAGCAGTCGATGCTCTGTAATATAGGTACTCTTTTTTTTTTTTTTTTTTTTCGTTGTGTCTCTGAACAACTTTTGAATGTATTTGGCCGTAATATGTCAATTCAAACTTCAAGTAAAACTTCATACACGTTTGGTTACGGCTCGTAAATAATCGCGGCTATAAACTTTAAACGAATCCTCATAGCGTTTTGAACTGTATACCTATCTATCTATGCGTAAAATCAATAGTTTTGGACGATACGATTTCATTGTCAGTTTGAAAATTGAAACAAAGCCGGGATTTGTTCAACGCGAATCACAATTTTTTAGATTCTAAACGTGTTTTTTATTTATTTTTTTTTTCGTTGTGTCTCTGAACAACTTTTGAAATCTCATTCCGATTTTTATGTGTGCCCAGTCTCTCTTCTGAAAGCAAATGTTTTATTTTCCTTAAAAATTGGATAAAATACGTATGGAATACGAGAAAGTTTACATCTATATGTATGACCATTTCATTATTTTCTTTTTTTGTAATTCGTATGAAAATAATCTTAGAGATCAGACATTTTTTTGGTGTTTTCGAGTTTCGTTTAGTTTTTATGTGGTTTTATATGTTATGTGAATAAAACTGATTGAGCGAACATAAATGCTTAAAAATTTAACGCGAGGTTTAATGTAAAGTGTACGTAGTAACTAAAAAAAAAAAAAAAACATATTTGCACGTAATGTCGTGGTTTTTGCGTAAAATGGTTTCGAATTTTGACGAAAACCGTAATCTTACCTTCACATTCCACGTACCCTTCGGTTTTTTACTATTTACATACTACGACCGTGTATTAGGATGTGAGGCGTTAAGTGAAAATTGTATTTTGTATTTGTCTCGATTATTGAGGTTATTTTTCAATTTTATTATTATTATTGTTATTTTTTTTTTATAGTTCTTAGACGTTAAAATATAACAGCAATCAATAGGCAACATTTTGTGTGTAAAGGACAATATTGATATACTAAATAGGAATAATTATAACATTATAGCGACTATATTGTATTGAGCGCGTTTCTTAACTAGACTCTCAGACATAGACTCAGCGCCTCCGATTGCTCTTTCGCGAAAATGTCAACAATGCGTGGCGAGGACGGAGATTTTACGATAAATTTTCACTCGGCGTTGTCGTAGAAGGGGGAGGGGGGAAACGTCAAATAGATTCTTGTGGAGTGACACACAACGTACGCTGCAAAGAGAAATAATTTCACAGTAGAAAGCACGCGGAGAATTTACATTTATATAATATGGTACTACCTTTAGTAAAACACGTTGTAAACGACAAAAAGGAACTATAGGCGGATTTTTTAATTTTATTTTATTTCTACACGTCTATACTCTACTACATTGAACATCATTTCGCGTATGCTAACATATTAAATGCTCATATATATATATTGTTCATATATAAAAAATCTTGGATTATTTTCGGTACAGTCCAGAGATGTCCTGGGATTTTCTCGGTATCCGGTCCACCAGTTCAATTTATTTATTTTAAACGTTGTCATATTCTTTTTAGGAAATTGAAAATGCCAATGTCATAGAATATTTTAGTATACATTTAGAAAGAATTTATTGAATACACACGTGTGAAGTATACTATATTACCAATAAGAAACCCGGTCGATAGCAGTAGAAGAGAGAAAAATTGCCGAGACGTTCGAAATGTAGTGTTACAGGAGGATGTTATAAATAAGCTGGTCCGAGAGAATTACAAATTATAAAATATTAAATAAATATCGGAAAGAAGTCACTATGGGAAAGCTTAATGATAAGTCGAGATTATTGGATTGGACGTATAAGCTTTAAAATTATGCTATGAAGACATGCAAGCTTGATTTAATTAATTATAGAAGAGGCCATTAAAGGGAAAGACCACATAGGAAGACCTAGGATGGAATGTATAAAGCAAATAGTGAAGGATCAAAGCGAATCTGTCGTCAAGGTACGGATTGCATATTTGTATTTAAAATTGAAGAGAAAAGCAAACGACAGGAATGAATAGAAAAAACCTGTAAACCAATCTAAAGATTGAAAACAAAAAAAAAAAAAAAAGATGCCGTTATTATTTTCTTCGTCTAACAAATGATATGTGCATCACAACGATGCAATAAGAATTCCGAATGTTTATGATGAGATCGGTTGGGCCAATCAGGTACATTTCAGTTTTTTTTTTTTTGAACACATTTTCAAATTAAAAGTTTTAGATTTAATAAGGATTGAAATTTGATTAATAATATCGTGTAAATTTTACGCTGAATTCAAATTTTTACTAGAGAGAATTACTAAAGAGAGAATTTCTCGACCTATTATTTTTTTGTCAGATCGTCTCTGGTAAAGCCGTGAATAATTATTACAGGGAATTAAAAAAATATTAAATTTTAAATAATTAATAATATTTTATGCAATAAAACGGGAATTTATCGAACCTTCGGTATGAAAACGGCCGTGTAAGGAATTTTCTTTTTTTTCAAAAACGCTCGTTGAAGTTTTGTGCGGAGGTGTTATATTTTATTATATTAGTTTTTTATTTTTCGGTTTTTGTCAACTTTGCAAAGTGTTTCGTCGAGGGCATTTTATATTATATTATAATATACGAAACCGTGATCGCGTGTCGGCCGACGGCGGTGCAGGGTAATGAGCGGGCGGCAATAGGGAAAAGAGGCGTGAAAGTTTTAGGTGGAAAAGTGTAAGTATATATTATACGAGTTACACGAGTGGTGGAAAAAAACAATTTTCGCAGTTTAACGAAACAGCCTCAGGGCGGCCGGTAAAAACGTAAGATCTCGTTTTTCCATATAATATACGTGTATATGGTTTTTAATTTCGGTTTTTGCGCGTAACCGCGGCTCGTTGCAGTGCGTTTTTCGCTGCGGGTCGGCGGGTGATTTATTTATAAACGAAAGCGAAAAGAAAAAAAACCGAAAAACGGAAACCGCAGGAAAAAAAATACAACCGGAAACCTCCGGGGGCGCGGTGTTCTGTTAATATTGTATTGAGACCGACTTCAAAAGAGATGTGCGATAACTCGCGGGTTTTATTTGTCGTGGGGCGATATTATAAAAATAAAACGACGTTCGAGTAAAACATAATACACAAATCGCTAACTAGTGCAAAAAGGATAGGAAGAACAAGTCCATTGTTTCTAATTATTCCGCAAAGAAAAACCATAAAAATCGAGTGACATAATAATGGATACGTTTTTGAAAATTTAACATTCATTTTCAATGGCCTTTGCACCGTAAGAGGGCTGTATGGATGTTTATTTTCACGCCAAGGACTGTATGTCTCCCGTTTTCGGACGCTGTTTTTAAATGTTTGGACTGCAGTGTTGGGTTTGTTTCCTTTCTGCAATAAACGTTGCAGACATGTAAACGTTTCCCCTTCCCGCGGTTGGTGATTCGTATTATACACCTAATAGTAATGTACGTCAAGGTGAAACCGGCTAAGCGCTGGAAAATTATGATTTTTTGTCCAGAAATCATCAGATTTCGTAAGAAACTTTCAGAATTTGTTCAGGATTCCCATTATGTTTTATTTATTTATTTTCTTAATATTTCACAAACAAACATGCCGGTGTCAATTCGACGTCAGCACCGCCGGCACATCATCAGTTTTGTATTTTTGTTTTTATGTGAAATTTTCCAGATATTTCCTGGCTATTTTCAGAATTTTCTAATCATTTTTCTACCCGGGGATTCACCGAACATTTGCCCCGCCACCGGCACATAGTTCACATTTATTCGAACGACACATCGATTATTGTTTGATCGTTGTTATTAAAATATTGTACTTACATTGGACGATGTACGCTCCCAGTTCGGCCATCAGTTCTTGGGTGACGGGCACGCGACCTTGGAGTATGTCCTGTTTGAGTTGCAAGAAAAACTGATACCTGTAACACAATATCAATATTGGATTATGTTTTTATATAGTTTACAGCGATGGGGGTTTATTTTTTCAATCGGCATACAAATACGTCGTCATATCGAATTCGCCGGTTCGCGACGGAGATTTTTTTTCAAACGTCTCGACAATTTCGCGATTTTATCTCACGCGGCGGCATTATGCGATCATTTGCCGAAAATTCAATATCGAACGCCCGAGTGATTCGCGATATACTATACCTATGTATATACCTACGCATTGATTTTACCGTGAATCAGCTAGTGTCCTCTCCACCCGGTATAATATTCGGGTTGACGACGTAAAAATTCCTGCGGTTTTTTTTTCTTTTAACAACGACAGAGAAAAAAAATCCGAAATTCGAATGTTTAGTTTCCATTGTATACTAATGTTAAGATCTGCCGTTTTTGCGAAATTTCGTTAGACTACCGTTGTCTATCCGTCTATATTGCGTTCGAAATTTCAAATCTCTCCACGGTATTGGCCATGTCCGACACCTGTGTATTTTATACCTTGTTGTCAGTTCGGAAACAAATTAAATGTCGGTAATCTAGACAAATTTAAAGGTTTCGGGCGTATAATTATGTTTTACTAATCGAAAAATCGTATTCAACACGAAAAAAAAAACACACACACACACACATGTCGGTACACAACTAAATTGTAACGCTATCGTCGGTTTTTAATTCAGTCCAGCTAATTCTCGAAATCGTTCACCAATACCGCATCATCTCGAAGCTCTCTCGATCTTTTTCCGGCTCCGTCCATTCTACACACATCTCCGTATACATATAAGTGCATTAACGTCTACGCCCCTTAACGTTTTCAAAATATTTATCGCATAACGCTCTCCAGTCGCCACCGAAGCATATAAATACGTGTAATTTTCAAATTTCAACCGCTCATGTGCGGCGTACCCGTGCGCGTGCGTCAGTACGAAATAGCTGGAGGCCACCACGACTCGACCGTTATTGTAATAACAACGCGAGTATCGTATTATAACGTGTATACGTAGGCAAATACCTAAATAATACATCGTTACTATAATTATTATCGCGACCAGTCGTTTAAAACGCGCGTCATTATTATTATAGATAATAATGTAAACTTGATCGGAAAGGGGTGTGTCGTCTGGCGGGGAAAAAAACGAAAATTATCGAGCCCGAATATGCTCGGCGCTCGAGTTTTTTTTTTTTTTTTTAAAGGGCGTGTGTGTTTGTGTGTTTTTTTTTTATTTCCGATCTTCATCGACGGCTATCAGATATATATATATATATATATACAAATCGACACCGCGGTCGGCCGCGGATTAATCGCACCTACCGAAATTCGTAAACCCGAATGGATCCCACGCTACCGAATATTTCACGGGTCCAAAAACCATTGGTAGTTACCATACCGACGCACTTTACACACGCACTTTTGAGTGCGGCAATTAACCGCACGGCATCACGAAATAATACGCTATTTAAAGAGAGTCGCCGCGTTCGGGAAAATGGAATAATGGCCGTTTTAAACACGGCGCACGACCGCCGGTAGCCGTTATGATATAATTATAAATTAGGCGTTATCGCGGAATTTGTATTATAAAAGTCGCCGTCGAAATCGTTGAAAATTCAGTTACACACCGTGGGTAAGGTTGAAAAGTGGGGGGGGGAAACACGTTTTTTTCATGTTGTACAGACCTCGTGTAAATCGCACGAACGCGCGTTTTATAATGAAATATTCGCGAATTCGCTTGGGAAAAAAAATAATTATAACTGCACAAGTACAACCGAGAAAAAAAAAATCGATTACCTATATTTTATCACGTACCGGGTAACCGATTTTTATCGTGTAGTAAGATGTATAACGTGAGCAGCAATATTAAAGCATTACAAAGAAAAAAATGCCGAATTCCTTTGATAAGCCTACAGTGGAACCCTACATATTTTGTTTATGTCGTGAATTATGCTACGGTATTATAACAAGATACGATTTGTGATTGATTTCAAATGTTTTTCATTTTATCACATAATTTCACGGGTGAGTCAATACAAGTTCGCCCTCTCGGTAAAATCATGGATGTCGGACTTCAGATTGATGTATTGATATACAGGGTGTCCCACAATGATCTGCTACTTGAAATAAATTTTGTTCCGTTCAATATTTTTTATATAATTTTTTAAATAATTAGTATGCCTCTGCACTAAAGTTTATATATTCACATTTTTTTTTTAGTTTTTAAAATTTAACCTTTTTTAAAAAAATGTAAAATAGACATTTTATAAAATAGATTTTTAGAAAATTGTTGGTGGTTGAAACTTTTAATAAAGTATGGTCTTTTATTTTCTACGATTTTTTGAAAATTTGAATAATTTTCTTTACAAACGTAACAATATTGTTTATCAACATGAATACTCATTTACCCACTACCTAATACCTATAATATGATAATATTATCGCACGATATTTACTCATGGACAAGAAAATCCTTGCCATGTGCCCTGATTAAATAATTGATTAAATATTATAATGGAATAACCACAATAGGTATTATTCACATTTTCAAAAACTTCAAAAAATCGTAGAAAATCGAAAAACATACTTTAACAAAAGTTTCAACCACCAACAATTTTCTAAAAATTAATTTTACAAATTTTCTATTTTGATTCTTTTATTTTATGTCCTCCTCCCCCCTCAAAAAAAAAATGTTCATTTATAAACTGAAAACGCAGAGGCATACTAATTATTTATAAAAGAAATATATATATATATAAATCAAAAATGTTGAATATAACAAAAACTATTTCAAGTGGCAGATCATCGTGGGACACTCTGTATATATATATATGGTATAGGATTACATCTTGATCGTCATGCGGACGATGTTCAGTGAATTATCAGGGACTCGAGAAAATATGCCCGAGACTCATGACAAAACTTGAAACCAACGAGTTAAAAAATTAAATTAATTTTAGTCTGAAGTTTGAATTTTTATTTGATTCAACTTGTTATTTTTTAATTTTAATATAATTAGTTAACTTGGTAAACGTATATCACGATAAATTTTAATTTCAACACGATATTATACATTTACAATAAATAATAGTTACTATCAGTTACCCGTTATCACTTTTTTTTTTTTTTTTTTTGATTCTGAGCTTAGCGAGGAATGTATTGATTTTAATTTATGATGTTTGAATTTTTTTAATTATTGTGACTGTGAACAACTTTTCTACAGGAAATCTTACTTTAATTTTTAATTGTAACATCTTTTTCGTCGTTTTTCGAAAACAAATTGACTTTTAAACGTGTTAATAACTCATTAACAATTTTCGATTAACCTAATATTAACTTAACTTCTATCTCCAATATTTAATACTTGTACTAGGGCCTTGCTCAAGACCCAACACTCGTTTGTTATTAAGTCTTCGTCAATAACGCGAGTTTTTTTTTTTCCATTATAAATAATACTGCAAAGCTTTTAATTTATTGTTTTTATTTTTATTTTTTTTTTTTTTAAATTATTATTTCTGTATATTATACTTTAAAAGGAGCCTGGTGAAATGCCTAATTGAGAATCATTGTGTGCATTATAATAATATAATACTACATTTTCGCTTTGGCGCTAATGCACACTTTTAACGATTACTTATTAAAACGCGAATTTCTGTTTTTATTATTCCGCACGAACCGACGACCGGGTTGTTGTAATAATAATATACCATTTAACGTGTTTTTTTTAAAAAAAAAAAAAACCCAAACGAATAAACGATTAAACAAAAAAAAAATAAAAATTCAATTTTTCTCTTCGGTAAAAAACTACGAGAGCAGCAAACATTTCCCGTTCGAGAACCGTATTTGTTACACGCCGATAGCGATATACAGGGTGATATTTTTATTACGAACCATATTATAGCGATTATCCACATGCGAAGGTTCTGAGCAGAGTAATTTCATTCCACTTTGTTTGTTTGTTTTTTTTTGCCGATAATATATTAAAAAAAAAAAAAAAAAAAAAATGGTTTTTGACGATTTCATTAATTTTTCAAATGTTACCCTTATCAATCGGCTAGCGTACTGATTTTCCTCGATACGAATATATAATGTACCTATACATACTATTCGAAAATCAAAAGATACGATATGCATTTATACGGAACGCGGATGAAATTTTGAAAATATTGTAAATATTATATGGAAATCGCTATGATACGATCGTTAACGCGGTTTTGATCATAAACTAATACTAATGTCTGAAAACAAAATCAAATTTTAATTTATTCGATATAGTTTTCGTAGATTATTTACATATTTATCTACGTGTTAAAAACGATCACCCGGTATAGATATTACGGTATACACCGTGCCTAATGTTCAATAAACTGCAATGAATTTTACACGCGGATCGAATCAGTCAATCGATCGAAAGAAAGTAAAACGTCTGTTATAACGTATTATTCAGTAGGTGTTTCGCTTATATACTATATTAGTATTATGGTTTATGATCTAAAATGTGTTTCATTTATTACAACGTGTACTTAGGGCTAATTCGAAAATTTTCTGTAGTTAAAAAAAAATAACTTATCCAAACGAAACGGTGAAATCCACAGCATCGTAACCATTTGAACAGAATCTTGTCAGTTTTTTTTTTTTTTTTTTTGAGGGGAAGGGGGATGAACCTAATTTCGCGTCTACAGCAGCGATGATTTATCTCGTTCCTTTCAAATTTAAAATAATAACAACTGCATGAACTACAAAAAGAGCACTTTTTTTTGTGTGGATGACTTTTATTTTGTTGTGTGTTGTTTTTTTTTTTTTTAAATTTCAACAAAACTATTTTCGAGACTTTATTTATATCCCTATACGCACTATACGCGTGAATATACATAACATAACATAAACAAAGTTTGTTTTATAATTTATCGCTTTTCTTTTTTTTTTTTTTCATTTATTTACTCGTTTTATATATGCGCTTTTTACTTATGATATCACATGCAAGAGTCGAGCCAACAGAAAAAAACACCACACGTTTTTTAAATATTATAACCAAAAAAAAAAAAAAAAATAACCAGACATAATTCGCACAGTTGTTAGGCCACTGTTGTATAGATGGACAGTTTGAAAATTATGTACACAACAAAGAGGGTAATTATGTAAAGTCGCATGCACTGGAAGCAACAATAAATCATTACAATCAATAAAAAATAAACCAATTCTGAGCGGAGTAATATTAAAAGTATGGCTCGTGCTTTTCCCTTTTAGAGAAGCCGCGAAAGTGACCCGGAAATCAACAAGAATAATATTGATGTACTGACATTTGTGAAAAACACGCGCGCTTTAAAGACAAATCGGACCCAACGAAACAAGTATTTTCCGGGAAAAAATACATTGTATCATTGAAACTATTATATTTAAACTCAGAATCTAAAATAACGTATCGATATAAAGAATATTTGAAATCGAATTAAGATCTCTAGAACGTCCCCGCCCGCATTTAATGTATCAGCCTAACTAACGGGAAACAATGGCACCATAGTAAAATTACGTAACGCATCGAACATATAAATTTTGGGGTTTGGTCGGGTTAGGCCAGTTGGAAATTTGAGAGTTTGAACACGGATAAAAAAAATCCAAAGAGGAGAATATTTACGAGGGTAGCCGCTTATCGTTGTTTTTCTAAAATACTGTCAAAGTTGCACAGCAGCTTTTTTTCTTTTTTTTTTTTTTTGAAATAATGTCAGTTTTGTTCGAAAATATTTTTTACACAATTTTCTGAAAAACATTGTCAACTGACCTGTATAATATTATATATATTATATTATTAGTCATGCTTGTGGCGGTTTATGCGTTTGAATGTAAAACATAGGATTGAATATTACGGTCTTGTAAGTATCCTATGATGTCAATTCACCCCCATTTTCATTAAATGAGCTTCAGAAGGGAGTGTAAATTAAACCGTATACATGATGGGTGTATTATTATAGTTCATTTTCGGACAATGTTACACGGTTGAATGGTTTTCTCACGATAAAAATAATATTCACACTGTTGGTTTTAAAGTACCCATCCATACCGGAAACGGTATCGTTTTATATTTTAACACGCATCCGGTATAGACAAATCGTTTAATATTTTAAATTCTGTATTCGAGAAGACTCAACCAATCATCCATAAATGGAAATTTTAAATTCAGTTTTTTGTTGTAACCTCGCCCGTCCATTCGTTTTCAAAATTTCAACAAATAAAAAATTCTTTCTGTGCTAGATATTCATGTACAACATTTCTAGATATTTTTTATGCAACCTCTGGCGGGTGGGCCAGTGGACACCCGCCAGAGATTGCATAATAATAAATAAAGATTGCAATATGACTTTTTTTTACGACGCGTTAAATCTGTTAACATAGAACGCGCTTAAAAAAACCGTTTTTAGGTATTACGAGTAAATAACTCGTGTACTCGTATATGATAATATTAGTGCGTGTTATTATTATTTCGGGTCCTTTGAATACGAAAACAACTAATGTTTTGTACATATTATAACGACCTGCGTGGCCCGAGCATACAAGATTTTAGCCTTTGAAATTTATAGTCGTTGTGTGGGTGGGTGGCGAAGAGCGGGGAATCGGAGGGCTCCATTAGACTGCGGCGCAACGCAAACACGAGGGGAAATCGTCTAGATGCGGAGGCGGAGGAGAGCCGGACGAGAGGCGCGAAATATGCGGTCACGAAAACGGTGCGAGTAGGTAGAAGATAATAATAATGATAATAATATTATTATTATAATAAAACCCGGTCGTTACATTAATGCCGCGGCTTTTCCCGTGTCGTCGGAAGTGAACGGTTATCGTCGCGTGGACGAAACGGACAAGGGTGAATTTCGTCCGCAGCTACCCGTGTGCAAAAAAACTAAAAAAAATACCCATAAATATTTGTTTGTCGGTTGGTTTTTTTTTTGTTTTTTTTTGTTTTTTTGTTGTTGTTGTGTTTTCACTCCCGAAAATCGTTGTAATAGTGCTTTAGGTATATTGTTGTGTAGGCAATACCCAACGCACAATAGAAATTTAATCGCGTTGCGTCGTCGTTGGGTCCAAATAAAATCTAGAAAAACATTATATTATTATTATATTGTTTCCGGTCGCTGGTGAAACAAAAACGAGCGAGAATGACCGTGTTTTTCGGATACCTAACCTAAAATAATCTGACTCAATTATACATAGAGTATAAAAATATAAATCTATAAGGCGACGGCGAAAATCACGAAGTACAAGCGACGGAAATATTAATCCCGAATAAAACAACGAACATCGGGAAATTCTTCTCGTAAATTCATAGATAATTTTTTAAAAAAAAAAAAGAAGAAATTCTAGGATAATGGGGACGGGTGCAGCCACTGTTATAGGTAATTAAATGTGTATGTAGAAATCCGAGCAAGTCTTCTGGCAGAAAAGTTGAGCACAGATTAAAAAAAAAAAATAATAAACATCTTTGTAAAATCATAAGCTCCTTCGCTCTACTCAAATTCTAAAATGCTGAGGTTATATAATAAAATATGATACGAGATTTTTTTTTTAAATTCTAATTTTCAGCCTGTTGAACAATGATTTTTGAGTAGAAAATTTGCTCCAATCATCAACATATTAACAGTGGTCTCTGGTAAAATATTTTATCTAATTAATGGCGTGCACACGGAATCTAGATGGGGTAATTTTTTGTGTTTTTCTTAATACAGAGAGAAAACCGGAAAACATCGGAAGGACGGGAACATTGTAAGGTACAATATTATCCGGTAATAACTGTCCCTCGTGACGTTATCTGTGACAAATTAAATGCCCACGGACGTAATCCGTTACCCCTTTCTTCTCTCTTGCCCAACCAACTTCCCATTCGCTTCCCTTACCATCTCTTTTTTTAACGCTAATCCTCTTCTGGCAGTCAATAATATTTCATTTACTTGCAATGTTCTTACATAATAATCTCTAGAATGGTTTTAACGATTTTTGATAAAAAGTCGCCCGATAAAAACTTCTGCTAGAGACGATAAGGAATTGAACAAAACATTTTTTTTTATTAAAATCATAGTTCTTTTCATTTAAATATATTATGAACATTTTAAGGTTATATTTTAAATAAATTATAATAGCTATTATCGTGGTATTTTAATAGAATTTGCACAGTACGAATTACGGTGTATAAGTATAAAGTAAAACTGAGGACGGTATAGTAAAATAATAAAGTATTCCATACGTGAAATTTCTATATATAAAAAAAAAAAAAACAATGATAGGTCATTTTTTATTTTTATCGTCGAATACTTTGACTTAATGGCTACCATATCCTTGTGCGTACACAGATACCACAACGGCATACCGAACTCGCGTTCACGACAACTGAAAAATTAATTGATTTCTATATGCTACGTGTGCGATCACTACGTTACCTAACCCGGTTAGACTAACTACGACGCGTATGTCCTCCGACGATAATCGTATAATTATTATTATATTTTATGGCGTGCCTCAATTATTATATTGTGTTTAGCGACGGGCGTAATATTTTATTACGAATATTACGGTTGTGCTCTAGTTTTGCAACACTCGCGACTATTGCGAATACGACCGACCGATTATTAAGTGTCGAAGAATGATAATTGTGTGCGCCGCAGCGTTCGTGGGCTAGCGCGCAAAAGAACAGCACCGCGATAGAATACGAATGAGCGTCATATGTTTTTCGTCCGTGAAGTGAAAGGGGTTTTTTTTTCCCGCCCGTCGTTTGTCGTCTGTCGTAAATATTGCGAAAAAAAAAACCTCGAAAACGATAATTGTGCATCCATTCAAAAAGAGCCGGAAATACTAATTTATTTTTAAAACCGTAACGCGCCTAAAAAAAGTAATTATACTACAGAGTACGAATGTTATAATGAAAATAGATGTGCAAATTTGCCGTTTTTTCGTACGTTTTTCAGTGGGGGATGTTTATCGCGAATAATACAAAACTAAAAACAACTTTTCAACGTTTTATTTGGTGTAAATAAAATGTTGTCATTATACAAAACAGAATCCTCTATTTGCTTATAGAAAATAATATTATCCCCGCGATATCAGTGATGATTGAAGCAAGTAGTTTTTTGGCCAACAACTCGTTTTTGTACCTAATAATTGTTTTATATATAAGTATAACATCACTTATTAAATACTAGTAGTTTTCCATTATCTGATTACAGATGTATTGATTGTTTTATACTTTTTCTTTATCCGGATAAATTTCCACAGCGTACATAATGTTTGTTTTATACAATATTTTATCTTACTGATAAATTATTGGCGGTGATGGTTTTTCCGCCCCCGTAAAAATGAAAATATATGGGAAATGGTTAATCGATCAAAACCGATTTTTAGTCGTTACGCCCGCGTTTGTCGATGCGAATATTATATGAAATTGACGTGTCCGAGAGAGTTTTCGGATTGGTTCGGCCGGCTAGAAAGTCCATTAATATTATTCATTTCCGGTTGCGGAAGTGCTGAACTTCCGAACCATATTGACGGGTAAACTACCGAGTGTAAGGGGCGGCAAACTCATAATACATTATGCCGACTCATTAGGCTTATTTTCGGCGTTATTGACCGAGACTACAATGAAAATCGGCAATCGGCCGAAGCCGAAATTTATTAGTAAAAAGCACGATTATAGATACTGTGGTTATCCATAGACCTATGATAAAAAGGCGTTTATCAAATTGCAGAATCTAGCAGTCTACGAGACACTTGCAACATCGAATTCCGCGTGAATTTATATTTTACTAGTGTAATATCAAAGGCACAGGATAAATACAAAAAGATCGAAAGCGAAATTCACGAACAAATCCAGAGTTGTACAATCGTTGTTATCTTTAGTTTTTTGATTCGATGAACAGTCACAGTATCTATGAAAATTGTTGCGTAAACTGTAATCATAGTCAAGCCCAAGAGTGATTATAAGAGTACGCTCAGATAAGTAATGTTTTTTTTGTCTTGATCGTAGACCTAACATTTTTTTTTAACAAATGAAATTCACTAAAGTTAAATGAACAATTCTATGCGAAAAACGTGTAAACAATTAAAATAATTAGGAACTATAGGCGCAATTTTAGTTTTGAACAAGAAGGGGCTATACGTATTTGAATCTAATAGACTCGTGGGGGCAATACGATCCGCATAGTGTCTCCTGTATTGAAAATGCAAACATTTTCCGAGATTTGTTCGTCAGATTAATTAATCGATTCTGAAATCAAGTCGTGGAAGTCCGAGCCGTCAATTATTCATTTTCTTCACAATTGAGAACGACGACCTATCAAATACTTTTTTTGAAGGGCTAATTTTAGTATCAGCGGACCGAGGGCCTATATACAAACGTCAAAATAGATTATCAATAATAAAAAGTAAACTTGTGAAAGCTTATTTTTGTTAAAAAGAAACAAGTAAAATCTATGAGTGGTTGTACTTGTAGAAGGCCATAACAGTTTTCACTCATAATTTCCGAGGGAGTATTTATTGCAATGCACATATTATTATGTCACACTATACGTCATATGTACATAAAATAAAAATAATTTTATATTAAACGGATAAAACGCTTGAAGGGGAAGATTTCATTAAACGCCCGTGTAAACGCACCGCTAAATATTATGAAATATTGGCTCGTCAAACGGGCGAACGGTTTTTGCGACCGGGTGTTAAATTGGCGACAGCTAATTTTCCTCCACGGTAAAACTGCAGTTATTAACTTTTCACTAAAACGAGTTCAATATAATATTATGCACCGTAATAATATATAATAATAATACTATACTATATACACTAGCGAACCACGCGGTCTGAACCTGTAGTATTCCGTTTTAAAAATACGGTATACATTTAATATACTATGAACCCTGTACTATAAGTAAGTATGTCTAAGAGACGAGCGATGAAAATTCGAAATGTCCAATTATTTCCGGAGGGTCTTTTATTATATTCGTATACTTTCGAGTTCATATTATTATTTTAATATTTCTGCACAAAAGAAAAAAAAAATCAAATTACTCAATTAGGTATTATTATAATACTAGTTATCCTATATACAAGTAAAATTAATTAAGATTATATTATTTGTGTTTTTCGAATTAAAATTAAACACGGATTTTAAAAATGAATTGTTTCATTTTTGAGAAATACGAAAACCCACGTATAATAGAAATGCGATTTTCATATTTTTACACTGCAGCTGTATGGATCGTGCCCACTGATAGATTTCGAATGGCTTAAACCGTTCTTAACATACCTTAACGTTAAATAAATCAGTTTACTTTTAATATGTAATATATATATATAATCGAGAAAGAAACGAAACCTCAATCGTAGTCGTATGTTGGAAATTTGATTACAGCTTTGACGAAATTCAAAAAGGAAAAATCTGCGGAGAGACTCGAAACATAATCGTATTCTATAAATATTTTATTTTTTTGTAAATGTACCTAGGTACATAATATAACGAATTTTTGCATTTCAAAAGTTATCGAGACTCATGATTATAAATTATAATATTTGATTACGTATCGACATTTTGTTATCAGTTTTTTTAAAAATATTTTCGGCAAATTAGAAATTATTTTCAAATAAAGTACCAACAGGTTAAAAAAAACAGCAAATTTTAATTATGACACATTGAGATGTAAAAATTCGGATTATTTTTACTAACCTAATAAATATGTGCCTTGTAAAATATATACACACACAACCAAATTTATTATTAAAACTATAATATACTCAACAGCTTCTTCACATCATTCAAAATTTAAAATTATACGGATAAAACGGACCGAAATTCGGTAGATATCTGACGAAAACCCATGTGCAACAAAAAAAAAGAAAAATATAATATAATACATTAACTTAATACATTAATATTCTCTTTATACATTATACTTGAAAGCGGAAGAGAGCTATATACGCGAAAAGTATATTGTTATTACTTTATAACGATGTGTTTTTTTTTTTCGGAAAAGACATTTTAAAGTAATAAAAGTGCAATGTAGTGTGCATACTGTAAGTTGTATGTAAGTCATGTTTCCACGTCTATGGAAGTACCAGAAGAACACGGCCGGTCATTTCGGGTGTTTTATTTGCGTATTGAAAAAACAGGCTCATATTGCTGATAGACGAAGGGAGGGTATACAGGGTAATTTAATTTATATCTGTATGGAACTGTAAACCATTGCAATTTGTATTTTCTCTCCCTTTTTGTCAAGGTATCCCAGAGATTAACACGAATTATATTAAACAAACGATAGTTTTTCGCATTTATTAAGAATACTAAAAGGAAAACCAACAAATTACTTCCTAAATGCACTGGATCGAAAAATATTAAATTTTAAATGTTTAACATTTAACATGTTAAATGCCATTGTAGTGACTAAATAAATAGGCATGCGAGCTAGATTTTTTCTCGCACTACGACACACTGGGCAACATAGAATAAAAAACAGTCATGGACGGATAAAATCAATATAGTCAGAAAACGTGAAGAAACGGGATATAATTTTGGAAAAATGCATAATGATAATGAATGTTGGTTTTCTAAAGATCGTGGCTATTTTTTGAAGCAAGTTTGAAACAAGATTCCTGGTAGATAATTTGTTTACAGACACAAAAATCCAAATTATACTAAACCACAATATTCCTTGCTTTGCTTAAAATTTAAAAATTTTAGAATTTTTGGTCTATATTTGATATATTGAAAAGGTCAATTTTTTCAAATTTTCTTTGTAGTTTTCTTAATAAAAGGAGAAAACCTGCTAATTTGTTGTATGATTGTTATTGATCTCAAGGTTAACTTGGTAACAAAGGAAATAATACGTCTAATAGAACTCTGCTCTGAGTTGTTTTTCGTTTGTTTATCGCTGTGTTCAAATTTAATAATTATTATTATATTTGGTATATTATTATTTACAATTAAATTACTCTATACATCCTCTTTTTTAACTTTCCTTCTAAACCAGTACCACACCCCTCAGTGGTACTATTCACGTGTTGTGTGTTTTAACTTCTATTCGGGAGTTTATTTGTTTGGTACTATTCACTTTACTACCAGTATCCGCCTCGTCTTGAGCTACTTTCTAACTCGCAGTCTTTAAATCGTTTTCCACCGCATCAGTCCATATTTTTCTGCAGAGTCTTCCTCGGAGAAATAATAAGAGACCTTTATTTGGAACACTTTTTAAAAATAATTGATAGGTATATTATATAACAAATGAAATGATAAAATATTATAATTCATGCCGGCTGAAATAAATTAAAAGAATAAAAAAGCTAATCTAATCTAATCTAATCTAATCAATCGAAATAGAACATAAGTCACGACTCACGAGCGCGGTACACAGTAAAAATGTAAAATTTCGTATTTTTGTTTTATGTAAATTGACGGGATTTGGGCTAATGTGTTTTTAATCGAGTCAGGGTACTTCGGTTTAACTGCGAAAATATTTAAAACGGTCGCCGGTTGCAAGGCATATGATAATTATTATTCTAAGCTCCGTGGCGATTCAATCGTTTGAAACGAAAGTTCGGATTCTCGCAGTTTTTATTATTGCTTGCGAAATTGTTATGCACCAAACGACTGGACGATCAGCTTTTATATTTCGGGACCAAAACCCTGACCGTATGCGATATTATTATCACTACAATATCATTTATTATGGGGTGTATTACAGGGTGTATTTGCAAGATATGACATTATTTCCAATGTGTAATTGTACAGAAAATTATCAAACCCTGTACAGATACACAACCTGCATAGTTGGACCCACACGCAATCAATCTACCCGTAAGATCAATAATCGCATTTTTAGCAAAAATAAAAATAACTATATTTCACAACCAAAAAATCGATTTCGATGTGCGACACGATATCATGCGAGTTGAATACTAAACGCTGTCGCAGAACACTTAACCCGGTTAGCGACATATTATGCCTTGACAATATTATCATTATGGCATTGAAGTGGCGTGACGCACGACTTATTAATTGATAGGCACGTGCTTAAACATAAATCTTATAGTGATGATGATATTATGGTGGGTGGTCTTTTAGCTGTGTCTTCGTTATGTACACGAAAATGGACGTAATATTCGTTTGAGAGTTTAAAAAAAAAACAGCCTAAATTAAAATTAACTGATTTTACACGGAGGAGGGGCGCCGTAACCAAAAATTAAAGTGAATTTCTGAACCTCGTCCTCATTTCATCTTTGTACGACATTTATTGGTTAAAACACACCTACGTTTAAATTAAAATAACAAACGATTAAAAATTGAAAATAATTTTAAATATACCAATAAAAGCTCTGAAAAGGCTAGGAAAATGTTTTTAAAAAACCGTTCAAAAACAAAGTCAGTATAGTCGACGTATACGTCAAATGGCTTGCATCTATCATAATTATCAAAGGTGGACAAGTTAATAGACATTTTTAATTTGGTCAAGCTAAATAAATAAAGAAAATTTCAGTTAAAAGTGAAAAGTTAACGAAAAATCAATTGTACTTCTTAATCAGTTAAAAGTAAAAATTCAAAATTATCAACTCAATTTAAAAAAATTTTTTTTTTTTTTCTAAAAAAAAGTTTAATCAATGAAAATTCAAACTAGTTAATGTAATAAGTTAAAGATATAAATGAGTAATTAGATTAAAAGGTTTTTTTTAAAAAAAATTACTTTTTAATTAATTATGAGGACGCTATACACCTTATAAGATACGTTTAGAACCCTTATTGTCTCAGTCTGACCAACAAGCGTCGTACCAAAATTACGTTACACAGGACCATGAATTAAGATATACTTAATTAGTATATCGTAATTCACGCATAGAACATTAGCTATAGTGCATTTTGTTGTAATTAATACAAATAGCGAAATTCAAAGAAGATGCCATATTTTATAGAAAAAAGTTATAAAACGGGGTTTCTTTTTATTTCGTGACTCTCTCCGTACACACTCGAAAATAAAAATGAACGCCCACGTGAACTGTATACTCGTGTAAAAAATTATATGATATGCAGAAGCTACGGCCGCGGTAAAATTATAGGTAAGGTGCGTTAGGTAGTAGAATACGCTATAGTATTTTTTTTTATTTCCTAGCTGTTTAGGTCGTGATCACGAGGACGACGACGGCGGCGGCACAGGAAAAAAAAAAAAAAACCCGCAGAAAAAGTAAAAGCGATAATCAACGTATAGAGATTTTGCGTTTAATTATTGTTCTATCGTCGTAGGGTACACGGCGAGCGGTAAGTGATAACACTGATAACCATATATGTTTTTATTGTTTATGAAAGCACGTAATTTTCGCGTTTCGACACTCTCGCAAGTGATTATATTGTTTGGATCACAAAACGATTTCATCTAACCGCGCGCATTGTTATTATCCCGTGTGGTTTTTTATTTTTCGTATTTTTTTTGTTTGAAACGCTAATATTATGACCCCTTAGCACGACGGCGTGCAATTTCATTAGAATCTACCGGGTGAACATTGTACAATGTTCGAACCACTAAAGAGTATATATAGTCGCGCCTACGCGGCATAATAATATGAAATAATAATATATTACGTGAAACAACGCGCGAACGTGTACATAGCAGAAAAAAAAATTTAATAAATGATACGTACTATTCTTGACGTTTTTATGGTGAATATGTAAAACGAGCGAAACGCTTGGAAGATTACATAATCGTAACGTACGGTTACATGTCCGGACGTAACCGTACGTAAAAAACATTTTTTAAATTTGTAAGCCTTTCGGTACGCGCAACGCAGGTGAAGACTGAGGAGCTTAGGGAGCTTGGCCCCCGAAATCTCCCACAGCACCCCTAAAGTCATTAAAACAAATTTATAAATTATTACGTTTTTTTTTTTTTTTTGTAACAACGAATGAGTGGGTACACAGGTACAATAGCATATACTGATGATTATGTTGTTTTTTTTTTTTATTTTGAAGGAACTTTTCATTACACATTTTCACGGAAAACCGTCTCAAGAATTTTCTAGAGGTGGCATATAATTTTTTTCGGTGTTATTTCATTTATTTACAGCTACCTATTTAAAAAAAATGAAATTCGTTTAAATTTATTATTTCGCCGCTTATTGATTACTATAGACTTTCACTGTGTTCAGTGTCGTTTTTGGTTTTTACTGATAGTTAGAAGATATACGAGCTTTTGGCAGCGGGGAAATTTCTCCCATCGTCTCTCTTGAATACGTGCCTCGTTACATCTTTATATAGTAGTATGCACTATTGAGTTGAAATCGAAGGCGGCAAAATGCATTCCGTGTATGGTCCGTATTTTCATTTTAGAAAACCACAAAAAAATGTAACGATCTAAACAATCTCAAAAAACATCTTTTAACCACAATAGTGCCCTTCGAAAAAATGACCGAAAAATAAAAGACTACTAAAACAGAACATAAAAATTTCAATCAATTTTGTCGTATTATTAATATACATATATACCTACTGGAAATGCGTTTAAATTATAATTCATAAATACGACAACGGTTGTCATTTAGCGCAGACGTAAAATATGTAAAACCAGTAAAACCTATGACATGAAAACCAATTTCTCGAGGTGATATTTTACATAAACTCGCACATCAAAACTAACGGAATAAATGCACGCACTAAAAGTCACAAAAATTGTTTTTTTAAAAAAAATTTATATTCATCATTATAAAGTTCTATAACGCACGTCTATACACACGATTAGGCAACCATAGAATCTATACTCTTTTAAGGTTAACATTTCCAAAATATTTCCGATATTTGTTTTTTTTTTTTTTTTTACCTTGTATATCTACTGCAGTAAAAAAATATCCGCGCAAAAGGTCATAATATCGCGTATTTTATCGCGAGTAATGTAATAACTCCCTCTCACTCTCTCACTCCCTCTTTGCCACTCCGATACGTACAAAGTCCAAAAACAGATGGTCTTTTTTTTGTTTTATGATGTTTTGCCATACTTATACTTATATTATTGCTCGCACGTGGGCTTTCAAACGGCGGTGGCGGATTGCAGTGCATGTAGGTAACGGCTCGCCCACCGATCGCAATCGTGATATTATTCTGTATGTACTGCAAGAGGGTGTACGTGATTCGTGTTAAATGAACCGAGAAAAATAATAATAAAAGAAATATATATAAAAAATGATGACGAAATCGCCCCCTCTTTCCTCTGTCCCCAGTTAAATGAGCCAGACACAAAAGCCCTTCTTCTTTTTTTTTTTTTTTTGCTGCTGTAATAGCCGTGCACACATTTATTCCGGGGAATTTTGAAAATCGACAGCCATATTATACGGATGTACGAACGTTATGTGACTGGACTGAGGAAAATATTATTTTTGTAACGGAAAGTACCTATATATATATATATAAAAAACGATGTGATTTCAACGATTCGGATTCTTACCGGAATAATTCACACCGATAAAAATTATAATAATATTAATCGTTTAATACATTTTATTTGATTACTGTGTGCTACGAATTTAAAAGTCAGTTGACAAATATTTTTAATCGTAAAATTTCCCCTGCTACTTTTCCCCGTTTCCTATTTTTAACAACTATCTTTAGACCAAATGAACTTAAATTCGAGAACTCGGGAGTCGTTTTATGGGCGGATTGAAGTGATACAATTTTTGTTGAATTTAAATATGAATATCGTTACAGGAGGAGAGTATTTTGTTTTAGCTTTGTACGCCGTTATACAGACCCCCGAAATGAAACCAAGAGTATGCAATTTTATACACGCATGGCGCAAGTATCAAGTATGCGTCTTTGGACGTTTCAACTTTAACGGTTCAAAAGTGTATTTCCGGGCTTTTAAAATATGTATTTATTAAAACAAATAGTTGTATTATTGAGCAATATATTAATATTTGTCGAATACCGTGGTGTCATCGTCGCGCGCAGTGTCCGGAGAACCATCGTACGTTATAATAAACTCATAACTTTATAAACTATTCTAATAAATAATAACCACCGGAGATAAAATACGGCGGTTTGTGCGGCTAAACCTCACCGTCCGTGCACATTATACGACACTGTTCTGTAATGAACGACATCGTTGTTGTCGGCATGCTCGAAGTTTGCCCGCCCAGACACAAAGGTCTAATGATTTTCGGGGTGCGGCGACGGAATCTACTTGCGTTTTATAAAGTCTTATGCGTTCGAGCGAAATGATATTTTGTGCGTATATGCATACGCATTATGTGCGAAACGTTTAAACGGGGGAGAACGCTAAATAGTGCTCATAAAAAAAAAAAAAAAAAAAAAATCTAAATCGACGTGATGATATTTAGTCGTCGTCTCATTTCGTCGAAAGACGCCTACAAAATATTAGTTTACATAATTGCAATTTAATTTGATTTTAATTACAATTTTTCGTTTCGCTATACACCGGCGACAATCGTTTTCAAGCGAAACGCAAACGAAACGTCCGTCGCTGTGCAGCGTACGCTTCCGTCCGAAACGCGTGGTCGTTCTGTGAACCGTCTGGATTGGAATACGCGGTGTAAAACAGAGTCGAGTGGATACTCTTTGAAACGGTTGTCGTACGACGCGCGGCGTCATGAAAATCGACCGACTTCCGAGTTCCGCGCACGCGTTTGAAAAATGAGTTTTCGCAGCCGAGACGTCTTTGTACGCTGTACGGAAACGCGATAAAAAAGGGTAGAAGATGGGGAAACGAGAGAGAGGTGTGTCGAGGCCGATCGCTAGTGTAAATGAACGAGTGTTGAGAGCAAACTGCGAGCGATTCGTTTTAACTAAACACCGGAGATCACTTCGTAAGCACCACGCCGTCGAACGCGATTTTCGACTCGATGGAGCGCGCGTTACACGCCGCGGTTCGAGTGCATGGGCACGGCGCGCGGTTATATCGAAGTGCTTCGGTTTTATAGGCCGTCGTGTTGCTGACGCGATAAGCCAAAACGGTCCCCCTTTAACCTTTTTTTTTTTTTTATCAGCATGATATTGGTTAGTATGACAATAAACAATAATAAATTAAAACGGAAATACCGACGGAACGAAAAAAATAATCGACTCAATGGCTGCGGGTAGTCGAAGGGAGAGAAAAAAAATGTCGATATAGGTACTGTGATTTATACACGAAATATAATAATAAAAAAAAAAAAAAAAACAGGACTTACATCGCACAGTGGGTAAGCCGCTGTTGCAGGCGGAAAGTCGCATAGATACATAAGATATGGAACAGTAATATTTACCGTACACAATGATAAATCAATGTTTTAAACGAAAACCGTTTCCAAGCGGAGTTGGGCTACACGTGTTTTTCCTCCTGTAGTTAAAGTGACACACAAAAATAAAACCGATACACAGACGTTTGCGATCGGTGTTTGAAAACGCTTTTAAAAATCTGTTGGCAATCTAGACATTTGCGTACAGATAATGCACCACCGGGCGAAAAATCCGCATCGTTCAAAGTGCGGTATGAATAAATCGGAGCATTTTTATTAACCCAAAAAGTACTTTGCGAGGGGAAAAAAAAATATATATCAAATATTCAATCGAGTTTATAAAAAAAATATATAGTATATCATCGTTATTATTCATTTTTATTCGACGATTTGAGGTTAAGTAGTTATTGTTGTGTATTATTACATTCGAGAGTTTGAAAACAATATTTAGTTGGAAACTCGTTTCGTAATATTCGATCAAAAATATTAATAATATGTCAACTTTCCGTCGAGTTCCGAAACTCTTTGCAGAACTTTTGTCCGGGGTGGAAATAAATCAAATAAATCATATTTGTATTGTTTCCGAGAAGACGGGGCAAAATGTCATTACAAAAGCAAATAAAATGACGGGACGATTTAATAATTCGACAAATAGCAAATCGATACGTTCTTATAACACTAATGAAACAAAAAAATTAGCCAAACTCGACGATTCTCCAAACACAATCTGTTGGAACGCGCGAACAAAAAAGAGACGCCACTGTGCGAGCGCCATAGAAAAATATGACGGAAACACAATGGCATCGTCTGAAAATGAGATAATTGAAAAACATAAGGAGCCGAGACGAGAAAAAGCAAAGTATTAGCCCCGGGCGATCTAAATAATATTACGACATCGGAAATCTCCACGAAAGCACGACGACGATACAAACAATACGTTGTTTGTGCACTATGTGTTTTGTACTTGCGAAAAGAAAAATTACTAATTTATTTTTGTAGGGGGTTTTAATGTGTCATTTATTTCCAAAGTCTCTGTACGCGAGATTCCAGTCTGCAGAAATTACGTGGGATTTTTTTTTTGAAACGGTTTTGATCTATTTGGCGCCTCAAAGACGTCATTTTTCCCTTTTAATTTTCGTTATGATAAAAGAAAATTGAAATGAAAAACCGTCATTTTTCCTATTGATTTTTCTATTCTTTCGATTACACCAAATAGATAGTAACATGGATGCGGTAACGCCGTCATTTAACACGTTGTTGTTGTTTCATTTTTTTTTTTTTCATTTCCCGTCGCCTCTATAGAGGACCATAATTTTGGAGTTAAGTGCCGTTCTATGGCCGAATTTCGAACAACTGAGCTGTTCTATCTCTGGCGTATCTAATTCGGCCGGTGTGCCGAGGAGGTAGTTATTTTTGTCCGGGTTACGCCGGCAACACAGAAAAATACGGCTAACAATACTCCGCTCAGATACGTTTTCCGTCAGCAACGGTTTGCCGCGGCGCGCGTTCTCTCTTTCGGTTCGCCTTTCGAACCGGCCGCGTGATCGGCATTTTCGCTATTGGCGGGGTGTTCACGAACGGAAACCGCGTTTCCGCAGACCGTGCGGTTTATTTCCGCGGATCGCGGTCGGTCGACCGAACTCCCGTAGACACGAACGCGCGTCCCGTGTCAACCTTTTCCCGCCGACCGCCCCGCGGTTCCGGTCGCCGTTGTTTTTCCGCGTCCAAATGTCGCATCGCAACGATACGATGTCGCGCGGCGCACGCGACGCAACGTCATTGCCGAACGTCAAAACGCGCAAACGTCAAATAACATTTGCGCGATAAGTAATGCGGCGCCGGCCGGGCATGTCGACGGTTTACGACGCCGGATCGAGCGCGCCGTGGACGCGTTCGCGATTCACGCGATCCGCCGCCGCCCCCCGCACGCCGACGTTAAAACGTTTGACGCGGCCGCCAAAAACGCCGGCACTCCAAACCCGTCGACGCGTGACGGAACGCGCCCGCGTTCGTGTCCGGCGTTTAACGGCGCGCGCGTGTCTCGTGCGGGACGGTCGTGCGCTGCCCGGTGTCGATTCGGACCGTTCCGCGCCCGCGACGGGGCGGACCCTGACCGGGGGGCCCCGTCCGGACGGCCGGCAAACCGTCGTTTCGTTACGAGCCGGACGAACGCCCGCGCGCGCGTCTCGTGTCGCTCGTGTTCCGCGTCCCCGGGGCGCGTTGCGGAATCGCGCCGCGCGACGCCGGACAACGGCCACGCGGACCGCGTTGGGCGGGCGCGGTTTTCGGCCGCGAAAACGAAAACGGGGTGTTCTACCCCGGGATTAACGATTAAGGAGTGGGAGTAGGACTGAGGAGTAGGAGTCCGGATTAAGGAGTACCGAAATCCTTTATCCTACTCCTTGGTTCCGGGGTAGAACTCCCCTTTTCGTCCTACTCACGGCTTTTCTGGACATTGTTGTCACTAAAAGCGGACTTGTCGACTGAGAGATTTGGCCGTTAATAATTTCCGATCGGAAACGAAAAAACCACAGCTGCCTAAACGATAAGTGCCGCCGGGCCGAAGCACGTGCGGGCCGCTAATCGGGCCGCGACCGGCTCGGGTCGGACACTTTTAGTACTTCTGTAAAAGCTCGTCGAACGTTCGGTCGAGCTAACGTCTCGGAATACTCTGGTCCGGACGGGCCCCGTCCAAACGCTAAATGCGGAGAGGAATAAGAGGAGAAGAAGGAAAAAAAAAATATTCCGCCGTATTCATAACGTCTTACCTGGTGATTTCTTCGACGAGTTTGCACGGATCGGCAGCGTAGAATTTCACACCGAAGTAAAACGTAAAGTTGTCGTTACCTGAAAAACGGAACACTCGGCGTAAATATTTTTGATATCTCGGCAAACGGTATTATTACGGTACGGTTAATTTAATGTTTATCTGCGCGCACACGTCTCGGCGGGTAGGCTCGCGGGCGGCGCAGGTACGCGCGCCCGTATTTCGTCTTGTATTTGTCTTTCCGCGAGAGCGTAATGTTATTATGCGCGCATGCACGCCGCGTACGTAATAACGTGCCGCACACGTCGACGGGCGGGGCGGAAATATGATTTCCCCCCCTCCCCCCCGTGTTCCTTTGTTACACTACACTACGCCCGAGTGGGAAACTTAAGGGGAATAAGATTAATTACACACGCGCGTTTTCGAGTGTGCACGCGTACGCGGCGCGCGGTTCGTGACCCGGGTACCCACGCGCAGCCGTCCCGTCCCGTCGGAATCGGTTCCGGCGCAGTGCCGGGACCAATTAGACGCGCCGCCATCGCGTCAAACTCGGCGTATTTACTGACGCGGTGTTTTACCCGCGGGATTGATTCGGCCGCGCGCCGACTGTTATCGCAGTGGGCCGCGCACGTTCGCGCGGGCATCGCTGAAATACGCCGAGCGCCGAGGACAGAACGGGTGGTGTTCGTTTTACCGACGACGCGACGTTTCGTCGGCTATAAATTCTCAGCCGGGACCGTTCGCGCGCGGCCGAACAAAACGAAAAAAAAAAACCACGCACACCGGTGACGGTGGCGTACCGACTGTTCTCGGGGGGGGGGGAACTCGGACACACGCATAATCGGTGCACGATAATGTGCGGAATGATTGGATTTACGTCCGCGCGCGACGACGAGCGTTGCAGGCGAAAAACGATTCTGTGAGCGGAATGATATTTTGTCGATCGTTTTTTTTTTTTTTAATGTGAGCGATCCAGAAATCAATACGAATAGCGCGACAAATCGAAAACAACCCCGTTACTGAACTTGTTTTCGGTTCGTCGTCGAAAACGTTACCCTGAAAAAAGTTCTGATAAAGTTCAATAACGTTTTTGGCGAGAAACAAACGTTTGGCAGACATGTCGTTAACAGTGCATTCGTCGTTTCACTCGGAATCCGAAATGTATTCGCGTAAATCTGAATCCGAACAGATAGACAAAACAAAAAAAAAAAAAACTACGACGCTAACATGAGAGCGTATCCCGTAAAAATGTCAAACGTCTACGGTCATCTGCTACGGACGAACCGCAATCAAGAAAACAAACCGGTTTCGATGAAAATCCGCGGCTTCTCGGTTTTCCGGCGTTATCGAAACGGAAAATTAAAACAAAAAAAAAAACAAGAACTAAAAAAACGACCGCCTCAAAACGCAAACTGTATCGGTACGAAACGCCGGCGGGACAACGTTAGTGGGAGAAAACCGCACACTGCGCGCCGCGGCGATAAAACCGGGTGGGAAAAATTTCAAAAAAAAAAAATAATAATAATAATAATAACAACGATAATAACTCGGGACTCGCCAGCGCATTTCGACCGCGGAATTAGTCTCGCGATAAAATGAAACCGAAAAAAAAAAAAAAAAACGAACCTTTAATGACGTTCCCCCTCCCGTTCATCCCGGAACCCCGGAACTCGCCGTATTTCCGCGCGGTCAGGGGCACCCCTCCCCCGTTCACGTTGTTGCCGGTAAAACGGAACGCGCGACGGCGTCCGCGGCCCCGGCCCGCCGCCCTGCCGGTACGCGCCGAGTTCCCGCGGAAAAAAAAAAAACAGATCCCGCGTCGCAAATTAATGCCCGCGAAATTCGTCGCGGGCACGTTTTACGGGCGCGCGCCCGCCCCGGCACTGCCGCGCCTGTTACCGGGACGCGCGCGCTTAGGCAATGCCGGCGCGCAGCACCCGAAACGGGGCTCCCGGCGTTTCGTTATTAAAAATTATCGATTCTCCCTCCTACCGCGGAGTGCTTTTCGCGTCCCGCCCGCCGACAAAACGAGACGTTAATTTACGGCTACCTGGCCCCGCGAACGGCGGACAGAAAGACGTTTACCCCATCACCGCCGCCGCCGCTCCCCCCTCCCTTGTCCTGTCCCCCCCTCGCTCGCGGTTTATTGTGCGCGCACACACGCGTGCATACCGCTGTCGAATCCGAAAGGTTGTCGACGAGCGCGCCCCCCGGAGAGAACGCAAACACCGACGCCGCGCCGTCAAACAGAAAATGTCGGATCCGTTATAGCCGTGCGGCTCTCCCGCCGCTGGCCAGTGCCCGGCACTCGGGAACGGTTCGGAAGAAAAAAAAAAAGAACGAAAAACAAAAACGAATTAAACTGGGCGAATATTTAAAAAAAAAAAAAAAACGCGCGGTCGCTAATAGGCGGAAAGCGGGTAAGGCGCGGGGGGACACGCATACAGTTGTTCCGATACGTATTTGTGCGCGACGATAATTGGCCGCCGACGAACTACGATTCCGAACGAAAACCTTTAAACAGAGCCGCTCTCTCGCCGATCGTCAAACTGCGCTTCTTCTCGCGGAATTCACAATGGTCTTTAAGAGTTTTCGCCTTCGAAACAACGTCACGCCCGTCCCCGTCGCCGTCCCGCACCACGTGCGTCCGGTCCGTTTCCACCACCAGATTTCCCTAGGTTCCGGGAACTTTTCACGGGCATTACACCGGACGCCTGTTTTTCCGAGGTCTCCCCCGGCCGTGACGCACGGCCGAAAAATTGCAGCGTTCGCGTTTTGAATAAAACCGGCCGATATTTCTGCAATTTCCATAATGTCCATAATGCGTCGGTTCGGCCGTTCTCTTTCGCCGCCGAGGGATTCGCCCGCGTCAAACACCCGTCATGTTCACGCGCACATAAAACGATCGCGGGGATAGCAGCAGAACCGTTCGAAAACTCTCGATAATCAATCATTTACCGTGCAGGGGCGGAGAACGGGGCGGGGAAAAAAAATCAAATCGAATATCGATTCGGTGCGAATCGCAGTGCCGGACTATTATCGCCAGTTTTATATGGGTATCGAAGGGGTGGTGGGGGGGGATGTGGAAGAATAAATAAATAATAATTCCGGCGAGCGGCGCGCGACGGAGCTGTACGGACGAAGAGTACGGTTATTGCGTATTTTTATCGGGTCGTAAATCGCGACGATAACAGTTGGCGATTTTAATCGGTCGGAACGGTCGGGCTGCTTTTTTTCTCCGCCGTCCGAAACATCCCCCCCCCCCCCCCCCCCCCCCCCCNCCCCCCCCCACCACCCGCCGGCGAGTCCGAGCCGCCGCGGGGCCGACGACCACCGGCCGGCGTGTAACAATGACAATAATTACGCACGCGCGCGGTCGCCGTTAGTTGTTTAGTCGTTGTCGTTGCGCAACATTACGCGCACTCGGGACTGGACAATGGCCGCGATATATTGCGCGCGGTTTTCGCGCGGTCTCGACGCCCGCCGCGGACGCCGCGCGCCGGAATAACCGTGCGCGTTGTCGTTACCGGAATCGGGCGCGGCGCCTTCTCGACGACGGCGGATCAGAATAAAAAAACAAACAAACAAACGAGAATCGATTAAATCGGGGCACCGGCGTCCGCGACCCGGCTGCGATTCCGGCGGTTCAAAACGACCGGGTCGACGAAATAAAAAAAAAAAAAACCCGTTCGCGGGAAAAAAATTACCGGATTTCTTTGCGCCGCGACGACGACAAGGGTCGCGGCTCCGGTTTGTTTACGCGCGACCGGGGAACTACGGGTCTTAACGAGCGAGTGCGCGCGTACGCGAAGGGGTTAACAATCGTAAACAGTGGTTAACGTCAACCCGTACCGGGTCCGCTGTACGATAATATGCGGTCGCCCCGTACCGGGGTCGCGGACGGGACCGCCGCAAAACGAGTTAACCAAAATCGCGCGCGGTTACGGTCGTTGTTGTTTTTTGCCGCGCGCGGTAACCGCGTAAACTTTTAACGTGTACGAAATACAGTCGACGCACACACGCACACTGCCGTACGCCTACGCCGGCGGCCGTATAAAACATAATAAACACGCAAATGATATTACGTACGTACCCTTCATCTGTTTGTTAATTTTCTTGGACAAATCCAACCAATGCTGAAACAGACACAAAACACGCAAAATATTATTAAATGTAACGTACGCCGTCGTTATTCGCTGGGGATTCGCTGCGGGTCAGAGGCTACCGGTTGAAACACGTGCGCGTTGCTGTTCGGATGCGACGTGTAATGGTCACATTTTTGTAATAATCTCTGAAACGAAAGTAGCGCGACGGATTTACGGTCTTACGGTAGAGAGTACGGAGACCGGGCGGGCAAGTGTACCCGAAGCCATCGGCAAACTAAATATTGACGCGTTTATCGCGGGTAAGAGATTGTTGGAGACCGTACGCGGACTGGCGATGGCGGGAGAACGCCTGTAGTGGCTACCCCCGGTAATGGTGGACGGATACACTGAAAATCGGTCCTTGTGGAAAATTGTGCGCAAGGGACGAGAATGACAGAAAGCGATGACGGGGAAACATTTCGCGAAATAGCGAAAGCGACAAAGGTTTTAAACGGTGTACCCGTTTTTCGTTTATTCCGCCGTTGTACGGCTTGAAAAAAACCGACGAGGACAGTTGAACCCCCAAGGTCAATGGGTATTCGTAGACTTCGAAAATAACTCGACCGACGAATATATTTTACAAAATCTACGCGGGAAAATAAAATCCGAGTATTAAAGTTAGTCGGTGATTGAAATTGCCTTGTTCTCCCGTAGGTTTTTTTTTTTTTTATAGTCCATTTCGCCAGCGCCCCCGGCTCGAATCAATTCGGCTTTTGAATAGCCACTTGAGCTCGAGAGAAAAAAAAAAAAAACCCCCGACCGCCGGAACCGAGTCGACGGCGGGAAATCTCTGACGGCCTCTGACTGAATGTTATTCGGACCGAACCCGAACCGGTAACCGTTGTTTCCGTCCCGGGAAACCGCGGTCCGCGGGGGGGGGAAGGGGCAATATCGTTTACCGTTATTAATATTAATCGATTGAACACGCTCACCGTTTGGTTTTGTGAATCCAAATAGCGGAGGCCGAAGTAGGCGGTCTCCAGCAGACTCAAGTGTCGGACGACCACGTCGAACACCTCTTGGCCCAAGCTCGAACCCTGGAACCAGAAGACAAAAAAACGTTACTACTCGCTGTCTACGCCGTCCGCGGTACAAACGCGATTATTGATAACGCTCCGATTACGGTGTACGGGCGCGGTCTGAAACGCGCGCGACGTTATCGCGCGTGGTCGTGATCATCTGTCTGTTTTGTCGTTCAAAAAATGTATTAATTATTTATTCGCGCGCGTAAACGGCCGGATCCGCAGCGTGCGTCCGCCCGTAACGCATTTTCCCCCCGTAACCGGAGCCGCCAAAAACGCGTCGCCGTTTCAAGTATTTTTTTTTTTTCTTTTTTTCACCGTTCGTATACGATTCGACCCGCCTACAGTCGCCGAAGACCGGTGCGAAACTAAACCGCGTTATTAACGCGCGTGGAACAAAAAAAAAAAAAATAATAATAATAATAATAATCGGTAAAAACCGCAATACACATGAATTTTACGCGTTACTACGGTACAAAAAAAATTCGTATTGTTGGTTAGCACCACAAATTGTACAGTACCCGCATCGCGTTTTAATACCGTTAACTGTATTAGAACGCGTTCAGCGATAATATTTTAAACGTTTTCGCGATAAATAAAATATCGGAGCGAGTTATCGAAATCTGCGGTCAATAATCGAACGCAACGACCGCCGATGACTACGGCCGTATCGGTGCGAGTACGAAAATGTTATTAAAATACGGCGCGGGTAACTGTTATGTGGTACTGCGTACGGTAGTGCTGACCGATGATTACATTTTACGTTATACCGTGTAAAATAAATTGATCGGCTTTTTTTTACCGCCCGGGTTTTTTTTTTTCCGTTCGCTTACAACGGCCGCCGACAATAGCCACGCGTCTCGTGCGAACCGCCGACGTGTTGCACCGTTTGAAAACGGACGAAAAACAACGAGCGGCCATAGCCGACACGCCGGCCGTCGCCGCGTGCCGCCGCGTACCGAAGCGCGAAAAACCGCGAACGGCGAGATTTCAAAAAAAAAAAATAACAAAACAAAGGTCGCGTATTTTGTTCGTTTCGGCCGAAACCGTTGCGAAAACCCCGGGGCGAACGCACCGCACGTACGCCATTATGACGGGTGTAGCCGGGTCGCGGCGATTTTCGGACGGCACAAAATCACCGGCGCGACTCGCGCGAAACCGTTCGTCTCGAAGAACTCCTCTTGTGACAATATTAATATACGATATCGGGGGCGGTCGTAAAAAACGCGATACGCGATACGGATCCCGTACGCGGCGGCGGCGGCGGCGGCGGGGGAGCAATAAAAGTTTCGAGTGCCGACAATAGTTCTCCCGTAAAGATCCGCCGGATAGGTGCACCTATCATTTTTTATTAAACCGTATGCGCTTTTGTCCGTTTTCGATTTTTCGCTCCGCGCCCCCGCCCCCGTTCTTATTGTTGTTGTTGTTGTTGTTTACTTTGCTCTCGAACGCGAACGGCGCAATTTGAGTTTACGCCGTACCACTCGGCCACCCGGTAACGGCGGCGGCGGAATCGCGGCGAGTCGCGGAATAACGCGATTTTCGTCACGCCGAAATCACGATCGATTTTCGAATCGCGCGCTTATCGAGTAGGCGGTAGTCCCGGTGTTGATTTTTTTCCTTCTTCTTCTTCTAAAAACCCGTTTAAAACCGGCGACCTCCGTTGCCGTTGTCGCAACGCAACGTAACAAACGGCCCGCGCGAACCGAACGCCTAACGATAATGCCGGCGCGCACGACGGACATGGCGGTGGCCATTGAAAACAACAACGCCGGTACTCCAGCGGGTAAATATTGTGCTGACGGTCGGGCAAACACCGGCGCGCGCGGTCCTCCGACGAAAAACAAACGGGTTTGGTTTGGTTTATTTCCCCCACAGAACGTCCGCCGTTCGAATTTTCCGCCGAACGGAGTCGAGAATTCGAACGCGAACGATGGGTACCGCGATTACGACCGTGCCGAAGGGTAACGCGATATTATTCGATCGGAAAAAAAAAAAAAAAACACAAAAATATTAAAACGCAACGTGTATTTACAATGTGCTCCTTTATTATGTAAACGCGATTGGAAAAATAATGATTATGTTATGGGAAAAAGAAAAAAGAAAAAAAAAAAGTATATTGTTTTAAAGCGCATCATACACTTCCCCCCCTCCCATCCGGTCGATGTCTGAAAATTTGTATTTCAAACGGCTTTTCCCGCGCCGTATCCGCGGGAATCCAATCGATACGTCGTCGTCGCGAATTATAACGAGGCGAATAATATTTCTCCCCGTGTCCGTCTCGGCCGCTCGCGGGCATTCGACTAAAAATTGCACCGTGGCGGGGGGGGGAGGGGGAACGCGACAAGCGGGATGGCGATTCGTTAACCCTGGATCATACGGAAAACCGAAATCCGTATTCGGTCGGTCATTGAATCCGAATGTGAACGCGTGTACAGTTCACTTTTGTTTTTATTATTTTTTTTTTCCATTTTCATTTTCGATAAACCGAACAAATCGCAATAACATAATTTTTCGATTTCTAATGGAAATCGGGGCCCCTGTACCGTCCCCCATGGCATTCCCGGCAACTCAACACACCCGACGGCGTGACAATAGTTTTCGCCGAAAACGCGCGCGTTCAATGCGCCGGCGCGACAATCGACACGTTATCCGGGGATACGCGGGACGGAACGATTATTTCATTGTTATTTCGCAATCGTTGCGATTCGACGAAAATAACAGCAATAACAGTAAAAAACGAACGGATTCCGTTTCCAAGAGCCCAAGGAGCTTGTCGGGAGACGGGGGTTCGCGACGTTTCCCGAATCCCGCGCACGCTGAACCGTCGGCCGTTGCCGGTTCGAATCGATTCGAACGGTCCGAAGCGATACGCCGAACGGAGAATAACAAAAAGCGGCGTTGCGCCGTCCGTATTCTGTCGGACGCCGATCGAGAACGGGCGGCCGCACACATGCCGTACGGTTTGCGGGAGCCGTCGCCACAACGTCGGCGGGTCGTTTACACCACGGGCCGTCGCCGCAGCCGTTTCGCAGACGGTGTACGCGCGCCGCACACTCGATTTCCCGACCGGTTGCGGAAAAGACGGCCGGCCCCCGTCCGGCGTTAAATCCGTGGCCCGTGCGGACTCCTCCGCCGGAGACCGTTGACAGACGCGTAACGCGCGGGCGTTGTTATTTAGATTCTCGACCGGTGTAAATCGAGTTTCGTGCCGGACGGCGCGCCGTTTTATTTCGCGTTCAAAGCGAAAAACGCTGATGGGGGTGGGAAGAGGGGAAACCCGGATATAAAATAAACGGCGGCGGCGGGGGGAAACGACGGCGTGTGTTTTCGCACCGCGCCCGGGAAACCGACGCCGCGCGGCGCGGCACTCGGAGTGGTAATGCGCGCGTCACGCTGCACGGTGCGTCATGTATAATTCACGAGACGCTCCCGCGAAAACCATCGATCAAACAAAAGCCTCGCGCGTCTTGGTCAGCTCCCGTCCCGACGCGCGGGTGTAACACTCCACGCCCGTCATCGAGACGCGAACGGGGCCGCTCCGCCGACGGCGGGTTTCCCGTACCGCGCCGCGCGTAAGAAACCCGCTCGCCCGAGTCGACGGGACCGCCGCGGATAAATTGTTATCCGCGGCATTGAACGCGCTTACACTGCGGTAACGCGTCGGCGGTAACCGATTTTGATGAACCACCTCGCCGCTTTTTCCTTCTCCCCCCCCCCCC